AACGTATAGTCGTCTGATTTCTTTAGTATACAAATTATAAATAATATACAAAATAATCAGGGAAATAAAATATTCCAATGCATGAAATATTGTTCCCTTTATATACCTTTGGATTGGGTAACATTTCGTGATTATAAATCTCCAATACTAGCATTGTAGAAATTATGCATGGTTTCTAAATGCGTCTTATTATTATCTTTTCTCATTTTGGATTGTTAAATATTGAACATTATCAAATCTGACAATCTTTATTATTCTTTTATTCTTATATTTTATATTCTTGACGTCATTCTTCTATCATGTAAATTCCGACAATAAGACCAACAATATACTGTCACAAAGTTTACGATATCATACGAGAACAGCAAGACGATTTACTGCTAAATGAAGTTTCGAATAGTATAGAAACTAGGTACCTTTGAGAAGTAAATAGTGATTGGTCCTACTTTATGTAGTCCTCAATATCTTTTACATTATATCTTAGATACAGAGGAAAATCAATAAGCATAACCATTACAGTTAAACTACTCGAGAATACCAGATATCACTGATTCTAGTTACATTCTCTTACTCCGCAAACATTCCTTCACATTATTATTTTTTCATTTCTTCGAAATAAAATCTCACACTCTCTCTCTTTGCAGACATTCTTATTTCATATTCCAATTCATTTTTTCTTTTTAGTTAGAATATCACTTACGTTCAATTGAACAAGTGAAAAACACAGCTGTTTTCTTTTAACCATACCAAAAAGTAGATCTCATACTTCTGCTTCGATTTTGAACTATCTCATTTGAATTTTAAATAGGTTTTCAGGAGTCAAAGATTTAATATTGTCAACTTCAACGGATAATGCTGCAAACATAATTAAATTTTAAGACCTCATTAAGGAAATCGACTCATTTGATGAACAATATATGACTAATGTATCATATATGCTTCATAGTACTAATTTGATGAATGATTTGTATTATGTAAATTAATGAACGAAATAACGATAATGGATCAATAAACACATTTATCGAATCGCAAATGACGCCAAAAATAACGTTAAAATAGCAGATTAACAAAGACATGAAATGAATTTACAGATTCCATTCTTTCATCTTCTTGTGGTGATTCGATTTTTAAGATATTTCAAAATAAAGAACTAAGGTTTGATATTTGGGGGAACAATAATAATGAGTTGGCATATGAAATAAAAAAATAAGAGTGATAAGTATTTTTTTTTTTAAGAACTGTTGACGCAGTAGGGAAATATAACTGTATCCAGTTACTTCCGACATTCTCTATTACTTAATTTTCAATAGATATATTTATATAATGACAACCATTTTTCCTTGACTTCTTATGTATTGTACATAATATTACGTATTGATATGTAAGGTGTCTGCTATCGTGTATAACGTCACATTATACATTTATGAGTTTTTACTGAGTTGAAGTAGATATGTTGATGTTGATTCGGGTTGATTTTGCATATTAAATAAGTATTGTTAAGTAATGAAGATCATTACTGTCAAAAGACTGGGAATAAGAGAATAATAATAGTATATTATATTCACTATAGCTCAGGACTATGCGTCCATTTCTAGCAGCAGAGCTCATCTACCTCCTATCAGAGAGAAACATGAGAAGGTGTGATATATAATTCTATATAATTTGGAAAACAGGTTCCTTTATATACAAAAATTTTCACAGCAATATTGCCTCGTACAGAGATCACTGTGTGTCACACTATTATACAACTTCCAACAATTATGGTGATAGTAAGTTGTAAAGCAACTGTATGAGTTACTTTTGTTCTACTTTTGTAAGTGGTTTTTTGTTTCTTGTCTAATATACAGAATGAATAAACTCCAATTCAAATTGAGAGAGCAGGGTGACTCCAATTTATATAATTATAATTTCTTTCAATTACCTTCTCATTTATTAGGTAATCTTCTATAAATAATGCCTTATTACTAATAGGCCTCTACTTTTGCATTAGTAATGTGCTTACATAATTTTCTCGTGATCTTTCCATTTCGTTGATAAAATATTTTCTATATACTCATATCATATTATTTCCATCAGTCACCTTGTTATTTTCGAAATAAAGTAGAAGTAGAGAGAAAAGTAAAAACCTTAAACTAATATTTGGTACCATAAGAAAAATATCTGTATTTTTCAATTTTTTTGAAAATGGTTGTATAGTGTAGTGGTTATCACTGTCGGTTTTGATCCGACCAACCCCGGTTCGAATCCGGGTACGACCTATTTTTGCATGTTTCGTGGTATTTCAACTTCGAATCATTTTTTATTTATTTAAGAATTGACGGTGTTCCTATAGGTAGTTTGTGTGTTGATGATTTGCTTCACATTATGTTTAATATTTAATTCCTGAACCAGTTGCTTTCTTATGCCCCCTGTTTAGAAATGAAAATAATTTAGGTTATTCCTCTTTTTAATAATAATTTGGCACCAAGCCCTTATAATTAATAGTTAATTGAATATGGTATTTGATAATATTTTCTACCTGTTGGTAAGCAATTTGAATTAATGATATACTCTAATGGTTAGCGTTTTATGCCATAGTTTTTTTTCGAATTTCATTAGCACGTGATTTACACGCCACAAAAATGCGTACCTATCATTGACCTAAGAATACGTTTCAGAGATTAGAAACATCGGTTACGTACTTTCCAAAAGTCCCTGTTATTATATAAATTCAGATGTTATATAATTTTACGATTTTCTAGTATATTTGGTTGCAGAAGCTTTTCGTTTTATATATTTGTTTTTATGATAGTAAATAAAAATTAATCCAAAAAAATGAACCCATATAATATTAACAAGTAGTCTTTCTTAGCCCTTCATCGAACATATATCTGCATTAAAACGAATTACCTTGTTTTAACATATTAATATAGTATTTGGAGATATGATGGTATCATATTTCTAGGAAAGATTAATAATTCTGATAACTCAAATGATAATTTGTCAAGTCTAAATATAATAAACTAACTATCCAAAGTACGACACATATTTGATATAAGAATGTAGCACCCCCTTATCTTCAATCATAAATAGAAACATAACTTAAATACAGCTTACTTTTATCTTTTTCTTGTATTGTCAGTTAAAACGTCACAGTAAGAACGGTGATGCATCCTCCATTACTAACAAGTTTTAATATGATTGGTCCATCATTATGATGAGGTATCTTCTTTTATTTTTGTTGAAACTTCACATTTATTTGCATTTGAAAGTTCACACGGCATCATCGCACGCCGTGAAATTTCTATTCGGCGAAAATGAAAAAAAGACAAAAAAAAATAAAATTTGTAAGAAAAATGCGAAATAATGGGCTATAACGAAGAAGATTTCTGGGGCAAATTTCGTTTTTGGATTTATTTTTGAGGGGAATGAGAAACACCAATTTTCAGGGCCGCATGAAACCTAACCGATAATCTGTTTTACTATTATTTTACTGGCGCTATAGCTAGGCTTATGTGATATGTATATATTTAAGTCTGTAAAGGCGTCGCAGAGTTCAATACATAATATTTTTATTGTGATTGTAGAAATATCATAAAAAATAGTTGATTACTGAGCTATACTCATTATGGATGGAGAACGGCCCTTATCTAGTTACCTCAAACGACGTTGAACCACAACAAGTTCAACGTATATTTTCATCTCACTTATTACATGACTTTTAACAGGTTTAAGATAAAAGGTTAAGAGACTTGTTCTGTTTCTTGGGTAACATTAACATACATTATTATGTAATTGAAATATATCGTAGAGAGTTCGGGATTATCATACGATAAAACGTTGAACCCTGAGGTATCTATCATCTTTCCCGCCTCTCTCAAAAGATTAGATATGCATATATATATATATTTTTCTCAAATTCTGCCCTACCTTTCAGAAGTTTTATCCGCGCGTTAGTTTACACCCTAAAACATTTTGAGATGGCGGATGTTTCCCGAAGATCAGTGCATTCATAAGAGAGTTTATTTCGGAATACCCTAGGGCCAACTGCTTGGTGAAAATTGCCCTCTAATTGTCTCTCGAAATGAAAGAAAGTTAAAACCACCACACATACAAGAGTTGGATTATTAATACAGTAATTAAGAAAGCAACTTTCAGGTCATCGTTTTTTTTATTGAAAACTTTATATAAGAGGATATTAATTTGTTATTTTGCTGTATCATTACAATTAAACATTATTGTTATTCTTTAATTTTAACAGGGACATTTCTTCTTCTTCTGCTAGCTGAGTCATCGAACATATAAACTTATCAAACACTATCCACATATATATATATATATATCTATTGTGAAAAAATGGCAGTTCATCAAATTACAAATCAAGACGAATTCACTAGACTTACAACCACCGATGCAGGTGACAAACTGATTGTTTTATACTTTCATACTATATGGGCTGAACCATGTAAACAAATGGGAGAAGTATATTCTGCTATCAGTGACGAACCTTCTAATAAAGATGTTTCATTCTTATCTATAGATGCCGATAGTAATTCAGAAATTGCAGAATTATTTGAAATATCTGCAGTTCCTTACTTTGTTTTAATTCAAAAAGGTACAATTTTAAAAGAACTTTCTGGTGCTGATCCAAAGGAATTTATTAATTTATTAGATGAATGTAAAAAATTTATTGAGAATAAGGGTGCAAATGCACCAAAACCAGAAGAAGATACTGAAGAAGCTGAAGGTGAATCTGAAGAAGAAGTATTTGCTAGATTGACTAAATTAGTTAATGCAGCACCTGTCATGTTATTCATGAAGGGTACTCCATCTGAACCAAAATGTGGTTTTTCAAGACAATTAGTTGGTATTTTAAGAGAACATCAAGTTAGATTTGGATTCTTTGATATCTTGAGAGATGATGCAATTAGACAAAGTTTAAAGAAATTTTCAGATTGGCCAACTTTCCCTCAATTATATATAAATGGTGAATTTCAAGGTGGTTTAGATATCATTAAGGAATCTCTCGAGGATGATACAGAGTTCTTCCAACATACTATTCAACAATAAATTGTATCTTAACATTTCAGTTATTAATCGTTAAGATAATAAAACGGAGAATTAGAAATATTGGAAGGAGTGCTACAGCTAAAAGGAAAAATATAATAGAAGAACAACATGAAATATAATAATAATTGTAATCATTATTATTTTTTCATCTTTCCGGTATACAAGAAATTTGAATATATTTACTTTTATTATTCTATTAGCAGATAAGCCTTTAGTATATAGGTGCATCACATTATATTATTTATATATGTTTGTATCATATTATTTATTGCAGTTTTTAAAAAGATCGAGTTTGTATCAAATAACTACCAACTAAGAATATTTTAGCTACACATAATCAAAGAATAATTATTTCAATAATAGACCAGATTAAACACATAAAGAAAAATAGATATGTATATATGTATTTATGCATGCATGCATATATATATATATATATATGTATATAAGGAATTCAGTAGCCCATCGGGCAAAACGCGTTACGCGAAAATATCACAACGATCCAATATTTATATTGTATGAAAATTCAACTCTTTTCCTCATCAAACTAGACATATTTTGTTCTAGATATAATTAATCTGTTTATCGTGATAACATAGAACTTATTTTATTGAACAATTGGAATACAAATTAGAGAATATTTTTAAAAGGGAGCTCTTAATATCGAAAACAATAAAAAACTGACCAAACTTAGATCATAATGGCACCAGTTACACCAAGGACGTCAAAGGTCCAACAGAGTAATAATGGTACCAGTTCCACCAATAAGAAGATGAAACAATCGAGTCTGTTATCATTTTTTTCAAAATCATCTTCTACACCGACCAAGAAGATTGGAGCTGCCGGAAAGTCACTCTTTTCAACTCAAAAAACTACCACTGACAATAGTAGCAATGAATCGTTTGAGAAAAAGCCAAATCAAACAATTGAAATAGATTTAGCTGACTCTAATGATGATACTGATTCTGAAAAGGTATCTACTGATAAGGTAGATCCATCTCCAAATAAGTCAACGAGTGTAGATCAAGTTACATCTACAGAAGAAACTTTGATAGATAATTCATCTAACACTACCACAGATAGAAGAGGCAAAAGAGCTATCAATTACGCAGAAAGTGATGATGATGATGAGAAAGAAAGTATCCAATTACCATCTTCTAGAAGTAATAAAAAACAAAGACTTTTCGCTGAGGATTCGGATGATGACGATGAATATGTTCCATCGAAGCAAGAACTAAAAGAAGAAAAAATGAATGAAAATCTGGATGATTCTAATTTTATTGATGATGGAGATGAAGAAGATGAAGATCTTATGGCATTGTCTACCAGACCTAAAAAGGTTACTCCAGTCAAAAGAAAAATGATAGAAGCAACCACAAGATCTAAACCAAAATCTAATTTAATAAATCAAAAATCAAAACCTAAGACAGGAGCAAATTTTGCGAAGCATAATGAGGAGAGATATTACTGGTTAATTGATGAAAAGGATGCTGAAAAACGTCCTGTTTCGGATCCAGAGTATGACCCTAGAACATTGTATATTCCTTCATCAGCCTGGGCTAAATTCACAGCATTTGAAAAACAATACTGGGAGATAAAATCGAAGATGTGGGATTGTATTGTCTTCTTCAAAAAAGGTAAATTTTTTGAATTGTATGAAAAAGATGCTCTCTTAGCTAATTCATTATTTGACTGGAAACTTGCTGGTAATGGTCGGGCCAATATGCAACTGGCAGGTATCCCTGAAATGAGTTTTGAATACTGGGCTTCACAATTTATTGAGCATGGTTACAAGGTTGCGAAAGTAGATCAAAAGGAGTCAATGTTAAGTAAAGAAATGAGAGAAGGTTCCAAAGGTATTGTAAAAAGGGAATTAGAATGTGTCTTGACAGCTGGTACTTTAACAGATGGTGACATGATACACTCTGACCTTGCAACATATTGTTTAGCCATTAGGGAAGAACCTGGTGACTTTTACTTGCATGATGATTATTCAGTTGATGAAAAATCTAATCCAGATAGAATATTCGGTATTTCTTTCATTGATACCTCTACCGGTGAGGTTCAATTAGTTGAATTTGGTGATGATAATGAATGCACTAAATTAGATACAATTATGTCGCAGGTTAAACCAAAAGAAATTATTATTGAAAAGGACAATTTGAGTAGTATTGCTAACAAAATTGTTAAATTTAATGCGTCTTCAAGACCAATTTTCAATGAAATCAAACCAGAAGTGGAATTTTATGATTATGAAAAGACATATGATGTTTTAACTTCAGATGATTCCGAGTACTTTAAGAATGTTGACAACTGGCCAGACGTACTACAATCTTACTATAAGAATCAGAAAAAGGTTGGTTTCAGTGCATTTGGTGCATTGTTATATTATTTGAAATGGTTACAACTGGATAAAAGTTTATTATCAATGGGTAATATGAAGGAATATGACCCTGTGCGGTCTCAAAATTCGTTGATCCTAGATGGTATAACACTTCAGAACCTGGAAATATTTAGCAATTCCTTTGATGGTACCTCTAAAGGTACTTTATTCCAGTTATTCAACAGATCTATTACTGCAATGGGTAAGAGAATGATGCGAAGATGGTTAATGCATCCACTACTGAATGAGGATGATATTAACAAAAGGTTAGATAGTGTGGACCTCTTAATATCCAACTTGGAATTAAAGGACAGTATCGAAAGCGTCTTCAGTAGATTGCCTGATTTGGAAAGACTTTTAGCGAAAATCCACACTTGCACCATCAAAGTTAAAGATTTTGAAAGGGCAATTCAAGGTTTCGAGGATATTGAAAATCTACTGCTGCAACTAAAGGATTCTTCTATTGAATTGAAAGGTGCGCTTGCTATTTTCTTTAAACAAATACCAGATTCTCTTTTTGGAAACATTGACACCTGGAAAAACGCATTTGATAGAACAAAGGCCTCTGAGGAAGGTATCATACTTCCACATAGAGGAATTGAAACAGATTTTGATAAATCGTTGGATGAAATTGAAGCTTTAGAAAATGAACTTTATGAACTACTGAGCCAATATAAAAAGAAACTTCATTGTTCGGAGATATGTTTCAAGGATTCAGGGAAGGAAATATACACTATCGAAATCCCAGTTAAAGCTGTTAAGCATGTGCCGTCCGATTGGGTACAAATGGCAGCCAACAAATCTACAAAAAGATATTATTCCGATGAAGTAAGGATATTGGCTAGGTCAATGGCAGAGGCACGTGAAACACACAAGACTTTAGAGGAAGATCTAAGGACCCGCCTTTGTAAAAAATTTGATTCTGCTTTCATGGACACCTGGACTCCTACCATTCACGCAATTTCGAATATTGACTGTCTATTGGCTTTAACAAAGACTTCTGAATCTTTAGGTTTTGTTGCCTGTAGACCCACTTTTGTAGATGAAATTGACAAAATAACAGGAGAGAAACTAAATGGTTTCATGAGATTTAAACAGCTAAGACATCCATGTTTTGGTTTAGGTACTACTATTGCAAAAGATTTTATCTCTAATGATATTGAATTAGGTAATGGAAAACCACAATTAGGTTTATTGACCGGGGCAAATGCCGCTGGTAAATCGACAGTTTTAAGGATGACATGTGTGGCGGTTATAATGGCTCAGATGGGGTGCTACGTTCCCTGTGAATCTGCATCATTATCACCAGTAGACAGAATTATGACACGTTTGGGAGCAAACGATAATATCATGCAAGGTAAGTCAACATTCTTTGTTGAATTATCAGAAACAAAGAAAATTCTAGATTTAGCAACAAGAAGATCATTACTCGTTGTTGATGAATTGGGGAGAGGTGGTTCATCGAGTGACGGTTTTGCGATTGCAGAAGGTGTTTTACACCACGTAGCAACTCATATACAGAGTCTTGGTTTTTTTGCTACACATTATGCTAATTTAGGATTAAGTTTCAAGGGACATCCTCAAGTAAGACCTATGAAAATGACTATCCTGGTTGACGAAGAAACAAGAAAAGTGACCTTCCTCTACAAATTGGAAGATGGCCAAAGTGAGGGTTCATTTGGGATGCACGTTGCAACAATGTGTGGTATATCAAAGTCCATTGTTGATAATGCTCAAATAGCTGCTGAAAATTTCGAACACACTACTAGAATAATAAAGGAAAGACAAATAGCAACGAGTGGTATCCAAGGAGAAATTGTGGATATCCCATTAGGCTTGCAAAGTGATATTGTGAGACTATTATTTGGTGAGGGTGTCAAGAATACGAAATTGGGCACTGGGGAAGGAGTTCTAATTTATGATAATAATGTCAAGAGAAATGCTTTGCAAAATATTTTCAGTATAATCGACGATTTATAGATATTAAAAATTATTACAATCAAATTATTGTTATTTCCAAAAAATAAGTAAAAATATTTCATTCTAGAGCTAAATGTACATGCACATACTCTGAGAAATAAAAAAAATTTAGATAGTTCGAAGGTTCTATTATTTAGTTGTTAAATACATGTATACATGTACATATATTGGGACATATAACGTGTTTAGATTTTTGGAACTAGTAGTAAATATTTCAAATTAGAGTTACCACTTTACATTCAGGAATTTTCTGAACCGATCATATTTAGTTTATTTTTTTATTATACTTACGTTTACCTTCAAAACACAACTACACATAATGTTATTTTGCTCTAAATGTTATTGATATTTATTGTTCAAATCGTACGACATATTGTCATATATTATTACTTAAGAATATTAAAAATATCATCCAATTGTTCTTGTTTGATTGGTGATGAGTTATTATTTATGGGAAATATAGCTTCAATGTCTTCGAAGTCTATATCTCCGAATTTTGGATCATCATCTTGATTATCACCTTTAATTTTTTGAGCCATTCCAGTATGAAAAGAAATATCTTTCATATCGTTGATCGCTTGAATTTCATTTGGTTGGTTTGATTGGGTTTCAAACAGTCCAAAATCATCCATCATGGTTTGGACAGTAACTGTACTACCAGTGACTGTACGTGATATATTGTTAGATGTCATTGAAACTTTTTGGGATAATGATTCATCCGTTTGAGGGTTAAGTTCATCTATCCCTATGCTCATTATTAATCCCATATCCAATGAGTCGGAATACGGTTCATGGTACTCTGCTGGTAAGGATACAGCAGTCCTCTCAGGATCAATTAACTGGTCAGATATGCTACCGTGGTGCTGTTGATTGAATGAGCTATCTAAACTACCGTCTTTAGGACTACTTCCCATCATGTTATTGAAATTATCAATGTAAGAATGTCCATTATTGGGTACAGAATTATTATAAACCGATAAATCCATTGAAGCAGATTCTAAAGTTGATGATAATGTCGTTGTACTTATCGATCCTGTTCCTTTTGGTAGTTTATATATAGAATTCTTATTGGAGACCATCCTTTTCGCGTATGGTGATACTCCACTATATGACGCATGTTTGGTGAAATTTGGCATCACTGCTGATGATGGTCTTTGGGCAGATATGGTATGGATACTATTGGCGTAGAATGCAGATGAAGGTGTTCCAATGGCTGGAGAGGAAGGTGTCGATGAAGAAGACATATAGAACCTCGTTGTTGTCGGCGTTATAACTCTCCCTCTTCGTTCCATACCTAATATTTTACTAAAATCCATATTTGCATCATTCTCATCATGGCTTGAATCATTACTAGATGTTTTATCCTTTACAACAATTTGTTGAGGGCGAATATTATCATTGGAACTTGGCTTGATTTCGTCAATCGGAAATATGTTATTCTGTCTAGCTCCACCAAAATTGAGTGTCGTTGGAGCTGAATCTCTCTTCAATGACTTGTTCATTGTATTCATTTTCTTAGCTGTACCAGGAGGAGAGGAAGATGGAGCTGATGGCGTTGAATCAGCAGGCATTGATGTAGCACCATTTGATTCCAAGATATTTATTGATGGTTTACTCTTTGAAGTTTTCTTCTCTTCAACCGTATAATTAACAAAAACAGTTTCGCTGGAGCTTTCTTTTAACACAGTGACATTTTTTTTTATCCTCTTTTTATTTTTTATCTTATTTGTTATTGGATTTAACATTACTGGAGGCTGCATCATATTTTGAGCTTGCAATTGTTGCTGTTGTTGGGGCGGAATAAAAGAAGGAATCATTTGCTGAGTAATATTAAAATGTTCTGCTGCTATCTGATTAGGTAGAATCATCTCATTGCCATTCGGTATACCCATACGAGGCATTTTCCATCTATTCATTGAGTCAGATATCGGTGTATTACTCTTGGGCATATCAGACATACCATCATTGGTATAACCCGAATTTATGTTTGACATGAATATGAAATATGGTGCTAATTGTGGGTGTAGAGAATTTAATGCTTTACTGTTATATTTCCAAGAATACATACAAGATTAATTATTAGTACAGCAACTTATATATATATAATTGAATATGAATAAATAAACAACAGCAAAGAATGGGCAGCTGGAAAAAAAATTGTATATAGCCAAGCTGGGGTGGAAATTTACAGCTGAGCAATAAAAATGACAATCATAGTAGGGAAAGGACAATCGAAGTTAAGATTATTAGGAATAAACCAATTATGGTAGGATTGCGAATGAAAGCAAAGCGCAGGACCAAATGTATGTCGTTTTTTGCTAATGAAGAGAATACGCCAAAACTGTGAAAAACAAAGAAGAAAAAGAAGATTAAGAATGTAAATTGTAAGTTACTTTTTAGTTTTTAAAATGTAAATTTCAAAATTTTTCAAGCAGTCATTTAGTAAGCATATATTAGAAGATGATGTAGAAATTGGAATTTACCGATACAGTGCTTTTGTGTTGTCATTCTACCTTTCTACTATATTCCCTGTCAAAAACAAACTTTAATCTGCAAATACAATTCATTTTGATGTTTACTATGAAAAAAACTTCACAAAAAATTAGTAAATATTAGAGATTTCCAGATATTTTAAGGAGAGCAGTTGAGGAATCTGAGTAAATCCCAGTTTAAGTTACGGTAAAACACTGTCAAACCTCAAGAAACTTCAAAAAAATAGTTCAAAGAATATTTTAAACCATTCTCCCTATTGTCTCACCCACAAGATATAGTTCTTTTCTTCAAATCTTAACAAATGCTTGACGGCTGCGGAAAGTTTAAATTATCTTAAATCTTACATTTAGAGATGCGAAATCTTTCTCTTTAAAAAACCTACGTATATTTCTTACCAAAGAAGCCAACAAAGTAGTAAAAACAAAACAAAGCAGAAATATTCGCAGATTCTGTGAATGGTAACTCGAAGCACCCAAATATTCAAATGAAATGTGCTACGATAATCTATTTGAAAAACTTTCTTTCCCAACAAATTTCAGAAAATAAAGATAACACAGCTTCGCAAGTCGTTAGAGGGAATTTAAATTAATAGCAATGGTATTTGTACAAAGGGTACTTAGGCAAAGTTATTTTTGAATGAATTAAAGAGATTAGCCCGCAGGACATTAAAACTGGAAGGTTTCTTTTTTTAAACGAAAGAAAAGTTTCTCGCGTAGTCTCATTTCCCAGAAGAATTTTCATCTGTCTTAGGTTTCCTACGTGATATTCTTGGCGGAATAGCGAAGACCGAAGTTCTCTCACCATGATTTACTGTGTATATTTGGTTTCTAGACGTATAAAATGATTTTCCTTAAAAACTTATTTTTTTAGATATTGTTGGCATCTTTTATGAGACCATTCTACTGAGGGACAGGTAGAAACTTGACACTTTTAAATTCTGGCGACTCTTTTCCATAAAGCGTTTATCAATTTGGATTATTCTTCCAGATTGTGATACAGTCTCCATTTTTTTTAAAAATAAGAAAAAAAACAATCATCCATCATAGCTTACTAAGAATTGTGCCCCATCCGATATTTTGAATACTTTGAAAAATAAAATTGTATTATGATGTCTATATATATGTATTAATGTTTATAAAAAAAATATTCATTTAATCATGATCTACTGCTCTTTTTCATTAAATTGGCAGCTTGTGTTAAGCCCGGTAGATCTAACGATACACGCGCACGTTCGACACTGTATCTATTGTCCAGCTGGTTTGAGGCTAGCATGTGCTCTCTGGTTCTATCTAATGAAGTTCTAACATGAGATAGATTCATAGAATTTCTGCCCTCTCTCCAAGAGTCCATTGATTTCATTGGTGCACGCCCGGTCGCAGCAGACGATGTAGATGGTACCCATCGTATATCTTGACCTTGATCGATAGCATTCTTATCGTATGAATCCATAGGTATCTCCTCTACAATAACAGAATCTCTTGATTCCATTCCAGAATCTCCTCTTACGGCATCTTGAGCATTGAATTCACCTTCGAATATATTATCACTTGGCATAAAATCGTCACGTTTGATTTTCTTTTGTTCTGGATCAGTTGGATCATAGTTCTCGGGATATGCATCATATGCACCATTGGCCCACATCTCCTTGACAATATCGACGTCTGTAGGATTAATCATTTGTTGAACAGAATTAAAGGTGAATCTTGGCAAGATACAGAAGAAAATACCAATCACTAGAACAGCCCAAAACGATGGAGTAGAGTAAACACGGTCTGCAGATTTAAAAAATTCATAACTGTTTAAGGAACTTGACCAAATACCAGTCCACCCAAAATATACTGCAATCGACAAAATAATAAATAGCCCAGTAAACCAATCCCAACGTTTTTGGCCCATTAGAATATACATGTTACAGGAAATAACAGCGATACCAGTCACTGGTACACCGACATAAAAACGATGGTCTAAGCCTAAACCATTATTTGTAACAATCATGTTTCTACGGTATACTAGATATGGGAAGAAATAACAAATAGCGGACTGATATAAACCATCAAACATATACCATAAAAATTTTGTTTGATTCCAGTCCTTACGAAGGATACCAGATCTATATAGCTCGGGAACAATCATAGAAATTTTATCCGAGACATCCTGATCAAGAACACCCATTAGGATCACTGGAACAGATGTAAATGCTAAATTGTAAAAAGTCAAATATGTGAATTCAAATAAATATGAACCATCAAAGTCGTTATGCACACCGTACCAAAATAAAGTCATTGTGAAGATTAAATTTTTATAGAAAAATTGAGGGATCATTTCAGCTAATCTCTTGTAACACCATCTTCCATGAACTAGTAATAATCTAGTTAAGTAACGGAATTGCCCAATCGCAAAATCAGAACACATAACAGCTTGTCTACCTTCTTCACCCGCAATACCAACACCAACATCGGCAGATTGAATCATTGCAACATCATTAGAACCGTCACCGATAGCTAAAGTCATAACATCCAAAGATTGTTTAACTAGTTTAACAACAGCAGCTTTTTGAGATGGTGAAACTCTACAACATAATACCGCTTTACAATTCTTGCATAACAATAAAAAGTTACGTCTCATTTCTGGACCAGTTAAAGCGATCTTCAATGCATCACCATCAATAATTACGGCAAAATCATTCTTCGGAACTGAATGATCATTCTTAGCATGTTCTAAATCTTCTTCTGTACCCGATAATCCAAATTTTTCATTTAGATATTTGGTCGTTAGATTCAAAACAATGGATTCAGGATCATGGCCCAAGTCTTTGACATCATCACCATCAGCTTTGATAACCAACAATTCCATGTCTGTGTTTAAAACATTGCAAGAAAATCCAATATTGATAGCAGTTTCGACTTTATCACCAGTCAATACCCAGAGTTTAATACCAGCTTCAGCTAATAGTGCAATAGAATCTGGGACACCATCTTGTAATTTGTCCTCAATGGCTGTACCACCTAGTAATATTAGATCACGTTCAATTAGTTCAGATACTTTATCTAATTCACCTTCTCTATCAACAAGAGCTTCTGCAGCAACATTGTATTTTTCACTCCAGGTAAGATATTCCGTCCAACTAATTTCTCTCTGTGCAACACATAATGTTCTTAAACCTTCAGTGGCATATTGTTCTAAATGCAACGCGGTCTTTTCTAATAAATTTTCATCATTTTTGCCTGGATCTAGTCTTGAATATATTATTGAATCTGCACCTTTACAAATCAAAAGTGCACTTGGATCAGAATCAGCATCTTTTGCCGGTAATTTGATAATACAACTCATTCTCTTTCTGCTAGAATTAAATTCAAGAATATTCAAAACTTCAAATTCTTTTTGTACACCTTGAATCTCAATTATAATAATATTTTTCTTGTTATCAATTAATGAAAAACCAACATCCCTTGCTGTTGTAACTAAAGCTGCTTCATCCGGTGATTGAGCTTGAAGATCCAATTTATTTGGATCTTGTTCATTTTTCTCAACAAGGACGGTATGACATAAAGCTAAAGCTAGCATAAAATGTGAGCAACATTTTTGTTGAGTATCACCACTGGTCCCATCTAAATCGTTTGCAAATTCTTTGGATACAAATGTCAGTAATTCTGGGTCGAACTGGGAATTTTCGGATATCGATTCTAATTTGGCGATCATTTCTTCTCTATCAATACGAATGGCTTCACGTTCACGTTGACCTTCTTCTTCGACATCGATACCTTGTCTTTTTCTTAAACCTGCTAATGCTTCAGTATATGCACGACCGTAGGATACACCATTAATTGTACATTTTTTAAATTCCATTACATTTTGAGTTAAAGTACCAGTTTTATCGGAGAAAATATATTCAATTTGTCCCAAGTCATCGGAGATATTCCACGATTTAGGAGTACATGGATAATCTAGCTTAGTATTATAAAGCATAACATCCAAATAAATAAAAATTGCTTGTGCTGTCTTAATAATTTCAATGGAGATATATAAGGAGATAGGAACCAAAGATTGGTACAGGATAAGTGCGACCCAAAAGGATACAAACCCATTAGTAGCTGGTTTCCCTGCAATGGTACCAAATTCAAAATAATCTCTTGATTCAGGTTTCCTACTATAGTAAACACCATTGATAATACCTGCAACAAAACATAGACAGAATAAAAATACGAAATTGAATAAAACAGATAAATTCAATTCTCTTGAGATTCTTGATTTTTTAGTTGGTGTTACACCAGAGTTTAGCATAATCTTAGTATCATCACCTGTAAATAAAACCACACCCATTGCCCATTTGGTATTTCTTAAAGTACAACCACGTAGTAACATATTATTAATTGAAATTGGTTCGTTATGATATGAATTTGTATCAGAATCAATCCATTTTAAATTACCTTGATATAAGTATAAATTAGAATGAGGACCTTCACTTTCAATCCAAAATTTAGATCTTGTTATATCACGAGATGTTTTAATGTTAGAACTACATTTTAAAGATTGACGAACTTTTAAATTTGTTTCACCATCTAAATTTTTGGTCTCCACATAACAACCACCATCATTATCAGATGTAGATAGAATAATTAAATCTGCAGGGATTTCATCATTATTATGAACACGAACGATATCACCTACACGTACATTTTTCCAATAATTTTTCTTGAATTTGCATTCTGGTCTCACTGGTAAATTTGGATCAACGATAGTAGCACCATTATTATTATTTATAAAAGTATTATTATCATAATCCAATGAAGGACGAATCATATCGTAAGAAGGTCGCGTATAATCTGCTGATGGTCTATAACTTTGATAAGATTCTAATGAATTTCTCGGTAGGCCCCTACCTGATTTTTTCAATCTCATTTCATTCAATTTTCTTTCCTTTCTTGCATCTTTACCCGTTGCTGTGAATCGTTCATTTAAAAATTGAAAGAACCTCATCATTAATTTTGTATTTGCCTTTTTAAATTTTCTCCACATTGAAACATGATCAAATGGAACATTTTCATTCTCAACACCATCTAAAATATGTGTCTTTGTATTATTTACTTCCATGTCTAATATAGTTCTTCTTGAGTCCTCAAACCCATCTTTGATAGCAGTTAATATAATGATAACAATTAATGGCACAGCCGCCAGACCTGCATTTGGTACACCAAAAATTTGAAAAGCACCAAGAATGATTAATATTAAGAAATAAACGTTTGCAAAATTTTTGAATTGATTAAAAATATTTTTTGGGAAAAATGATAATGGTGTATATTTTGTTGTTCTAATTTTATTTCTTGAATAATTCATAATTGGTTTACCCTCGTCATCTTTCATTTCATTAGGTAAAGGTAAATTAAAAAAAACTGATCGAAGTTCTGATGATCTATTACGCCTTGCGGCATCTTCAGCTTCATCGATATTTTTTTCATCTTTAAAAGCTTTCTTAATATTTTGTTGTGCCCATTTCATTGTACCTGAACGGTTAACACTACTATGATTTTTTGTAGTGTTATTATTTTTATCTCTTAAAGTTGCGAATCTCATTCTTGTAACATTATCTTTTGTTGATTGATTCAAATCTTGTGTAGAACCATCTTTTGAATCTAAATTATCAAATATTTCAACAGATTCAAATTTCATCATATCACCTCCTACCATCGGTGTCTTTGTGAAAGAATGATCACTATCATCATCATCATCATTACTATCTTTTTCGTGGGGACTACCACTACTTAAATTTCTATCCGTTTCAGACTTACTATTACCAGTTCTTATATTAGAATTATTTTGTTGTTGTTGGGATGGATCATCATTAGAGGCAAATGGATCATTTGAACCGAACTCAAAGACATCATCGAATGGTGACATTATTTCATTATTCGGAGAATTTGATTTCTCATTACTATTAGTGTTATTACTATTACTCGCACTCATCAAATCTATGGGAAGAGTATAACCAGTCGATATCCTCGATCAAGTAAAAAAAAAAGTAGTATATTATATGGACAGGAATGTTGTTATCAATTGATCCCAGGATATCAAAAAGAAGTGCTAAATGTTTTCAATTAATATATATATATATGTCTATCAACCTTGCTTATTGTAGCATTCAGACACCAGATAAGAATCAAGATAGAAAACTTAAGGATTTGTCTTAATATAATTTAATTTAAAAAAAGCTATAATGTATGATTTAAAAGAAAGAAAAGCTGATCATCGTCCACGGATTACTTAATGAGAAGATCACTTCATCTTCAACTTTTTCTCAAAAAATTCTTTTTCCCGTCAAAAATAAGAAGAAATAGCGCTACTACGTATGGATAACCATTATCACTCACACCAGAGGGACATACATAATATTCTCTTAACGCGCGAACAACTTTCTATTAAAAGACACGTACAAAATCGCTTTCTTTAAAGGAAAACTGGTAAATTCATTTTTTTACGCGATGAGAGAATTAGTAAAAAATACCCGTACAAACACGACATATCTATTTTCTAAACCAATTATGAACCGAACGTAATTGGAGGGCCCTCTCACAACTCTTTGTATCAAAATAGTCTGAACTTCTATGGCAAAAGTCGCTATTAAAATATATTGGTAGAAGGTTAGATCTATCTATCCGCGGAATCGTATAACAGTTTTAATATCATTACGTATATATATATATGTGTGTGTATGTGTGTTATATATATCTTTTAAATCATTTCTTTGCGTATAGGGCAGTCCATTCTTTTGCTTTTGCCTTTGCGCCTTGTTCATTTTTAATCCAATCTTCAGCAACATCATTAGCCAACGGATCATTAGGATTTGGCGAAGCTAATAGTGCCTGTACAGATAACAATACTGTTCTAATTTGTAAAGCAGGAGACCAATTTGTCTTCAATATATCTAAACATATACGTCCTAATCTATCAATATTTGGATGATATATTTTAGTTAAAAAACGTACTTTTGGTGCCTCCATTGGATAATCATCAGGTAAATATAATTCTAAGTTAAATAAACCATTTTCATATGGGGATCCTGCAGGTCCCTCAATAGTAACTTTGAAATAACGTAAATTATCATCGTGTGGTTCTGCTGTAATCCCTGGAACAGGATCCGTTACTAATCTTTCAGTTTCTTTAATAATTCTTTTTGGTAATGATGCCATTATATGCTTTTAATAAGGAGAGAAATTTTTATTAGTTATAATTTGTTTGAGTTGAAGCAGTTTCTACTGATACTCTTTTTTTTTTTTTGAAATAGACGTGTATATCTTAATTAAGTAGTGCTATTGTTCTGTTGTTTTTTTTGCCTTTGAACTAGTTCCTTCACAAACTTTTGAATAATTAATAATTACGCTTTGTTTAACCACTCTTATAGTAATAGTATATTAGAATTCTTTTACTAGTAGTTATTCACTTGCGTTAAGGGGGCCAGGATTATCTATTGTATAGATGTGTATTTGTCTCTTTACTGAATATATGTATATATATATATATTGGTAAACGGCGCGCCACTTACATTTTTAAGTGAGATACAGAGGAAGAATACTAGTTTTAACTGAACACACCTCGTATACTGTGATGACATTGAAGAAAGGTAACCCAACCTACATATTCCTACGAATTAAGATACTTCGCGCTACACATCTTGCGAATGCATTCTTGTCTTGTATTCTTACAATACGAGCATCCTTTTCACATAATATTCATAGTTTATTTCGTTTCACTTTCACAAATAGATGTATTGACACATTTCACGTTATAAGGACTAATACTAATAATAGTTGTCAATATCTAATACTAATAGGGGATGGGCCAATTCTCCCTCTCTTATATATTATTAATATTACTAACATTCTCTTACGTAATTGGCCAATATACCTTTTTCCCGCTATTAATTTTTCTTTAAGAAACTCTCCGACAGGGTAACACCCTCCCCAAACTGAAAAATTTTTCTTCTCTTCGCTTCGCTTTCGCCGATGAAAGTTTTCCAGTCTTTTCTTCTTTGATTATATAAATTTTTCACCAAAGTAGTACGTATACACAGAGCAAACATTTTGTGATGGGGGAAGTCCTTTTTCCATAATAAATTATTCAGCACATCTCTCTCGATATCTTCCTTTATTAACTTTAACATATATATATATGAGATCACTTGTCTTCATTTTTTGAGGGAGGAAGAGCCTTTATAGTTATTGTTTATACTACTTTTTATTTTTCTATAGAGATATACATAGAGTAATCCTTATCTAGACAGTTCATACAAACTTCTTTTTATATTACAACAGTAAAATAAAAATAATATAGAGAAATATGAGTGAAAAAAATAGTCGTATTGCTATTGTCAGTGCAGACAGATGCAAACCAAAGAAATGTCGTCAAGAATGTAAAAGATCATGTCCTGTTGTTAAAACAGGTAAATTGTGTATCGAAGTTACACCAACTTCAAAAATTGCATTCATTTCAGAAATTTTATGTATTGGTTGTGGTATCTGTGTTAAAAAATGTCCATTTGATGCTATTCAAATTATTAATTTACCAACTAATTTAGAAGCTCATACAACACATCGTTATTCTGCTAATAGTTTTAAATTACATAGATTACCAACACCAAGACCTGGTCAAGTTTTAGGTTTAGTCGGTACTAATGGTATTGGTAAATCAACAGCTTTAAAAATTCTTGCTGGTAAACAAAAGCCAAATTTAGGTAGATTTGAAGATCCTCCTGAATGGCAAGAAATTATCAAATATTTCCGTGGTTCTGAATTACAAAATTATTTTACTAAAATGTTAGAAGATGATATTAAAGCTATTATTAAACCACAATATGTTGATAACTTACCTCGTGCTATTAAAGGTCCAGTTCAAAAAGTTGGTGAATTATTAAAATTAAGAATGGAAAAGGATGCTGAAACTGTTAAAAGATATATTAAAATTATGCAACTAGAACCTGTCTTAAATAGAGAAGTCGCTAATTTATCTGGTGGTGAATTACAAAGATTTGCTATTGCTATGTCATGTGTACAAGATGCTGATGTTTATATGTTCGATGAACCTTCCTCCTATTTAGATGTTAAACAACGTTTGAATGCTGCTCAAATTATTAGATCTCTATTGGAACCAACTAAATATGTTATTGCAGTCGAGCATGATTTGTCCGTGTTAGATTATTTATCTGATTTTGTTTGTATCATTTATGGTGTTCCATCTGTGTACGGTGTTGTCACTTTACCATCTTCCGTTAGAGAAGGTATCAATATCTTTTTAGATGGTCATATTCCAGCTGAAAATTTGAGATTTAGAACCGAAGCTTTACAATTTAGAATTGCTGATGCTAATGAAGATTTAAAAACTGATGCCACTCGTGGTTATGAATATCCTGCTATGAAACGTACTCAAGGTGATTTCGTCCTTGAAACTGAAGCAGGTGATTTCTCAGATTCTGAAATTTTAGTTATGATGGGTGAAAATGGTACTGGTAAGACTACTTTAATTAAATTGTTAGCTGGTGCTATTCAAGCTGATAAGGGTTCTGAAGATCTACCTAAATTAAACGTCTCTATGAAACCACAAAAGATCGCTCCAAAGTTCCCAGGTACCGTTAGACAATTATTCTTTAAGAAGATTAGAGCTCAATTCTTAAACCCACAATTTCAAACTGATGTTGTTAAACCATTGAAAATTGATGATATTATCGATCAAGAAGTCCAACATTTATCTGGTGGTGAATTACAAAGAGTTGCTATTGTTTTGGCTCTAGGTATTCCAGCTGATATCTATTTGATCGATGAACCTTCTGCTTACTTAGATTCTGAACAACGTATTATTTGTTCTAAGGTCATTAGAAGATTCATTCTACATAATAAGAAGACCGCATTCATTGTCGAGCATGATTTCATCATGGCCACTTACTTGGCCGATAAGGTTATTGTCTTCGATGGTACCCCATCTAAGCATGCTTTTGCTAGAACTCCTGAATCTTTATTAACTGGTTGTAACAGATTCTTAAAGAACTTAAATGTCACCTTCAGAAGAGATCCAAATTCCTTCAGACCAAGAATTAACAAATTAGATTCCCAAATGGATAAAGAACAAAAGTCATCTGGTAATTATTTCTTCTTGGATAATACCGGTGTTTAGGTTGATGCATTGAATTCCACAAATCAAAAGAAGATTTATATGAATGAACAATTATCATCCCTTTTTTTTATTCACACCCTTTCAAATACCATTTCTACCTCAAAAATAAACAATAAAAAACAAAAAAAAAACTTAAAAAACATACTTCTGTTTGATAACTAATTGATTAGTCTGTCGAATTAGATATATTGTGTGTTCTTGATTGTTTTTAATTTTTTTTGTTTTTGACAGGTGGTTGTCAATGGTAACATAGGTTGTTGAATTTAAAAAAAAGCATCATATGTCCATTAATCGTTCTTCACCATCATCTTCTTTTTTTTTATCTCTTTCTTAACATACACTTATCTGATTTGTTGGATTTCTAAAATTATTTATTTATTTTCTTATCTCAAAGTTTGGATACTTTTAAAAATATTTTATTACATAATTAACTTAATAAAGGTTACTGTATTATAACAGTAGTCTAATGTAACATATACATATTTATTTCATTTTATCACAATATTTAAAAACAAAAAAGGGTCATAATAACAAAAGTTCTCTTAGGTATATATATTTATTCACGGACGTCTATTTATAAGGTTATATGAAGGTTCATAAATGTGTTATTCATATCACTATGGTAATAGAGGAGATATTTACAACGATAAATCTACGTAAATATCTCGATAATCCCATAGCATGCAGTACAAGTCACTAATAGGAAGACAACGAAACAGGAAATATAATGCCATAACGGTGCATATGCGTATCTACTAAATAATAGTAGTAAACTCCCGCTTGTAAGTAATAACGAAATTAATAGTGAAATGATGATAATAGTTATCAATAGCGTAATGTGGTCAATTTGAATATTTTCTTCTTCTTCTCTGAAGATAGTAACAATAATTGAAAGGCAGATACCAGAAGTTAAGCACGACGCTAGTAATGAAAAAAGGTACATTAATGACAATATTTCGTCATGTCTTAACTCATAAACAGAATCGGAATCATTAAGATCTTGTTCATGGAATTGGATTAATTGTTGGATATCTGCGTATGAATTACTACGTGTATGACCTGAGGTAGTAATGGAAGCTGTATCATTTTCTGAAACAATAGATCCATATCTTGATCTGGAGATTCTATTAGAGTCAACGTATGGCAAATTTAAAAATTTTCTAATACTTTGACAGGTAGCATACATTGAATTGACAAATTTTCTATCAAATCTTAATAATCCACCGTCACTTTGGTTGCTAGAAATATTATCATCACCATAGGCGTCAACATAAAATGTATTGGCTACAGCATTATCTTCGCCATCATCAAATTCATTCCAATATCTAATACTTTCTTTCTTTGGAACTTGAGTTATACCGTTGGAACCTTCCCTGCTACTATTATTAGAGTTTTGCTTGCTTTCTGTATTCCGCTTCTTCTTTAGTTCCAACTTTGATGCTAAACTTTGGGGAATACCGTTAGAAACATTATTAGGGTGTCTTCTACGGAATTCTGAAGTACACATTTCCAAGACCTTATCCTTACCTAATTCAAAAAATTCATTGTCTTTTAAGGAGTCATTATCCTCTAAAATATATTCATCCTTTAAAATATACGAAAATAGATCATATGTAATTTCATTAGAATCCCTAATAGCATAGCAAATACTCCAAATAGTTGCAGATCTATCAATTGGATAACATTGTATCTTGTTTTCAATCAATGAATTATAGATATATGATATATCTTGAATTTCCTGTTGATGATCAAAATCAGGTGATCTAGAAGCTGAATTTGATTTAGGGGAGGTAATTTCTCTGATTTCGAAGACGGAGTGAGGTACAATACTAAAAGTATCGATAGCAATATTTTCATCTAGGGTGATTAAATATGTCCCAGCACTTGTATAAGAAACAAATCTTGTTCTTTTAAAGGTTATCCTTTCATTTGCTGGTTTTAAATGTTTTGAATTTAACCATTCCATCGATAATTTATTTAAAGGACCTAATCTTTGAATATCTTTTATTTCATCTTTATCGATACAATCATGAATGTATCGGAGAGGTAAAGTATTAGTTATAACATGATCTCTCAAGCCTCCAACATGGCATTGCAAAACACATTTTATTCCTATGTCACTTTGAACTAAGAAGGTTGGATGTTCGTTATAATTTGCATTTTTTAATAACTCTCTCATATATGTTGTATCATTAGATATGTTTTCAGCGGATGCCATTAATGACATATGAATATTTGATGTCAATGACTGTGAACCATCTTTACTTCCTTTGGCTTTCGAACTTCCCACTAAGGATGAGAAAGATGCAATGTTACGAAGTTCATTGTAAGATCTCACCGATCTTGCAGAATCATTTTGTGCAAAATTTCTAATATTCTTTGAATTATCTACAATTTCTCTAGAGGTTGATATTATTTCGTCATCTAAAATTTGAAACTTAGATGATAACAAGACAAATTTGAATTCTTCACTATTTTCGTTGGACAGAATAAATCGACTCACAAGTTTTGATTTACCCCAAAAAATTGTATCAAATTCGATAGTAGATTGAATCTCTTTTATTGGTTCCGTAGGAAGACGGTCCTTAATATCTTCTAGATGTCTAATATTATCAGTGGATGTATTCACCAATGATGTTTTAATAACATCAAGACTCTTTATGGCTTTCTTGTCTAAATCATCTAAGACATCAAAAATAAGTGAAATTTCTAGTAAGTAAGGATCAAGTCCTAATTCCATGAACGAAATGCCTTCGTATCCCTTTTTTAATTGTTCTGAATTTCTTAATGTTTCAATATATATTTCAGCCTCTTTCTTTCCTTTTGGATAATATTTAACAAATTTTTTAAATAACTTCCTCACGGCTATTCGTTGTAAAATCAAATACCTTGATAACATTTTTAATTCTTTACTACATCTTATTGTTGCAGTTTGTATTGTCTTTATTTGCCTCTTTGATTCTTCCGTAGTCAGCGTTTCAAAATTAAGATTCTCTAACACTTGGGAATATTTAATAATAAGATTTTCAATGCTAATAATCTTAGAAGATATCTCTTTGATCTTTAAACTTGTAAATAAATTGACAGAATTGAATTGTTCTAAAAATAGGTTGCTACATCTTATGAGATTTATCTTATCTGTCTCATCGTCACCGCTCTCTGTCGTAGCTCTCTTAATTGACAGTTTCAACTTTTGATAATCAATATTATTATGTCTCCATTGTGGTACAGATTTATCTAAGATTTGTGTACCAAATTTCATAATTGAAACAATATAAAAGTATACTGTGTTTGTTCTACTTCCTGTAATAGCGCAAATACAATTAATTTTTATTAATTCTTCACTTCCTTGCTGTAATAAAAATTAGGGTTTTTTTTCATTCAGTTAATCATAAGACTAATAAAAAGAAAATGTAAAAACTTGGTTTGATGTAAATATGTATAATGTATTAGGGTATAAATAAATGTGGGGTCAATCCCAGACTCTATGATATAACTTTATTCTCGACGGAACCCTTTTTTTGGGTTGACCCAGTAACTACCAATATACGATTAATTAGTTAATCTTTTATATATATTTCAAAATTAGGTAAAAACGATAAAACTACAACAATGCGCAGCAACCGAAAAAAAAACACGGAGAATTGTTAAGAGAGGTTGTATATTGTCATTAAGAATTAATTAACAAAAGAAGTCTAAATTGATCGATTTTTATTAAATAAATAGAGAGATCGGGTCAACTTTAATAATATTAACAGAGAAAAGTATTCAAACAATGAATTGAAACCTGTACAAAAGGGTTAAAAAGAAAAAAAATTGATGACCTCATTAGATATTAAACCAAGACGTAAGGCCACACAACGTACAGAAAGGACCTACAAGAGTGCAAGCTTTTAGAATTCCTCTTTTAGAATTCCTTTTGATTGTTTGATATTAGTGCTATTGTATAAAATCATCGAGTTGTCTTGAGCTGGGAAAAAATAATGACAGCATTTTTTACTGTTTTGTCATAGGAAATCAACAACTTAATATCCTGATTTATATAATAGATCAAAGGGACGTCTCTATATTTGAGCGTTTAGTTTCTGTTAATAGTACGGCAAAATCACAGAATAAATAGAACAATAAATTATAATATGAATGAAACTTATCATTGTTATTGAAATTGTAAAACTCACTTCATTTTTTTTATGAAAGTTACAATTTTATTGGTATAAGAATTCATCGCACAACCAGGAAAAAAATTCTAACGCAAAAAAAGTAAGGCAATAAAAACTATTGTTTTCTCGTTTTATTGGCAATGACAATAATGCAGACCAAACAAAGAATGAGTGGTCTCATATTTCCGAACAGATATGTATTTCTCTTATGAAAAAGGTTATTTTGTAAGTATGATGTGTACTTGGTTTGGTTCTTGTTACGATCATTCTTCTTCCAAAAAATATCACTGTTGTGTTCAAATATAATTAAACAAAATATTAAAAAGAGTCATAATGGTAGCGGCTCAGGCTAATATTTCACAATTGAAAAAAAAATATATTGTTCATTTCATCTTGCTAAAATTTTAATCTTTAAACTTAAAAATAGACTTTCTTCTTTCAATCAACTTCAAGTGTCTATGTTTTATTAAACTCTTATAATATTTAATAAGTTTTAAAGTTTATTATATAGGCCTCTTACAATATTTATACAATATTGAAATATATTGATCACTAGTAGGTTGTAAAATTATAGTTGATTTGGAAAATTACTGTCATTTTACGTTTTTGTTAGGCTAGTTATGTCGGTACATATTCCGATAACGTTTGTTATCTGATCCGCCTTTCATTTATTTTTTAACGTTTTGTTGGAAAAAGAATCTTTTTTTTACTCTTTTATTATCTTAAAAGCGACTAAAAATAATGGGGAGGCGATGAGCAACGAAAATTTGAATCTTAACTTTAAACCCTCTTAAAATTGTTAAACAAGTATACAAGTAACACATCTGCAATAAGTTATCCCTAGAGGTTTATATAATTTTTCTGATTATTATCATTATTCATTGAAGCAATATACATATACAGTAATAATGGCTAGCAGCAATGATAAAAATGCAAAGAAGGAAAATCAGCATTTACCACGATATATAACGAGTAAACCATGGTATTATAACGGAGACAAATCAGAAGATTATCTGTCTCATCATCGACAATCTCATAACGAGGGAAATCTCTTAGATATCGAGAATAATAATGAAGCGAAACATGGTCTTGGTATTCATGATACTTTTATAAATAATAACAAGGGAATAAATCAAAAGAAGAGGACAGGTAAACCAACATGTACAAACTGTGGGAGCTTTGATCATATAAAGAAGGATTGTATGGAAAGACCAAGAAAAATGCAACAAATCAAAAATATGGCAAGTAGAATACCGCTTAATGGACAAGTCATGAACGATAAAGAGATGGATTGGGATGCTAGAAAGGATAGATGGTTTGGTTATTCTGGCAAAGAATACAATGATACCTTAGCTAAATGGGAAGCAAATAAAATCCAAGGTAAGAATAGTAGTAATAATAATAATCAGGGTGATAACCAAGGCGAATATGATACGGATGAAGAAGTTGAATATACCAAATTACAATTAGGAAATTATAAGCGGATCAAAGAAAGTGAAAATAAAGAAAAAGGAAGTACAGCAATTCGTATACGGGAGGATAAAGCAGCATATTTGAATGATTTGAATTCAGAGACTACGAATTATGATCCAAAATCAAGATTATATAAAGATAATAATTTAGGTGCAGTTGATGAAAAATCAAATATGTTCCGTAGACATTTGACAGGTGAAGGTCTTGAATTTGACGAATTAAACCAAATGGCAAGGAGTAATGCCAGAAAGGAAGGAATCAGGGATGAAGTTAAGAATGTTAAGAAAGTGGAACATGTTCTTATTGCAAATCCAACTAAATATGAACAAATGATGAGGAATGAAAAATCTATGAAATTGAATGGACAGAATACCACCACAAATGAACCAAATATTGGGAAAGGTGAAGCAAAGAAAAATAAAGGCAAAAAACAGGATAAAAAATCAATGGATCAATTAAGAAGTATGTATAAATAGTGATTTTAGTAAATATTTTTTAAACAAAGAAAAAGATGTCTCTAATCTTTTGATTATATTCATATGTCAAAGGTAAATCATTAAATACGGAGAGTATAGTAAGTGCGTAAAATTTTTTCAAATCCGCTCAGTAAGCGATGAGCTGAGAAAAAAAAAATAATACTATCTATAAGAAATCGATGACCTTTGATCAAATATATATTTAAATTGAATTCTGTTAAAGTTTAATGGTAAAACACTATCTAATACCATATTTATTGAGATAAACCGGAAAACAAGGATATAGGTTGACTAAAAAAATAATACAATGGAGAACAGCCCTTTTATCAAACAGTTATCTTCAAATAACAGAGTCGTGAGAGAAAAGGCTCTTGAAGCCTTACAAAAAGTGTTAATTTCTGAAAAATTCATGAAGGCCAAACAAATCCAATATGAAAAACTATGGAAAGCCTTATATTACACAATGTGGTTCAGTGATCGTCCAAGACCACAACAGAAATTAGCTCGTCAATTAGGTGAATTATTCATGTTATATGCTGAAGCTGGTGCCAATGATTCTTCTGAAATCCTTCTAGCTGACAAAGCCTTTATGAAATTCAGTAGGGCATTTTGGAAAGTGATGTGTTTAGAATGGTTTAATATTGATAGATACAGATTGGACAAATATCTTTTACTCGTAAGACGTGAAACATTTAATCAATTTAAATATTTACAAACTAGAAATTGGAATGAAAATTTAGTGGAAATGTATATCAATAAAGTATTAAAACATTCTCCATTGAGTGGATCTAGTAAGATTTATAATGGTATTCCATTCCATATTATAGATATTTTCTTAGATGAATATGAAAGACTAGCCTCTAAGAGAGACGACGAATATGATATTGAAGATGAGATTACAGATGAAGAAGAAATTGCTGAATTATTAAAAGAAACTCCATTACAATCATTCATAGATATCTTCATTGATTTACAGAAAAATATAATGAACAGTAAAGGTCTAAGAAATAAGATCAAAGAAGATCTTCTATCAGATGAACGTTTAATCAGATGGGGTGCTAAAGGGATTGATGCTTCAAGAAACGGTAACGACAAAAATGAAGAAGAATCAGATGAAGAATCAGATGAAGAGGTTGCCAATGCCGAAGATGAACCAGAAGAAGAAGAATGGAAAGGTTTTTAATAGAACCCACATTATAATCAAAATAAATAACTGTGTATAATATTACTCAAAACAAAGAAATAAATAAATAAAAAAAGTGCATTACTATATTGATCTTTTGGGGAGACATTGAAGTACTGTTGTAGACAGTGTGGTCTTCGATTGCAATGTGGAATAGATTATCACTGAACACGATCGCGCGTTCTCTGGAATTGACACGTTAACATTATTACGTGAATTTTAGCGACCATCACACACCAATGGAAAAAAATAAGGAAGAAGAGAACAGCTTAACCAAAAAAAAAAATTATGGACACGGTGAACCATAATAATAATAATTTGGTTCTACAACAATTTTCGTGTTTTGATAACCTTGTCACATCTTATATATATACACACGATTTGATAACAGTATTTAGTACAATTTAATATAAGGTACTTATTTACTAATCAATTCTATTCTATAATTCTATTTTATTTTATTTGTAATAGTAACAATAAAATACATACACACAACAATAAACAAGATAAAGATGGCAGGTGAAAAGACTGAAAACAACCAAATGGAGAAAGCTATGGATGCTCCATTAGAATTCGTTAGAGAAGGTAACCAATTCTTAAGCAAGTGTAAGAAACCAGATTTGAAAGAATACATGAAGATCATTAGAGCTGTTGGTATTGGTTTTGTTGCTGTTGGTATCATTGGTTATGTTATCAAGTTGATTCATATTCCAATTAGATATGTCATTGTATAATTTTAAGGATAGTAATAATAATTTTTTCAAGAGTTATAAAACACAAACACAATCAATCACTTTAATATAAATTATACTTCTCCTTCTTCTTCATTCAAAGAAAACAAATTCTGTATTTTACTACGAAAGCAAATAAAAAGATATAATAAGGTATATTATTCTCTTTTATTTACCATAACAAGATATACATTTCAAACTTGTATATTTCAAATATTATTATTTTACATATATATATACATCTCTAGCATTTTATAGTTAATAGTAATAATAGTAATAATAATAAACAATTATAATGTTCAAGTGCTAGTGGTTTTAAGAAACATATGATCGAATTTCAATACCTCGTGTTTTCTAAGACTAGTAAATTTATAGGTAATAAACGATTTATCGAACAATCAATACACCCAATATATGATCTACTTCCAGGTAATTATATCATCACCATAATGATCTGTACATATATTCAAAACTATACGTTTACAGTTTGTTATACAAGAAGGACTGCCATTGAATCAAACCAATATACGTAATTTACTAACGAAGTAATGTCTTTATGGAGAGTACGTGTCTGCGTAGGCCTCATTCTACTCATTGTAATACGTATAGATATATTATGTTACAATTGAATTCGCATTGATAATTACTATGCCACATTTACGCTGTCTGTCTCGCTGTAATTAATTCTTTCCGCCACTAGTTCTAGACACCTACACACCACACAGAGAAATACGCGTACAAAACCCGTATCCAAGTAATATCCACGCACAAGATATGTATTTTCGCCGGCTCAAACTATCCATAACATACACACAGAAAACAGCGCAGAAATATAAAAATAACTGTACAATTCACAATTACAATTCCTAATACGGATTAAATAATGTAATTTACGCTGCACAACCAAAAAACAAAAATATCCACACAGCAGCACGCACAGTTAGCTTAACCAACGACGAAGAGACAGCGACAGCAACAGCTTCAACAACAACAACATCATCAAAGACAACATAAAATTTGCATTGTTTTTGGAAAGTCATGATCCAAGTTTGAATTAAACCTTCGCTTAATAAAGTAAAATGCTGTCTCTTCTTTGAAAAGTTTCATTCTTTTCTTTTTTTTTCACCATTTTTTTTTTTTTGCTGTATGCAATTTAAAAATAGTTCGACACAACCGGTCTTTCTAACAAAGTTGCAATAGTCCTCTTTTGGTTGCTCATTGTTAACTCCTTGCAACGTTTGATGGATGTTTCAGTTTCATTGTTCTTTTTATCAGTACTTTTAACTATTGATCTAATATATACACATATATATATATAAATAAATATCTTGATCTCAATAGAAAAAATAGACTAAATAGGCTCACACTATTCTTTTGATCTACCAAGAAGTTAGCTCATATATATCACTAATACAGTTCAATTCATAAAAACTGATTAAAGGCTGTCAATTTCTATCCATTTCCTTTAAAACAAGAATAGATCAATAATATAGATATATATATTTTCATTCCCTAAAATATAGTATTCTTTTTTTCCATGATACATTAATACTCATCATCCTTGCAAAGAACAATTTTTCCACTCGTTATTTAACACTTTTGAGATACTATAATATCAGATAAAGTAGTACCACTTACTCTCCAATAATAGAATTCATAAAAAAAGATACCTTTCATATATATATTCTGAAACTACTCAATTGATCATCTTTTTTATTTTTTATTTTTTTTAATTCACTTAATCCATATATTAATATCTTTAAAGAGCACACACACTACGTTAGACACATTTTAATCATCTCTTTTTCTGATAGGTGATAATGATGCAAACTTATAATTCTCCATATGCTAATAGGTCTTTATCATCATTGAAGCAGAATCATATCGCTAGATCGAATTCAACTTCTGATCTGTTTGATTTAACCGCCGATATGAAACATAAAAATATTCATTCAACTAAAAAAAAATCTAATAATCAAGTTTATCATATGGAATCAATTACAATGAATAATAATAAGAATATTGATAATGATTTCTATATTACGAACAATCATGCTACCAAAAAAAAATTAACTCCATATCAAGTACAAAGGCAAAAGATGCAAAAATCATTTATGTTTCCAAATGGTGAAAATTTTACACCGAAGAGGTCGAAACACTATAAAAATTGTAGAAATAATTTTACCAAAAATGAAAATGTATCTACTACTTCAATAAATTCAGCTCCAACCATTAATTTTCAAAGATCTAATTCTTTAGCTACATCATCAAATAGAACTCAAATGATAATGAAACATAAAAAATTATCAACTTGGTCATTAAATATACAAGATAAAACAATTAATAATGGCATGCCAGATATTATGGAGGTCAAAGCACAATCTCCTGTAACTTCAAAGAAAAGTAGTGATAGTGACAATTCAATGAAAGATGATAGTCAAAGTAATAATACTTTACCAACAACAGATTCTGATATTGAAATATTACAAGAAAATATTATAAAACCAATTGTCTTATCTGAAAAAAATATGTCATCTCCATCAGTTGATCTAACAAATAATGTATCACTATCGCTTACAAATAAAGATAGTAATGAAGCTTCACCTCCAAAAGTTACTGATAAGGTTGAAACAAAAATAAGAAAATCTTCAAAAAGACATGAGATATCTTCTTCTGAAAGTCTAACAGCTGCAAATAATATAGAAATGCCTAAAAAGAAACGTTCTTCAAGTGGATTAAAGTTAAGTACATTTTTTAGAAGAATATTTGGTGGTAATTCTTCTCTGAATGAAAGTCATAAGAAGAGAAAACTTAATAAACCAAACGAAAATGTTGTCTCATCTAAGTTAGAAAAAAATGAAGCAGAGAAAGAGAAACCAATGCAACTAGTTGAAGACATAACGTTATCTCTTGACCTTGAAAATGAAATTGATAATAATTTAATGGATACAGATTTAATATTTGACAGTATATTATTAAAGATGAACAACGGGAAGACAACAACTTTAAATGCTAAACCGAAAAAGATCGAAAATTTTACTCCTATTGTCTCTCAGAAAGAAATTCCATCAGTTGATAATTCCTGCCAAGACCCGAATTTTGTTGATCATAATCTAATCAACGATTTCGCTAAATTAGGTAACTTCATTAACCTTTCCATATCTGATGATATTAACCAACCACCACCAAGATCTTCAAAGCGTCCTACTCTTGACTCAAAACGCACGGCCTCTGAATTTTATAATTCCCAACAAAACATTATCAGAAGATTGCAGAATGAATTTGGTATTGTATTAATGGATGAAACACCTTCTAAAGAAACATCCTCTTCCGGTAAAAGAACAATTCTGAAGATACCCTCTCATGTAAACAATAAGGGAACGAACAAAAAATCTGTTCAATTCACCGATAAGGTTTATTTAACTAACACATATTCATTAACAGAATATGAAAGAAAGGATAGAGGTTTTAAAAGGAGAATGACTCTGTTAATGCAAGGAGATCGAACATTTTTTGACAGTGTCAAGAAAGAACTAAATTACTACAAGAGCCATGAAATGGCTGTTCATCAGGATATGAAACAGTATACCCAATTTTTTGACTAAGCATTAACAAAAATAACACCAATCTGCATTTTACACTAATCTTCCATTTTTTTTAAAAAAATAAGTTCAATAACATTCTAATTCTATTGTACGGAAATATCTAATAAATAATTACATAAATATAATAAACATATTATTCCTTCCATAATCACGTTGAGTTTAGCTTAAGTTTCAATTAATATTTATGTTTACACATCTTCATTATTGAAACAATAAATGGGATATGATGCATATATTATATATTGTTATTAGCGGCGCGGCAAAATTTCACCTAAGAAGCAATTTGTTAGAGATTTTGCAAATTCAAAAAATAAAGCCCAGTGAGTTTAGCTACAAAAATCTATTTAGTCTGGCATATGGGCTACTAACAATTGTGAATGGAAAACCAATAAAAGAAACGGACCTGGTATTAAAACAACTCTATTAATAACATACATTGAATTGAGTATTTTGGAATTTTCACCACCCAATAATAAATATTTAAATATCCTTAAAAAATGGAACACATAAAGGGGTTTTACAACACTATCCTGAAGTCCTCACATCCAATAACGCTTTCGCTACATCTTGCTGGTAAAGCATTTCCGTTAGTGTTTTACATGTTAGGAGATTGGTTTACAGGATTCACAGCCCAGTTCATTGTGATCATCCTCGTCCTGGCGTTTGATTTCTATTTCACGAAAAACATTAGTGGACGAAAATTAGTCCAATTACGTTGGTGGTATGATTCCACAATAACCAGAACCACAACGTTTGTCTTTGAATCATACAAACAATACCCTGCAGATGGCCATGTTATTAATCCAATCGATTCTAAATTATTTTGGTGGTCAATGTATTTAACACCTGTTGTTTGGCTTGTGTTCGGATTGTTGTGTCTGCTTCGTTTAAAATTATTTTATCTTCTTCTAGTTGCAGTTGCAGTCTCTTTGACAGGCTGGAATACATACGGCTTCCGTTGTTGCGATAAATGGGAACCAGGTCATGATGTAGATAGTGCTACTGATACGTGGTTTCAACTCCCAAATTTTGGTGGTTTCGAAAACATTTCTAGATTGGCAAATGTTCAATCTTTCTTTCAAAGGACTACTGGTTCTTCAAGCGTATAATATTTACCATTAATAGACTAAATACTTACAATTTAATAAATTTGTATGGCTTCATATTTGAAACGTTGACCCGTAAAATACATATCGGTTACTAATGAAATATTTTTGTTTTGTATTACTATTGTACAATTCTTTCTTATATATATTCTCATATTAAACAAAAGCAGTTATACTTACCTTCTCTTATATATACATGGTTTTAATAACCATTTCCCTTCTGCAACCTTCTTTCTCTTAACTTCTAATTGTTCCTTTTCAGTCTCTACTTCAATGAACTTATTTCTTCTTTCTAATTTAGCTTTTCTTTCTTGTATAATATCCTCAGGAGGTTTAAAAAATTCAAATCTAGTGAACATTTTATTTGAATCATCAGTCTTCTTATGGAAGAAACCTAGTAATTTAAGAGTTTCAACAAATTCATCACCTCTACCATCAGAAAATCTCGATTTGATTTCGGATATCCACAATTCACCTCTTGGAGCCAATATTCTATAAGCTTCTTTAATGAAATCCAAAAAGTTTGTACCCATTAAAGAGAGACAGAAAATAACTATCGTAGCAGATTCATCTTTCATTGGAACATGACGAATATCAGCTACTGTAATTCTGTTATTTATTTGTTTCAAATCAAAACTGTTAATCTTAAAATTAATCTTACGTCTACCTTTGGCTCTTTTGTTAAATTTATTGAAAAATTGGGTAACATCTAATGCCAACTGAGCTTCACCACAACCCATATCTGCTATAACAATTTCCTTGTTTGGGTATAGACCTGGTAAACCACCTGGTGCATTAATAACCTTTTTAGAACGGAATTTAATTTCATTAACAAATGTATCTACTGGGTTTTCAGGCCAACTTTGAACTTGAGACCTGAACCCTTCATGATATTCATCGAATAATCCAGGTTGTTCTTTAATCAGATTCAATGCGTCCTCGGAAGAGATTGTGTATAATTGTTCATTAATCCATCTGAATCTAGATCCTGATAATTTGGCCATCATCTTTTGTTGTAATGGTGTCAAAGTTTTTGCTGCTGGCTGAACTGGAGGTTTAGTAACTTTCTGTGGTTTGTTCTTTGTTTTTTTAACCTCTTTAACTTTCTTCTCATCTTCTTCGACATCAGAAATTTCTAAATCTTGATCATCCTCTTCATCTTCCTCGTTCTTGGCATCTTCATTTTTAGTATCCTTTGGTTTCTTACTTTTACGTTGTTTTCTATCAATTTTTTCTTTTCTGTTTCTTTCCTTTTGGGCTTCTTTCTTTTTAGAGTCCTTGAAAGCAATTTTATCAGTGTTTAAATTCCACCCTTCCACTTTAAACAATTCCATCTTTAATTGACTTCTGTTGTGTTCTTGTTGACGTAGATCTAAAGCCTCCTAAATAATCCGTTATACTATTATCTATAAAATATTAAAGAAGATGATTATAACAAATTTGAAGCAGTTTGTATATATATATTTTTTTTAAATTTTATTGAAAATTTTCGTTCATCTCATCTCATCGGAAAATATGAATGGGGGAGGGGCCGATCTATATGGAGAAGAAAAATAATTTAAACTACGTAAATGTTAATAAACATCGAAAGAGACAAAAATGAATCAGAAAGAATATGTATATGTGTTGTAACTATATAATATGGTATATTTATATTTATACGTCGTTGAATTTAGTATCATATTTTAGATGTATTAACCAGAATGCATCTGTTCGTTTTTCTATCCACCAATCAATAATATGATTACTTTTATCACTAACTATACGACTCAATGCAATTTTGAAAATCGTTATGATGATGATTGTTGAAATACTTCCGTGGTTTAATTCCAATTTATCAAGAACGAAACTCGTATCTACAGTAATTGTAAGACATTTAATAGTGATCATTGCTTTCAATCTTTGTGATGAATAATTATATAATTTTTGTAACAACTCAACATTGATGATATTTTGCTTCCTTTTTTTCCGTGATATCAAGGCTTCGTTTTCCAATTTTGTTAAAAACGTACAGAAATATTTTTCTTTAGTAGGTATTATAATGTGATCATCTTGAACTCCATCAATTAAATTAATTGAATAATTTGCCGTACATTTCTCCAATAATAATTGTACATCATTTGAATAGAAGAACGTTTCGACGTTTGCAGTTGATTGTGAACTTTTCGATATGTGTTCTAATAAACATGCTATTAATTGATTGTATATTTTTTTCTCTAGATGTATGTTTTCATCATCAATTATCTCAAATGAAGGTTCTTCACAAATCTCTATAAGATTATCATCATTATTAACCATCATGACTGACTCATCGCTATCAAATTCTTCCACAGAATTCGATTCCATATCGATAGCCCTGTGTACTATTGAAGTGTTTGGTCTCGGTGTCTCAATATCAATAACTTCTGATTTCTTAGATAATTCATTTAATAAACCATTGTTATCTTCCTGTATATCTTGAGGGTTCCAAGGTTTACTCATCAACTGATTTTTAAGTTTTAAGCATTTAGTCCAGAATGTTGTTGTTTGTAAAATATTAGAATCATTAACGTTAATAATTTCAATTACATTAAATTCAATCATATCCTTTGTTGAATACCACGATTTTTCAACAGTACAGGTTAAATACCAATTTTTTTCAAACTTTGATAATGTATCCTTTGAATAATCTGTTAATAATGAGACTGGACATTTAAATTGAATTGAATGTAACTCATAATTTGAATTATCATCCATTTTAAATATTACAAAATCTTGATTTTGAATTAATTTCATTCTTAAGGATATGATTTTCCCATGAATAGTAAAATATCGTATTGGATTATTTCTAATGAATGTTAATTCTTTTAATAATAATGGATAAAGGCTTCTTATTAATGAATCTCTTCTTTGAGAATCAATTACTCTTAATAAATCAGATATTAGTATGTGAATTCCTAATCGATAATATACATTCTTATCAAAGCTTTCTGGTTTATAATATATTATACCTGTTGAATTGGAAGTATACAGGATATAATCAGTAGCATCCTTAAGTATTCCCGCATCATTATCTGCCATTAACAACCATATGAAAGTTGTAAATCACTTTACTTAAAAACGATCAACCTTTTCTGTCCAAAATAAACGACAACTGACAAGTTCACTACTTTATAGCTTCAAAGTTTCCTTTAAAATCAGCTCCAATGGACCTCGAAACGAAATTTTCTATTTGTTTATGTTTACTTATTAAGTAGTTGTATTCCAGCCGTACAAAACGATGCACATCTAACGCATCACGTGCCTATATCATTGAACACGGAATAGAAAAAAGCAAACATGCGGATGTAACAGACGGAACAGAAATGAAATTGTAAAATATTTGCCGGTAACGGATCTTCTGCATTGTTCCGAATACTCCGTCAATTGAAGAAAATATGTGTAGATATAATAAAGCTTGTCGCGCCTTGTCGAAATTTTGACGTAACGATGAGACTATACAGGATCCGCCGTGTGGTTTCTGTTTTTGTGACGTCGGTCTTTTTTCTTTGACACTCTAAATAAGATGGAAGAGGAGATATTGAATATAGTAACCTGTGCTAAGTCTCTAATCCATTCTAACAATTTGTGATAACTATGTGTGCTTCACAAGCACTGTCACAGGAAATACGTCAGATATAATTACTATATAACACTTGAATAAAATAAGAATAAAATTGTGCCAAACGTGGTTTCACTTTTAGAATAACTCTTTTCAATGATATCCCATTTCTTTTTTTGGTTTTCCTACCGTTGCAAAGTCGTTTTATGGGTCGGTAACAGTAAATGGTACCAAGAGAGAAAGAGGTCTACGTTACTATATCTTTACAATTGCGATAAAAAAAATAGGGCACTGCGGCACTAGTATGTAGAAACGAACTGGTCAGTCTATTCCCCGAAATAAAAAGGACATTTCTTTAAATTTTTGCGTTTCATACAATTGACACACTTCATTTGTATGTTTCTAAATATCTGTAAGAATCAATTTGTTATTCAGGCTATTAACAATTGTCCAATGCATACCTATATATATATATATATATATACTGAAAAGAGTACACTATTTCCACTGTGCAACATCCTGAAAATGTGTTAACTTTTTAAGTTGTACGGTAATTACGTATCAGAAAACGAAAGAAAAAAAAGCATAACCTTTATCCTCATTTATTTCGTACTACAGAGAGGGATCGGGAATGAAAGGAATTACAATACATAATAAAACTTAACTCACAGGAAAGTTAGAAGAAAAGGCGCATCGAATGACGGAACAACCAAAGTTCTCTTTTTCTTTATTTCTTCTGTGGAATGATCTATTGCATTGAACACCAGTAGCCTTATAGAGTGTTTTCACAGTAATTTATATTTCTCCCCCTCTACTTAACACAAGATTATAAACAACTCTTCTCGTAAAATTGATAGAGGCTCTAAATGGTCATATAGTTGACCAATTAGGGAATATGGAAAGAACGAAAAATCACAGATATCATTCACTATTCTCACACGTCTTTGAAAGTTGATGGTGGGGCTTGTAGGTCTCTTGACAGATATTCATACTGTCGATATAACATTTATATATTAAACTGTTTCCTCACCGTTTTTATACAACAGATCAAGAAAGTATGCGTGAACATGCGAAATTATGTTTCAGAACATAATTAGTTGATGCCATCTACTCTCTGTTTCTATTTATATTTTTATAGATATTTGTTTTTTTCTTTGTCATGAATTACTCATTCCTACACTTTCTTGTCTTAAGTATATCTATTATATACACCGAGAAAACTGTGTATGTATCTCTTTACATATCCTACATCATTTCTTTCTTATTCCTGCAATAATTCATGTGTGTGTCAATAGAGAGATGGAGGAAAACAAAAAAAAAAAATGCTTCAAGAATAAATTCGTCAACATTACGACATTATTTTTTTTGCATTTATTTGACTATTTATAAGATTTACAATTTTGCTGAATTTATTCTTGAAGCATTTTGCATTCTTAAAAAGACACAACACTTCACAAGAAATAGAATAATTATAGTAGTTTCGTCATCATTACAAAACAACTTCTATTGCCTTCTAAATATTATTATTACCGCTATTTCCCCTCTGTCTCTCTGTCTCTCTCTTTTCATCAGCTACTACTAAGTTATTCGAACAAGTAACTAACTCACATCCTTTATTCGTTCGATATCCATCACCATCTGTTCTACGTTAGTTTTTTTTTCTTTCGGTCCTTACATTTTACGTATTCTCACACATTATTAGTGACAAGTAAACCTTGCCCATTGAAAAACAGAAAAAAAATAGAATAAAATAAAATAAAGAAAAAAAAAATAAGGAAATAAGGAAATAAGGAAATACCACACTAAATACGAAGATATTAACAATTTCTAGTAACAATAATAATTACAATAAGAATAAGATAATTTATATCTCTCAATAAAACATTCACTATTGTCCATATTACCGCAGACACACGTCAGAAAATAGTATTATCCAAGTTTAATATACTATTCCCCTATTAAAGTGTTTTCTCCCCTGTATTTTCTTCCCCCATTTATTTCATTACTAATAAATTTTGACATTAGTTTTGAAATTTAATAACGCAAAAGAGGAAACTGACATCAAAAACAAACCTCCATAATATCAGTTTTTCATTTTATTATTCCTTGGGTTAACCCACTGATTAGTTGTAACTTTTATTTTTGATTATTATTCCTATACTATATATTACTTTTTTCTAGGGTGATGAATTACAATCAACAACAATATTTGAACGACTACCTCGTAGAGGCAAACCCTTTATCCGATCCAAACGTCTTTAAGACTAGTAACATGACAGATACTTCCAGTTCCAATAACTCTCAACTACCAACTAATAATAATAATAATGACGCCATTAATGGAAATAATAACAATAATGCTCAGTCAGAAAACGTAACAAATTCAAGTATAAGTCCCACGGATAATAGTAATAATAACATTCCTGATGAGATTGGAATGGTATCACAGGGACAACTGTCTAACGGGTTACCTATTTCTATAAACACAGCTAATGCATCATATCCACCCTCTACTAGTAATAATACTGGTGGGTCAAATAGTTCTGCTACACGTATTGGAAGATCAGGAGCGGGAATTATTGATGGGAATCCACAAAATACAAAAATGAATATGAATATTCCAATGAATCAAATGCCTAATAATATTACCGATAATAATAGCAATACTAATGGTGTTGGTATGAATCGTTCTGCAAGTATAGGAACAATTTCAAATAATGTTAATAATGGTAATTCTGAAAATGGCAGATTAACTGGAAATGGTATCTCTCAGGGTAATAATCCATCCTACCCCAATGATAGTTTAATGGAAGCTAATGAAATGAATTATATAAATGCAAATACAAACAATAGACAATTATACCTCATGAATATGGCAAATAATCCACATTTGATGAATGATGCTTCTATTCAAGAAACTTTATCTCCATACTTTCAACCATTTGGTGTAGATGTTGCCCATTTACCGATGACAAATCCTCCAATTTTTCAAAGTTCTTTACCGGTGTATGATGAGCCTGTCCCAAAAAGGCGTATATCTATCTCTAATGGACAAATAAGTCAATTAGGGGAAGATATCGAGACTGTAGAAAACTTATACAATACTCAACCTCCACCGTTGCCTAGGTACCATGATAACAACCATTCTTACCAAAATGTAAATAAACAGATGGTTCCACCTGGTTCAAATGCAGTACAACAATCTTCAAATGGATCTTTTCTTCCTCCTGCTCCTCAACAACAACCAGTTATGTCTAATAATGGTATCCATCAGAGACAGGGTTCTATCACTAATATGATGTACACTAATGGTGGTATGGCTCCATCTGACCAGACTATTCGCCTTCAATACCAACAGAGGATCCCACAACAACAGCAGCAGCAGGTATTACAACCATCCATACGACAATCACTGAATCAACAAATGAATCCAACTTACTCACAAGCAATAAATTATAGGGGTGATAGCAACCAAACAGTCCCCATCAAACAGCAACTTCAGGAAAATATCGTACCGTCAACAGCACCAGGACAATTGGAACATCGTAATTCTCTTTCTCAATCCGATTCGAAATATTCTAATCAAAGGGTAAAGCAAGAATGTGCAGATGATAGCGATGCTTCATCTATTCCTCCACCACAAAAACAATCCAAATATAATTCTTATGGTATGTATGAAAGATCTGCGGAGGCAACTCCTGGGACCACAGCGTGGAAGAGAGCAAGGCTGTTGGAAAGAAATAGGATTGCTGCATCGAAGTGTAGACAACGTAAGAAAGTTGCCCAATTACAGCTACAAATCGATTACGATAAGATTAACAAAGAAAATGTGGTTTTAGAGAAGAAATTAATATATTACGAGAAACTCATTTCGAAATTCAAAAAATTCACAGAATCTCATTTCAATACATGTCACAAGACTAGCAATAGTGTCAATGATGATGACAAGAATGCACTAAAGATCATACAGGAGATGTTGATGATTGACGAAGACATTCATGAGGTTAATGATAATGGGAAAATAATAAAATTAAGTGTGAAAGATCCACCTTCGGTTCCAATAACTCCGAGTCAATTAGCCGATGGAGCTATTATATCTGATGGAGAAACCGATTAATATAAAAATATTGGTTCACATTAAAAATGTCTTTATTAAATAAACTTTGATATATTATTTAAACGAAAAGTATATAAAAAAACAACGTTTTTATTTTTATTTCTAACATTAAGTTGACCAAAATCATATTCACGAATCGTTCCAGTGACGACTGGTTACAACAAGCATATTTGTCGCGGTAAGTTTACAGGATCTAAATATGATATCTTAAGGTCGTCCTATCTTGTTTATTGTCTTCATTTCGTATATTGGAATTACATTACATGTTTTATATACATACTATACTTAGGAGAAGGAAATGCATCTTCTAGGCACAATGATCATCATAAGGGATAACTCGAACACTACCCAAAAAATAATACTTTACTTCATTTTAGTTTTAATGTGGGGTGGAAAGAAATTAAGTCATTAAATTTTAAGAAGGTTATCTAACAGGTGCGAACCAATCATGTCCCATAGCTTCTCTAGCTGTAAGTCTTTCTTGATGGTCATATCTTAGTAGATTATCAATCAAATCAATAATTGCTTCATTTCCACTTAAATGCTTATTGGATTCATTAATAAACCTGTACCATGGTCTTCTAATATATTGGTCCATATCATGGAACTCCTTTGGTAGCTCAATTTCGTATTTTTCCAAATACTTTTCGAAATCGTCACTTCCCAAAACACGAACAATTTTTACTAATTGATCAGTGTTACTAGTACCATGGAAGAATGGTTCTTTTTGGAAAATCATAGATGCAAGCATGGTACCAAAGGACCACATGTCTAATGAATAATCATACATTCTGTAATCCACCAGTAATTCTGGACCTTTGAAAAATCTTGATGCAACTCTAACATTATATTCCATATTAATATGATAAAACTCAGCAAGACCCCAATCAATTAACCTCAACTTTCTTTGTTTATGATCAATCATAACGTTATGTGGTTTAACATCTCTATGCATAATACCCATAGAATGGCAATAGTCTAGGGCTTTCAGAAGTTCCATCATATAATATCTCATGTCAAAGTCAGTCAATTTTGGATATAAGATACGGAAATCAACATTTTCGACATATTCAAAAATCAATGCAGGCGTTCTGGAGATTGGATCTTTAATGATATCAAACAACTGTATAATATTATCATGACCATTATGAGGTAAATCATACAAGAAATTTCTCTTGAATTGCATAATACTATCCTTTTTATTTGTATAGTAATTTTCAATCTTAAATGGTTGAGCTGTTACTGGATTCTTTTCATTTGATAAATTTAATAGGATTTTAATTTCTCTCTTAATCTTCTTCTTCTTGACAGGTTTTAGCATTTTAATAACAATTTGGCTCCCTGATTTCATCTGCACACCTCTAAAGACTTCTGAGTACTTACCACGACCAACTTTAGTTTCAATTTCATAGTCTTTATTGTTAGTCGACCATTCAATTGATGTGTTTTCATAATCCCAGTACTCTTTATCTTTTTGTTTGTTTACGTTTGTGTAAACCCTTGCCTCGGACCATATTCTACTTTTCATTGTTGATATATATATATATTAATTATTAAAAAATCAGTGGAAAATATTAAAGAACTGATCCCTTTGACGAAAATACGTATTTAATTCTATTTGTGATCCGATTAAGGTTGGATAAATATCGTTTCTTTTGGAAAATAATATTTAATATCTACCCTAAAGACAATTATAAGGGAAGTTTCAATTAAAGTTGGTAACACCTGAATTAATTTGATTATAATTGGATAAAAGGTTTCAGAAAGCTCGTTGTTACTGTAGGTTATGATTATAAAAACACACTTTCCTGGAGTCCTGATTATGTTATGAAACATTGAATTGTTCAACCGTCCTTCCGAAATTTTTTTGTTTGTTTGTGAAACCGAGATAATTCGTACCTCACGATATCATTGGCTACGATACAATAAATTAAAGTAAGTAATACAGAAACCCGATTTCAACTTTAAAAGTAGTTAAAGTGATCTATATATTCAAATTCTTACCTGATTGAATCATTTATTGTATTGTGTTGAATGTAGACTTTACCCATGAACTCATCGGTATGCATTTACAACAAGGAAATGAAAAAAAAACTAACTGGCAAAATAGTCACGTTAACATAAACTAAAATTGCAAATATATAGATATGTATATATATATATATATAGTTCTATTTAACTAGTACTATTGATTCTGTATCGATTACAAATTTTGTAGACCCTTGACGATCTCTGCCTGAGCACTCTTTTCAGATTCGTTTCTAGATATTAGACTATTTTTATTTTGATGGAAAATATCTCTTGTCTTTTCAAAATACACAGTTTCTAGCATATCTCTCATTTGAGATTCAATATCTTCAATTAAGGTACCAAGATTAGTAATATGGGCAATACGTAATTGGTCTTCTTTATTAGTGTCTACTCTAAAATCTCTTTCAGTCTGTCTTGTTAAATTACCTGATAGTTTCAATTCCGAAGTTGCATTACTATCTAATTGTAAAATAATAGTAGTAGTAACTTTATAATTATAATCACCATTACCGGAGTTTGTCACTTCTATTACGTGAATACTATCCCAATTACTAGAACTACTGTTACTTTTCTTGAAAAGGACGACACCTGCAAAATCAGATTCTTCATCTAAATCCCATAAATAAACACTAGAGACACCACCTTCATAATATAAATCTCTGTAAACATCAAATGAATCATTACATATAATTTCTAATTCTCTCAATTTTTCACTTGGGAAGGGACTCTCTGCTAGGTCATCTGCAGTTAATTGTGGATAATAATCATTAGACCAAGGCGATCTATGAGAATCCATATCCCTATTGTAATCACAACATAAAAATTCACGATTAGATGCCTTTGGGTCTTGTTTAATTGTTAATGGTAAATCAATTGAAGACAATAAATCTTCAGCCATGGAAGGTTCTAAACTGATCAAATTTTGTAAATTGGTCTTTAGTTTTGTTGGATCTAAACGACGTAATAAATCTAAAGCGGAATCGTATTTATCATCAGAACTCATTATTTATATTTATTTTTGTATGGCAGCTGTGTATGAAGATGTAGTTGTTCTTAATCAAACGAAAGAACTTAAATAAACCAATTTCTTTCTTTCTGTTAACGTAAAAAGTAATTCAAATGATATGTATTTTTCTTATTTTTTCAGTTCGAGAAAGGGGAGAAAAGTGTATGTACATCAGCCAAAAAAAAAATAATGAAGTAATGAAAATATTAGTGTTTTCCTTTTTTATTTCAAAGAGAGCGAATGTCATAATATGATCTATATATATGTGTATACGTAAGATGTAAAAACATAAGGACATTACGACTATTAGTCTGTCTAAAAGTTGAATTAATTAACAAATGATTATTAAATATGTATTATTATTATTCTGCCATTAGAGCCATTATATAATAACCTAGAATAATTGAAATTAATTGTTGACTCCATAAGATCAATAATTGAAATTTCGTCTTACCTTCTGGAAAATTTAAAATCTCAGGTAATAAATTAATTGAAGCAATATAAATTAAACCACCTGCACTAAATGGGACTAAATAATCTTCAATCTTATTAGAATATTGATAAATTCCTTGATTAATAAATCCACTTAATAAAGTACCAATCCATGAACCTAATAATGACCAAATTACACTTTTATAGAAAAAAAATAATTTTGATTCATTACCATTTTTAATTGAATTTTTTGATATTATTGTATAATCACTTAATTGATGTGGTAATTCATGAAATAAAAATGCAATCATTGTAATTGTACCAATTGGTACAGATTTATAAAAAGATGTTGCAATTGTAATTCCATCAGTAATATTATGAATTAATGAAGTAATAATCGATAAATAGATTGATGTACCATTTGTAGAAGAGGAATCCTTTTCTTTTTCATCTTGTTCAATATGAGAATGAGAATGAGAATGACCATGACTATGAGATTGTGTAGCTGTTGATTTCCCATTAATAGATAAAATTCTAATAAACTTATCAATTGATAAAAAAGTTATTAAGCCAATAAATAATCCGATACCAATTGTATCAGGATTTGATTCTGGAATTAAATGTAAAAAAATTTCACCTAACAAAGTACCTAAAGCAAAGGAAATTAATAAATAAATGTTTAATTTATTAATTGGTAAGATACAAATTGCGATAAATGGTAATAATTGAATAATTGTTGTTGAAATTAATGAATTATATAAAGGGTTCCAAATAAATATGTTTTTTTCCATATATTGAATAATTGATGTAATTATTGTTGGATTAATTAATTGTAAACTTGAGGTATGCACATGATTATGATTATCGTGATCATGATGACTATGTGCAAATGCTGCTGAATTACAAAATATCAGTATCCCAACTATACTACTTACTAATCCCATCTCTCTTAAATTTAATTTTATTATTGATAACAAAATTTTGATGTAAGTGTATACATTTCTTGATCCTGCAAGATTCTATAAAAAAAAAATCTGCTATTATATAATATCTATATGTAATACTATGTGTGTCTACGTATCCTTAAGAAGAAAGAAATGTCATCGCTATTAGTTTTCACGTAAAGAATGCTAACATCATTCAATAATAGAAACTACGAAAGGAAACTACAAGAGAGTGAATAACGCGCTCATATTATTTTCTTTGAACTGTTGGCAGACGCGTCGACGATCTCATAGAGAGAGACAGAGACAGAGAGAATCAGTGCGCGTGTGCGTGTGTGAGTGTGTTCAGTCCATTCTTAATTACGTGGATGCATATCAATAATTGAACTGATCCTTTAAATTCCACTATTGTTGACGCTGTTGTTGATGGTTACAAGATCTCTTAAGTTGATAATGAATTCACTCTTGATAGTATATATGTATAACAAGAACCATCTTTATCGAGAAAACATATATTATAGTCCCGCCTCTCCTCTGTTTCCTTGATAATAACTAATAAAAACTCTCGATCGCCACATCTGTATATAATCAAATATCTTAACACTAGTAGTAAACTGCTCATCCCCATAGTTGCATTAGGCACAATTCAACTCCTGGATACAAACTTTACACAGTACTGCTCCTTCTGAATTAGTAAGTGCTCGCCCGACATCACTCGCCACGAGCACGCCGTGAAAGATTACCAAAAACTGAAAGGAGAATTCTTTGTTTTTCTCCCTTTTTTTTGGACCCGCTGCGTTGCAGTTTTGGGAGAGACGAAAAAAGCGAATTATTCGGGGGGGGGGCAGCAAAGGAAGCTTATTGCTTTGTTTGAACAAGAAATTTGTCTGTTTTCCTTTTGGGGGGAGAGGGAAGGAAGCACTTTGAACGTTTTTTGTAGTGGGAAGGAGAGAGAGAGAGAACACCGTTATTACGTACAATAGTGATAATAAACTATTTTACAGATTTAATTATTTAAGATCAGTTATACTTACATACACATTACTTAATAACTAGTATATTTGTAACAAGTAGATATATATAAGGAGACTATTACTGGATAATAAACTGTTATATTCTGCTATAGGAGACTGTGCTATTATATTACTTTTTTCACTTTGGCTCTCTGTTTGTTTTTTTTGGGAAATAAGGAACAATTTTTTAAAAAAAAATAGGGATAATTTATTATTTTTTTTTTTTGGATATAATTGAATTTTAACTAGAAAGAAAGAAAACAACAGTTTTATCAATCTGTTTTTGATATATAATATACATTAAGTCTTTAACTGTTAAACTTATTCTAAAATTCACTTCATATAAAGCAAGTATACCAGGAAGAAGATTAAAAAAAAAGATGCCTCTATCACAAGAATATCAATTTGAACTTTCTTTGTTCGAAAAGGAAATTGATTTACAAAAACCATCAGATTTTCTTCAATTTGCTGCAAATTATTTTAATAAAAGATTAGAATTGCAACGACAATTTATTAAAAATCAAGAACAATTAGCTAAATCAAAAGGAATCATTCTATTCCCAACAAATAATAATAGAAATGATTCTATTTCAGCTGGTAATGCGATATCAAATCCAAATAGTCATAGTAATTCGAATGTGGATATTCCATCTCAATTATCAAGAAATGGTACACCAGTAGATAATAACTCACAAAATGTTAAATTTAAATCACCATTTGCTGATAATGATCCTCATACTGTACCACATAATGATGAAACAAATAATAATAATAATAACAATAAAAATAAAAATACTCAAGTTGGACAAATTCACAGTAATGAAAATTCTTCTTCTGATTTATTTAAGGGTTCTTTTAATTTAGGTGGTAATGCATCTCAACCACAACATGATAAAGAAGATCCTCATGCTGTTAATAGAAAACGTAATAATAATTCACCATTAGGCCCATTTGATGGTCATCAAAATACTGAATCTAAAGCTAATAAAAAGACAACTGCAATTAATGGTGGTACTCCATTACCATTTCATTTTAATGCTGAAAGGCGTACTTCTGTTAGTGGTGAAACTATTAATCCAGATAATTTTGATGATTGGACACCAGAAAATTTCTCTGAAAAGAGTGATTCTCAATTGAAAAGATTGGAACAATCTATTGGTAAGAATTTCTTATTTAATAAATTAGATTCAGATAATAGAAGACTTGTTGTAAATTGTTTAGAAGAAAAAACTGTTAACAAAGGTGACATTATTATTCAACAAGGTGATGAAGGTGATTATTTCTATATTGTTGAAAAGGGTATAGTAGAATTCTATGTTAATAAACAAAGAGTTAGTACTTCAGGTGCAGGTTCAAGTTTTGGTGAATTAGCTTTAATGTATAATTCACCAAGAGCTGCTACCGTTATTGCACAAACAGATTGTATACTTTGGGTGTTGGATAGATTAACTTTTAGAAAGATATTATTAGGTAGTTCATTCAAGAAGAGATTAATGTACGATGATTTATTAAGAAGTATACCTGTATTAAAGAGTTTAACTACATATGATCGTGCAAAATTAGCTGATGCATTAGACACTCAAATATATGAAGCTGGACAAGTTATTATTAAAGAAGGTGATTCGGGTGAAAATTTCTATCTTGTTGAATATGGTAAATGTTCTGTTACAAAGAAGGATAAAGGTGAAGTTGCATCATTGACTAAAGGTTCTTATTTTGGTGAAGTTGCTTTAATTAATGATCTTCCACGTCAAGCTACTGTTACAGCTACTGAAAGAACAAAAGTTGCATTTTTAGGTAAGAGTGGATTCCAAAGATTATTAGGTCCAGTTGTAGATGTCCTAAAATTGAATGATCCAACACGTGAAGAACGTGAAGCACAAAAACATTAAAGGATTTAATTTAAAACTTTTTTTTTTCACACTTCTCTTTCCTTTAATGCCTATCATTGTTATTCCCATCAATATTGACGATTTTTACTAAATGCACTTTTCTTTTTCCCCGGTACTTTAAAACCTATTTTTTCATATCTATCTTTATTTAACATAAATAACATTTTCTAAATCGAAATAAAAACAAAAAATAAATAAATAAAACTATTTTGTATCTAAATGTAATACTATAGCGATGTGTGTGTATCTATTGTTGCATTCGTTGTGTTGGTTTAACGCAAACCTGTCCATATGATAATATTTACCGGAAGTGTCACTTTCAGTGTATCTTTTATCGATATCTTTTTTTGTTTTGTCTTCTTTAGCCTTTTCTCGAACCCTTAAAAATAAAAAGCAAGAAGGTCATGGAGTAAAAAAAACAGAAAATATATTTTCATAACCCATTTATATACTAATAACTACTTTTAATTAATACATTTATGTGAGCAGTTTGCAAGATTGAATAATAATTAAGATGAGTGACACAGTCTTATTACAAATTCCAATTACAGTTCTTCAAGAAAAATTAAAAGGAATTCAAAGTTTCGAAAATTATAAGCCACCAATAATGGTAGCAGGTGAATTTAATAATTGGAGGCATGATAGTACAAATTTTCAATTAAAGATTAATGATATTGAAAATTTATATTCTATCGATTTACCTAAGATGCCAGGGAAAACACAATTTGTATTTAAATTATATATTCCTGACGTTACGTGGTTTACAGTGCCTTATTTTGATACAGTGATAGACGAAACAGGTAATGTTAATAATATTATTCATTATGAACCGTTACAAATAAATAATGAAGTCACATCACCATTCGTTGGGTCAATCAGTGATTATAATAGTAATGATTATGTTGAGATCAAATCATTGAGTGAATTAAGTAGTGCTGAAGAAATTTTAAATCAAGGGTCGGAATCACCAAATCAAATTACTGATAGTATATATGGAAGTACAATTGATGATTACTATAATCTAGACGGTACACCCCAAAATAGTGTTGTATGCAGCATATCACAGTCTTCTAAATTATTAGGATCTAGTCAGACTTTATCTGGGGTACAAGCATTTACTCAGAGGGTAAAGAAATATTTTAACAAATAATTTTGCCATTTTGAAGTTGACAAATTTGCTGTTGCAATATAACCGATTACTAGTGTTTTTATTTTTTTTAACATTACAGAGATTGTAAGACAGTGTCAGTGAAGGTCTTTATATATATATATATATATACATATATAAGGTAGGTTTAAGGTTTTTAATATTGATAAATTTATATGTGCTACAAACCTCGGCGGCTAAATTTTACAAAATAAATTTGAATAAATTTGGTTGGAACAAAAGATATAAATTCTTCAGGAATTACAATCTTTCGATTTTGTATAAGATGTAAGATATTTGAAAAAAATTCGATGGGTTTAGGGTTCTAACTTAATTCTTCCATTTTATACTGGTTGATTAACTTATTTTTCTTTGGGGGTGGTGTATGACTGGTGAGGTTCACTACAAAAATTGTTTCAGTTGAGGCAAGATGGCGACAAGTTTTCTGATTCTCCATGTAGTAAATAGACTATGCATAACATAGCCGACACTATATGTATTGGGGTTGCTATTCTGTGTGTAAAGATTTGATTTATTTCCATTTTGTTGATTTTTTTATTGTTGAAATCCTAATCTCTCACTAAAATTTCAAAATTAGGGACAAGCCCTAATTGCTGGAGTGATGGGGTGCCATTAATTTAAAAAATTGCTACATTTAGGAGAAAGATACTCTAGTGGCAAATTAAATGCCAGAATAAAGGTAGGACAGCTGTCATTGAGAGTGTCAAAATTCGGAGTAGATACGAAAAATGTAAATCAAACATTCAAGAGAGTTTACAATAACAACCCTTCAATCCTTCCTGTGGTTGATATGTATATGATATATTAAAAATCGACGCAGTTGGTGTTTTCAGTTATGTAATTGTATCATTCATATTTCTCTTCATCTTTTTGAATCTAAATGAACAATACCGTTCAGCTTTAAATTTCAATAATTTGTATTTCAGTTTCTTATTTCGAAATTGACGAACCGAGCCATCGGTAAATTTCTAAAAATCAAGATGTACAGAGAGGAATAATATAAATGGAACTGAAATTTGAATTAGTAGGGTTAAATCATGAGATTTAAGAATGAGACTACCCGTAGATATTAAAAACGAAGGTCATATCAATAATTAAATAGATAAGAATCAGTTAGCTTTTATCCACATGTCTTTTTTATCAAAAGCAATTCAATATATTGCGATTATAGTAATTCTACATTCTGGATTCTCCAGTTATGAATTCCACCAAACAGCAAAACAATTATCACTAGATAGTATCTCAAATGTTATAGCATTGCCTATCGATATTAAATATGAAGCTATTGCTGGTCTTTTATTGTTTATAATATCAGTTTTTGTATCCTTTGAAAAAATTGAATACTATTCTTTAAGAAGACAAGAAGGTCATTCCATTGAAACGTTATCACAGGGTCAATATCTTAAATATATTACGTTGAATAAAGCCACTGATAGGGATAATATGATTAATAGTGACCCAACAGGTGATGTCTCATATACACCAAATATGGTTCATATTCATGAAAAAAGAAAACAAATGAGAGATTGGATTCAAAAACAACAAGAAACAAGTTGATAAAAAATTAATTTTATTTCGTCATCATTTTATTAATGTATGCTAGTATATATATATGTTCATTATAATTTGTTTTTTTACATAATTTATTGTTTAACACCGTCAATTAATAGAGTCTTTCATTTTATTTTCCATGTTCTTTAAATCAATGATCTGCCATGTAGAAAGGATTTGGTTGATTGTGTGAATTGGATTCCTCGAACATAACTTCCTCCTCATTTAGTTGGCTGTTACCAATATTACTACTTGCACTGATATTTCTTATATAGTTCGTTATAGTACCACTTTGTTGAGAATATGCAGGATATGTTGAAAGCGATGATCTGTTTGTTCCATTATTATCAGTATCACTACCATAACTCTGAATTAAATTTCGGTTTACATCTAATCTATCCATATCCAATGGGATCTCGTTATTAGTATATGATGCAATCTCTGGCGTCATATCATTCGGTATGTTATTTGTATGATGAATAAAGTTCTTATCACTCAAGTTGGTAGATTTAGGATATTCTTGATGTCCCTGTGATATATTACCGTTAAAATTTTCTAGAGACCTTATCCCAAATATATTAGAACTATCTATTTCTAATGGTTGTCTATTATTTCTTTTTTGTTCCAGTAACTTTGTCGCTTTCATTTGTTCATCAAATTTCCTTGTTTCCAGACTAACAATCATATCAGCTATTTCGCTATCTGTTAGTGTCAGTCTGGTTGGTTCACGTTTCATCATTATTACTTGAGAGTATAAAATGGAATGTCTAATATAAATGCGATATTTCTATACCGTTTTGTTTAGGTAGGTTTATTAACAGTATTACGTGCTGTTTAGAATGAGGGTGTATAAGAGTATTTATCTAATTTTTTTTTTCAAAATGAAAATAAGTTTCAGAGGATGTTGTTATGCTAATAATTAAAGACGAACATGGAAATTGTTTTGCAATACAAAGAAAAATATTCTTTTGCATACTTCATTTAGATAATACGGCTTAAGAATTAAAATAAAGTTAACTATACTGTATTTTAGGGTTTAATAGCTTGTGCCAAAATAAGATTTTTAGGGGACGATAATCTAAAATATAAAAGAATCAACTGAATCCTGTAGTAGATTGTACAATTAACAAAAAGATTTTGTTGACATTTGTACATATTCATGAATAAACAAGGAAGTTCATGTTTATGGTAAATACGTTTTTTGTATAAAATTTATCAGCCAAATAAAACTGGTCTGTAATTGAGATTTCCAGGCAACGTAGTCCTCATCGGCTACTTATTGAAGTAATTGTGATTTGAAATTTACATTCCGAAGATAGATATGTACCAGGAGGTCATTTTGTAAAATATTCCTAGTGATTGGTATCAAATACCTAATGGAAAACCCTGATTGATAGATTGTCAATTCGATATTTTTATTGACAACCAAATTCGTTGCGTTTCATATTATTTCCAACAGCAGTGCCGTATTATTACACACCAAGTTCCATTTTTGGTATTAAAGGTTCGATATAAGTATTTCATTCCCAAATTAGAAATATTAGAAAGGAAGATAAGTGCATTTCCATCCTAAGAACGTTATAAAATGATATAAAATAATTGACAAAACTCAAATTGTGGAGAATGTGAGACAGAGATTTCCTTTTAGTTTATTAGTAGCTTTTAACTCAGATGTATTTTAATACGACGATTGGTCCATCATTTTAAACCTTATCATCTGCAATTTAAATTACATTAATTATTTATTATTTTACAATTATTGATCTATATACGCCATCACCTTTCTTGAACAGTTTAATAAATGTGTTGTTCTTAGATTTGAATAATAACTGCTCTTTTGTTTTAATCCAGTAGTATACCAGTCAATAGTACATTAACAACGATAAATATAAAGTACCACTGCTTAGAGGGCGACATACACTTTATATCAATATAGTATTTAATGCTTAATATATATAAAGGTACCTACGTCAAAAATGCACACAAAACAATGGCAAAATTAAACTCATGTCAGGAATATCTAGCGCCTTATAATTTTCAAGATAATAGAATGATTTCTATAAACATGTACCTTCATTTTTAGTATTTATTTCGCTTAATACAATTCAAACCATACAAAAAAAACATTTTTTGTCCTTTTCTTGGATGTTAATATTTGTTATTTATGTAACAAGGTTAACCCTTTAGCTTGATCAAAAATGAAAACTAAGGTGTAAACTAACCTTCGTTAGCATCTTATGCATTACTGATAGCATCTTGCAATAGAACTATCACGTGAATAAGATCAGTAAACCGCATTAGGCATTACTGACACTTTATTCCATGACAGTGGCATCTTTAGCTATAAAGACAGCCCAATGAGCATCACACTCAGAAAGAGTCGTAGAACGAAGTTCTCTCGACACATCGTATAGATCCAACTAATCAGAGCTCTCGTCTGACACTGGTTGATGAGTTGTTCGGGACACAGCATGCCGATCCTGAGCAACGAGGGACATACCCAAATGGACGTCACACACATGTCAGCTGGGATAGAGAGCACTCCTATAAAAGGGACTCTCCTATCTCCAAATGTTAATGTTCATCTTTCAGTTGAAAGAAACCAGTCAAGTTTAAGCAAGATAATCGCAATCGATCATTCTATTTCAAATATACATTAAGCCGTTGAAGATTATAGCATCACCATCAGTGAACTACAAGTCTTCCTATACACGCAATATATTTAATAAGCCCCTTGTAATCCCTTAACTGGTATAAGAGCAAACATAAACACCAACAAGTGTTAGTAGATATCCTTAATACGATTTAGGGTAATCTGCCACTCAACTAATAAAAGTTTGCGCGGACATAAACCCTACCTCGTTACAATTTATTACAATAAAATTAGCCTTGTTGGCGCAATCGGTAGCGCGTGTGACTCTTAATCACAAGGTTAGGGGTTCGAGCCCCCTACAGGGCTTTTTTTATAAATGTTTTTGACCTATTTATCATTTAATACGAAAATCTAAAATATTTATTGTTGATTTGTGTCACCTTATTTGGAGGGTGACTTGAATCCTTTAGAATAATTTGGTCCTGCACTTTTAATGTTTTGAGGTTTTTCAAGTCATCTGGTACAATGATCTTTTATCATTTGTCTAAAATGGTTTGTTTATTTACTAAAACGTGATTAATATGCGACATTAATATTAATAAAATGCTTAAGTATAAATTTTTATTACATATATAAATTCAAAATTAAACTTAAGTTGTTAACTAAAATTAATATTCATTCATATCTATATTTTAATAAACAGGAGCCCGATTGCAATGCGGTTTGCTCCTGCCAAATTTTTGTAAAATTGCAATTATTGTAATATAAACTATTCGCGTATTGCAACCTCTTGTAATATTATAGAAAGTTCAAGATAACAATTCAAAGTAGAATTTAGTTGATTAAAATTATTGCCCCATTATGATAAGGACGTTAATTTTGCGATTATTCTTGTACGTTGTATGGGTTTAGTAGAAGCGGTTTGTATTGGACCCTTGCTATTTAGAAAAGAAAGATGTGTGTTACAGTATTACATTTCAGAAGACGTTGAACTGATTGATAATTTATTTTCAACCTATAATGTGATATCACCTTTTTACATTGTTCATTATATATCAATTCTCAGCCATTTCATAAGAAAGCTCGGCCAGGACATTTGAGAAATAACCGTAATGATTTGGTCATCAATATGATCATATAAGATCCCTCAATACAGTTTTCACAAATATATACACGTCATTATCGTTGGCAAGAGGGTTGTTCTAATGACGTTTCCTTTTTTATTGACAGAATTTTCATTGTTTAAATGTTGTATTTTTTTGTTGTGCCCGCCTGCTCCAGTTTCGATGTCCAGCGAGATCAACAACTTCAAGTATTTGGACAATCGCAGAGTTTTATATGAAATTGGAAAATGGTTAAAAACTTTTACTCCTTCACACAAAAGGAAAGTATACTTTGCTCATCTTGTCGTTCAATTTTAAGTTCGGCAATTTATCTATTTTCAAATTTGATCTACAGATCAAAGACTTTCTAGATATCTACCGGTATTGATTTTTTTTTTCTAATCGTTAGTGGAATAGCTATATTTTTTAATTGTTTCTCATCAAAAATATTAGTCATATCATAGTAACGTAGTTAACCTTTCAATTTATATTAAGGAAGAAGAAGAAGAAATAGATATTGAAGGAGCTAACTTATCGAATTTTGACTGCTTGTATTTTGTATACATATTACCTTCTCCAGACGTCGAAATTTTTTTAGTTGTTTTAGCTTAATTCTTTTTTGGTTTTTGATTGAAAAGCATATATTGCATTAGTTCTGTCAGATCAATATTTTTACCCTGAATTCAATATATATATTGCACAATGGACAATCCTGTTGATATTGAAACCGTAATTAACGGAGATATACATGAGCATAATACAGTGCCTGTGGCACATCCAATAAATAACGAAGAGAATAAAGATGAAATCATCCCTGATACTGCAACCTGTCGTATATGTAGAGGTGAATCTACGCCTGATAATCCATTATTCCATCCATGTAGATGTAAAGGTTCCATCAAATATCTACATGAACCGTGTTTATTGGAATGGATTAACGCAAGACATATTGATATCAACAAACCAGGCACTTCTGTAGAGTGTGATATTTGCCATTATCCATTCCAGTTTAAGACAACATATGACGATGATATGCCAGAAAAGATACCGTTATCTCTAGTAATTGTTAATTTTTTTTATGATATGCTTTCTGGACTCCATTTTCTTGCTACATCCTTAGCTTTCGTAATATTAATTGGATTTGGATTTCCATTAATGTGGAACTTTTTTGGTAAATTCTATACATTCATAATGGATGGTAAAATGCCATACGAAAGAAATTTAACGAAAAGTATGATTTTTGGTTACGAGGAAAATGTACCAGATGATTATACATATACTGCTGCGTTCACAGCGCTATTATACAATCATATTTTCTCAACGTGGCAAATTGTGTTTACTGTTATTTTACACTTAGCAATCTACTTTCAGTACGATATGATAGTTAGAGAAGATATTTTTAACAAGATGATATTTCATAAGATTGGTCCAAATCTGTCAATCGATGCTCTAAAGGCTCGCTTAAGAGAAAGATTCCCTATGATTGATAATGAAACATTGGAGCATGTTGCAAGGATTGTATCGCAGAGAGAAATCAGGGAAAATGAAATGAGAAATCTCCAAAATGTAGAAGATGAAGATGCAAACATTATACCAGATGAACAAATCGAACATCTAGAAGAAAATATTGATGACGAAAGCGACGCTGATTTTGTTCCAAGTGAAAACGAAACTCAAAGTGATTCAGATTTATCAATTGATGACACTGTTATCAATGAAGATGAGCAAATGAGACAAGAGGTTGAGAGGGGGGTTGAAGCAGATAATTTTCAGTTAGAGCACCCAATTGATGACATGGTTAACCTGCAAGCACAAAGACAATTTGACGACATTTTAGACCGTCATAGAAACTTAAGAGCTCAGAATATTCCAGCAGCTCAACCTGAGAATCTGGAGGCAGCAGAGGGTATTCCTGATAGACCAGTATTACCACAAGATGATCCAGTTATCAATCCATTTGCTAATGCAGATTTTGGTGTACCTGATAATGAAAACGAGGAAGGTCGTCAACTAGGCCCACTTTGGATCAACTTACAAATTAAGTTGAGTAATATATTTATTTACTACGGGCTTTGTGTTGTTTTTGTTTTTCTTTACCTTCTGATAGCCTATGCTCTCCCAACTAGTGTGGGTTCTATATTGATGAGGCTTTACTATGTTATTTTTCTATTGGCATACAGTTCTGTTTGGTATTCGATCCATTATTGCAAACTTAATCAAGGGTACGAAGCACTTTTAAAGAATATTCCTGGTTTAGCATACGGTATTGATTTTATTTCAGAAACCCTAGTACAGCCTTTATTGAATTTTGTTTCTGCATATTACTCGGCAACATCTAAAAATTCGACTTATGTCAGGGCAATACCATCAGCTGTAACATTTTTGACAGCCATTACAATTATTTGTGTGTCTTCTGATGTGTTAGGAAAGGGGTACTCTCGATATCATAGCATGAACGATAAAAACAGAAGATTTGCATTCCAATTATTATTTGCATTGAAATGTACATTTAAAGTGTTTATTATTTTCTTCATTGAGCTAGCTGGATTCCCTATTCTTGCTGGTGCCATGTTAGATTTTTCATTAATTGCACCAATTTTAGGTAATACTGGTGATTTATTATTTTTCCCAAGCATAAGTTATTTCAATTTTCAAACATTCTGTGTGTATTGGCTAGTAGGTACCTTATATATGTACTGGTTTGCTCAATATATTGGTATGATAAGAAAGGATATCATTAGACCGGGCGTCCTATTTTTTATTCGTTCCCCTGATGATCCAAATACTAAGATATTACATGACAGTCTAATCCATCCAATGGGTGCACAATTATCTAGATTATTTCTATCGATGTTCATTTACGCTGTGTTCATCATTTTAGGGTTCGGTTTCCACACCAGAGTATTGTTTCCGATAATCTTAAAATCTCAAATTTTGGAGACTCCCGAAGGTTTCCTAAATGGTTATGTTTTTAATCTAGCCACACTGTTGATCATTTTTTATTTTAGCAAAAGAATAATTGAAGCCAATCCCAACGTAAATGTCCTGGTAAAGAACTATTGGGCTAAAATTTTCGAAGTTTCTTCCAGAAAGTTACGTCTTTCATCTTTTATCTTAGGTACAGACTATGCCTCTGAAAGGGGCCATATCATTTACAGGAATATTTTTTACAAGTTGTTTTCTTCAAGAAAGGCACAATGGTCCAACCCAGATTTGTATAGCAGCCCAAAGACTCATTCGGAGGCTATGAAACTTTTCAAGGAAGATCAATCTATTCATGCATATTTTGTTCCCGATGGATTATTGATGCGTGTTCCATCTTCCGACATTGTTTCTCGAAATTATGTTCAAACTATGTTTGTTCCAGTTACAAAAAGTGACAAACTATTGAAGCCACTTGATTTGAAGAGATTGAAGGAGCGTAACTTGAAAAATGCAGGTGAGTTTGGTTATCTAGATCAACAAAATACTGATTTTGATGAATATTTTATTTGCTATGTTCCTCCTAATTTCACTGCAAGATACACATGCTTGATGATCCTAATGTGGTTTTTTGCTTCTGTTCTAATTATTAGTACTGCTATTTCAGCCCAATACATTTTTAACACCTTAACTGTAGTTTTTGTCTTACTTCCATTAAAACTATTCGGATTTTATTCATCTTATTTATCTTTGATGAAAATTGTGCTCGTCTGTTATAGACAAATTAATGTTCAGTATGTGTGTCTAGGTGCTGTTATTATGTCATTTATGTTAGACTACTATAAAAAACATCATTTATCGAAATTATTCTTCGAACGCATGAATGCAGAAGAGATTCCTAATGAAATGCAAGAAAATCAAGAAAATGAACAAGAAAATGTTGTCGGACAAGATATCGGTGTACGTCCAGAACTGGAAGAGTTGGTTCTTAATAATTTTATATCAAAATTTGTTATTGGGCCTGTACTGGTGTGCGTGTATGGTGTGATTGACTACATGGTTTTCGGTTTTGTTGGTAACCTTGTTCTTCGTATATGTATTGCATATGTCATATTCCTTGTAACAGGGAAACCAATGGACGTAGCTCGCACTCATCATGATATTGATTCAAAGCTGTATTTTTGCGTTAATTCATTGTTTTTGCGTTCAATTATTGTTAGATGCATTAAGATTGTGAGTGGTATACGGAGAAATAGAAATAGAAGGTTTATTACAGCATGTAAAGAACAATGGCTCAATATTATTAAACCTTACTTTACATTTGTTTTACGTTGCTATGTTATATTTTTCTCAATTGTACTTTTGACAACAGTTTTAGATTATACTATGGACACTGTAAAATATAGTTCATTTATGGATGCTTTGAAATTTATTAGTATTGGTAGATTAAGATATGAAAATGCTAACGTGCCGTGGACATTTGCGGAACATTTGACATTTATTTTAGTAATTGCATTTGTATCCTCTTATATGCTATCCGAGTTGTATGCATCGGTAAACAAACGGTTCTTAGTGTTCACTCAGAATGTAAAGGACGAAGTTTACGCTAAGGGGAGATCATTAGAAAATTATGGAGCAGATACAGCTCAAGAAAATGCATAATGTTGCTGTGTCCAACATTTTCTTTATGATACAATATCCGGTGTAATTTATATATCAAGTAACTATTTTTATTTTTATAAATGGTCCGATTGATTAATCAATAAATTATGAAAATACGACAGTTCATTAGATGCGGTTTATGTCATTTATGTTTGTTTTCTATGCTTAGTATTATATAGATATGCTCGTATGTAATGTGATGGAAAATAAAAATTTAGCTATTTCTAGATATTCTAGTTGGTCTATTCCATTTCAGATTTTTCTGAGGAAATTGCAGACGATGGGTTATTGCTATACCCTTTTTCAAGGAATTCTAATCTCCGTCTATTTGATGGAGAGCTCAAGTCTATGAAATTTGAAGAATCATTATTGTATAATTCACGATTGATATTGTTTTTAATGCTATCAATATTATCTTCGGCCCGGGAACTACTGTCATTATTGCTTTCAGGCTCTGATGTAACGATATTATGCGGGTTTATGGATATATTAGAACTCTGTCCGATAAGATTAACATCATCATCCTTGTCAATATCAGAAATAACTATATTTTGGTAAGAGGTGTCGGTGTCTTTGATGTCATCTGCATGTTTGAAATGTAAACTATTTATGGATGCCGGTATATTATCGCTCTCCTCTTCATCTGTTACATTTTCTCTATAGTCTCTATCTGATAACGTAGGAGATTTTTCGTTTCGGAATCCTAGCACTCTTCCTTTTAAATTCTTTGGGAAATATTTAGAACTAATTCTTCCTTTTGTCTCTGTAACAGGAATAGCAACAATCTTTTCAGGAAGCAATTTTTCATCGCCTGACACAATAATGTCATGTTGATGATAATCTGGAGCATCAACTCTATTTTGTATAGCTGTGGTTTTCAGATTTATCAGTGCTGGTGTTTTGACCATGCTTTCGTCTATATCTTCTGTTGGTATATGTCGGACTTCATTTTCAACGATATTAGTAAAAGGTACTGGACTCGGAGGAACTGACGACAATTGTTTTGTCTTTGAATCGTTCAATTCGTGATTATGTGCTAAAATAGAAGTGTCGCCTCTATCAATCTTTTCATCAACTTTATGTTCCATTTTTTTTTCATTATTCTGTTGAGCTTCATCTCTGATTTCTTTTTCATGTTTTTGTTCCATGTTATCTGTTAGTTCCTTTTGAGAACTTTCTATTTTTAATTCAGCTTGGTCGTGTTCTTCTGAAACACTGTCCCTCTCCTTTTCTATAATGTCATTTCCCTCTAAAATATCAGGTTCCTTTTTTCCATTTCCCTTTGGTAACTCAGGAATATTTTCAATAATTTCAAGATCTTCATCTTCATAATCGGCGTTGCCATCATCAGAATCATCGTTGTTTTCATTGTTCTCCTCCATCCACTTAATCTGGGTAGCTTGTAGGTCCCACAAGACTTTTCTTAATTCTTTTCTTGCATTGACATTTCTCTTACTCTTTTCAAAATACTCATTTACTAATTTCGAGGCCTCTTTATTTTTTCGACTTATCGAATTCCAAATATTTACTGTTTCCTTAGGATTCTCAAAAAACTTTTTGATCGTTAATATCACATGAACACCACAGTCACTCATGTTTGGTTGCTGTGGTACCAAACAAGTTTTCATTTTTATCCAAGATTTATCGACCACTAGAGAATATTTATCCAGTGCATATGCGATTAAAAAATCTTTAATAGGGTCTAATTCTCTAGAATGGATACCCCTCAAGGAATCAAATGTTAAAATTTGGATAGTTGGTGCCACTTCAGTAATGTCATCAGACTGTACAACATTATCATCTTGGCCATTTTGATCACCTTCACTATCTCGTTTATTTTCATTGGATAGTGGAGTATCTTCATTTGCTCGAGTCATTTCTGTGATCTCTTTAGCTTGTGAGCCTTGTGTTTTGTTTCCTTCCTGTTTGACTAGTAAAAACTTAAAAAGGGTATCCAAGTTATATATGATGCAGCCAAACCAATGATAATTAATATTAATTGGGATTATTATAAATTTTTTGGCAAACAAATCAGAATGCTGAACCCATTTCTTAACGTTCTCATAATAATTCTCAGGATCACTTATTAATTTCGTATAAAAGAAAGATGACATGATAGAAACATCGTCCTTTTGGATAATATTTTTTGAAATTGAATCTGTTACATAATATTTCGTGAAAAAATCAATCAGTGTATCATTTATCCAATCATTGTTGTAAAGACATTTAAAATCTTGATTAGTAATTGTGTATTTACTATCATCACTAAAATTATATCTCAATTTTGGTTTAAATAATTTTGGTTTTTCACGATCTTCTTCTTCCTTCGTAATATCTTCGATATTAACATTATTACGAATTCTATTTGATCTTCTTATCTCTGATAATTTATGAGTATTTAAAGAGGATTTTGAATTATGATAAAAGGAACCGGATGATATACTTGTTGGTCCCGACGAACGACTACCATTTGATTGATTTTTGGGTATTTGAATAGAATTTCCAGTTTTAGTTAATGGTCTATGATTTAAAGAGGATGTTGATTTATTTTGTAAAGATAAAAAATTCTTACTCAAAAATGATGCAGGTAACTCTCTCTTCTTATTAAATTCATTAAATAAATTTTTTGACGTTTCATCAGCTATCGATTTAGATTTTTCTTTTGATAATTGATTATTATAAAGTGTTATTTCATTTAAAATATCGGTACTTGTCTTTAATATTTTAATATTATATGCAGCTTTACTTTTAACCAGATAATGATTTATCTTATTTAATTTTCTATCATCATTATTATTATTATTCATATTTGACCAATAAAATGTCTTTGAATATCTTGATCCATTATTTTCAAATGTACATTTTCGTATTTTCTTAAAGATTACTGCAAAACATGTATATTTTCTATCAAACATTACAGTTTCACAATCTCTATTAAAATCGATGAATACATCCTTTAATTGAACACTCTTATAAGTGAAATGTATATAGGGATTAACACCATTATCATTCATAAATGTCAAAAGTATTGGTCTTCTCTTAACATTTGAATTTTTTACTATTGTTAGAATTTCTAAAGACCCTGGAATTTGATATTTAACTGAGTCTCTCTTAAAGAGCCTTGATCGACTTGGAGAATTACTTATTGATGGTGATGATGATACATTTAATAATCCATTTGATTTATGGTTTGTATGTCTTTTTTTCAAAGGTGATGATCCATCCATAGAATCAAATTGTTCATTGTAATCACTACTATCTTCATTCTCTAAACTTTTTCTTGAAGTATTTATACTATCGTCAGTTGGAGAACTTGGCAAAAAATTCTTTGATGTCATATCATTAATTTCTCTTTCAGATATTGGAGTGCTTCTACCTTTATTATTATATCTCGTCGATGAATTATGTATACTCTTATAGGCATGTGATTTAATTTGTGGAGGTGATGATAAATGATCTAGGGGCATAGTACTAGAGAATGATCTCTTAGGTCTTCTGCTTGACATTCTTTCCTCTCTTTATTTTTGAACAGACTAATAATAGTAAGAAAAGGAACACCTACAAAAAACAGATGAGTGTCTACGGAGTAATAGGATGTAGAAAATGGTTAATTTCACAAATGTTGTGATGTAGTGGTCAGATGTATGAGTAATACCTTTTTTTTGTCCAAGTTTAGTATATAAATGTCAAATCAAATTTTATTGTTGGCGATGGCTTTACATTCCTATAATTTAATTAAAAAAAAATAGTTGATCCTCGTGTTACGTATAATTAAGTGAGAAAGTACTACAAATTTAAACGTCAAAAATAGATAGAACAATAGAACATACAGATAAAAGATAACTTTATATATAAGAACGAGCTAAAAAAAAATGATGTAATTAAATACAAGGTAAAATATATTAGTGTCAAATTGTATAAGTTATGAGTAAAAATTACAATAGCAAAACATAATTATCATTAATATCATCCCAAGAGGAAACGATTTGACAATTACTTGTAAGATCTCTTGATGTAAGTACGAGATAATAAAAGTATCATATAAATCAAAATATTCGAAAAAGTTCCACACATATATATATGTATATGTATATGTATATGTATATATATGTCAAATAGTGGTTGTTAAGATAATTATACTACTGAGCTCATCGGCCTGTTACAACATGATCAGCCCATACCCACACTCGACAGAGTATATACCATACATCCTCATAACAACACACTCATCGACACTACTGCGACGTAACCCACTAGCAGCTCTAACCACCCTCCCATCATCAACATCTTATATCCTTCAGAAGTAGTCATTCACAGTTGAAATTCTCTTTCAATCAATTTTTCTTCGTTTTTTCTGGCGGGAAACTGGAAAGTGCGGCCGTTTACGCTTCGTGACATTTTGTTGGTTGAGAGAGAGAAGGAGAGAGGAATTTGGGAATATTCGAGCAGTAAGAGACAGAGACAGAGAGGTGAAAACCCAATAGTTTGACTTTTGCAGAGTTAGTCATAGTGGTATGTGCTAGCGTTCTGTATACTTACATATATAGGTAGAGTTAGATGTGTCTTTGCTCTGTGTTTGTTTTTTCTGTATAGTGGGACATACGAGTGATAGGCTAGAGTCCAAGGTGTTTAAAAACGTTTTGGGTGATCTAGAGTCAAATATTTTAAGAATAGTACCTGTTTATGATCTATCAGTTTATCATAACCAACAGATACATTACAAAAAATAATAAGTGAATATAACCATGCTTAGAACACAAGTCCATAATATACCCAGAAGAGTTCCTACCTCTTTGAATGTTAAACCTTTCATTACTGCTGTAAATTATTTACATACAAGTTCTATACAATATAATAATGGACAACGTTCTCCGATTCAAGTATTTAGAGATACTTTCAAGAATGAATGGAAAAAATCTCAAGAATTACAAGATAATATTAAGACTCTTCAAGATGCTTCGGGTAGATTAGGTGAATCTGATGCTTATAAGAAAGCTAAAGAAGCTTATGTTAAGGCCCAAAAGGGTTCTACTATTGTTGGGAAAACTTTGAAAAAGACTGGTGAAACTGTTGAAGATATTGCTGTTAAAGCTTGGGATTCTGATATTGGTAAAAAAACTAGAGAAGTAGCAAGTGATACAGCAAAGAAATTAGATGAAAGTTTTGAACCTGTAAGACAAACTCAAGTTTATAAAGATGTTTCAGATGTTATTGATGATGGTAGCAGTAGTGCCAGGTATGGTGGATTTATTACTAAAGAAGAAAGAAAAAGACTTAGAGAAAAGGCTATAGCATCAGGTGAACGTGTTAGAGCTGTTAAAAGTAATGATGAAGCTGGGACTGCTTTAGTCTCAACAAATATTCAAGCAAAGGAATCCTTCAGTAAAAAAATGGATGATTTTTCGGAAAATACTTCTGTTGGTCAAGGTTTAAGTTTTATGAAGACTAAATTATGGAATGAAAGTGAAAATCCTTTAATTGTTGTAATGAGAAAAATTAGTAATAAAGTTGGTGGATTTTTCGCTGAAACTGAATCCGCAAAAGTCTACAGTCAATTTAAATTAATAGATCCAACTTTTAACAGTGCTAGTTTCACTAAACATTTAAGAGAATATGTTGTACCAGAAATCTTAGAGGCTTATATTAAAGGTGATGAAAAGGTCTTAAAGAAATGGTTAAGTGAAGCTCCTTTCAATGTATATGCAGCTCAACAAAAAGTATTTAGAGAACAACAAATTTTCTCTGATGGTCGTATCCTTGATATTAGAAACGTTGAAATTGTTAGTGCTAAATTATTACAACCCCAAGATATTCCTGTATTAGTTGTAAGCTGTAGAGCTCAAGAGATTAATTTGTATAGAAAGGCAAAGACAGGTGAAATTGCAGCTGGTAGTGAAGATAACATCTTGATGAGTACCTATGCAATGGTCTTTACAAGAGATCCTGAACAAATTGATGATGATGAAACTGAAGGTTGGAAGATTCTTGAATTTGTACGTGGTGGTTCAAGACAATTCACTTAAGAGGCACAAATAAGGAACTTTCAAAGAATGAAAATTCTATTCCTATTTTTTGCTTTTCATTGATTTCGTATTAAGCCGTCATTTTGAGCTCTTCTTCCCCCATATCAATGACAAAAATTATTTTTGATTCGTTTGTTTCTTTTTTTTAGTATTACAAATATTTTTGTTCATCATTATGAGAGATAAACAATCGTCATTAATCATACATCATTTGTCAAAACAAATACGTATGTTCATTCCATTTAATAATTATAATATACTTTGTAAATATGTGTTATATTAATTTATTTTATTAAAATAATTTGGCAGGCGTCGTGTAGAGTGATCTTTTTTATATTAATGAATAATTTTGTATGGTGTAATATTGTTTTGGCCTAAATTCTTTATTTTTTTTTTTCCACCTTTAATAATAATAATGCTGAGGTAAGTAATGTTAATATACAAAGACTAGCTGGCTGAAAGAAGAAGAAAAAGAGAGAAAAAGTTAATCAAACGAGGGATATCTTAAGCTGGTATTTATTGTGGAAGGATAAACGAGGGGTTGATTCCAAGTAGATAAATAAAATATTGCAAAGATGAGTGAAGAAGGTCCACAAGTGAAGATTAGAGAAGCCACGAAAGAAAATGTCGATTTTATTCTTTCTAATACAGATTTGGCAACAGCAAATTCTTTAAGAAGAGTAATGATAGCAGAGATTCCAACTTTAGCTATTGACTCAGTAGAGATTGAAACAAATACAACTGTCTTAGCTGATGAATTTATAGCTCATAGATTGGGTCTTATCCCCTTACAAAGTATGGATGTTGAACAACTGGAATATAGTCGTGATTGTTTCTGTGAAGATCACTGTGATAAATGTTCAGTCGTTTTAACTTTACAAGCCGTGGGTGAAAGTGAAAGTACAACAAATGTGTATGCTAAGGATTTAACGATTGTTTCAAATTTATTAGGACGTAATATTGGACATCCAATTATACAGGATAAAGAAGCTAATGGTGTTTTGATTTGTAAATTAAGAAAAGGTCAAGAATTGAAATTAACATGTATTGCCAAGAAAGGTATTGCTAAAGAGCATGCTAAATGGAGTGCTTCTTCTGCTATTGAATTTGAATACGATCCATGGAATAAATTAAAACATACACAGTATTGGTATGAACAAGATGCATCAAAAGAGTGGCCACGTTCAAAGAATAGTGAATACGAAGATCCTCCAATTGAGGGACAAGCATTTGATTATAAATCAAAAGCTGAGACTTTTTATATGAATGTTGAAACTATTGGGTCCATTAGTGTCGATCAAGTTGTTGTTAGAGGTATTGATACATTACAAAAGAAGGTAGCATCTATTCTATTGGCACTAAATCAAATGGATCAAGAGAAGGTTAATTATGCTCCTAATGGTCCATCTGGTATGAATAATGGTTCCATGACTGAGCATGAAGACATTCCAATGGGCGGTAGAGAACAAGATCCTTACGGTAGCGGTACCGATATGGGTGGTTGGTGATGAAATTTTCCCAATAGTGGAGTAATAGAATAAATAAACAAGGTTGGTTAAAATGATTAACTATACTCGGATATGCATATATGTACTATTTTTTAATCAAATTCAAATAATTCAAATAAAAAAAAAATATTTAATAGACAAATTTAATTTTGGTATAAAGTAACTGTATCTATATATGATATCTACATTAATAAGTTGACGATAGCTTCCCTGTATAAGCGGTCAAACATGATACTATCGAACAGTAGCGATGAATTAATGGGTAGAGTTCCATGCACAGCAATCATCAAATTTAACTAGTTTACCACCAAATATATCCAGTGAGCTACCGTAAGTTAGATCTACTTTACCGTGGCTTAATTCGTCGACTAATTGCAAATCATTAACGCTCTTAGCGCCACCTGCATATACTATCTTGACGTTGTCCAATTCCTTGGTCCATTCATATAATTTTGCAACTAATTCTTCATCAATACCTTTACAAAGGCCCTCGACATCAGCCGCATGAATTAAAAATTCATTTGTATATTTACCTAGTTCTTTGAAAGTATTTTCATTGAGCTCCATATCTGTCAACGTTTGCCATTTATTCATTGCCACTATCCATTTGTTATCTTTGGTTCTCCTACAACTTAGGTCTACTACTAAACGATCTTTCCCACATAATGAAGATATTTTTTCTAAATTTGAAAGCAAAAAATTACCGTCTTTATTAAATAGCCAACTGGTTATAATAATTTTATCAGCATATTTCAACCATTCTTGGCAATTTGTGTCATTAATACCACCACCAACTTGTAAAAATCCAGGGGCAGCTTGAAGTGCCTCTAATGCAGCTTGGTCATTATTAGGACCAAGTTTAATGACATGTGAACCTGTTACATTATTCTTTTTATAAAGTTGTGCATAGTATTCAGATGACTTTTCGGATACAAAATTTGTTTTTGGTGTATCTTTGTCATTCTCAGTTAAGGTACCGCCGACAATTTGTTTCACTTCACCGTTGTGCAAGTCTATGCATCCAATAAATCTGGTCATGATGATTGATATTTCGTTAGTTATTTGCTGTTGTTGAGGTGTTATAAATTGTGTTTCTTGGTAACTGTAAGAAATACATTTACTCCAGTTTATATATTCTACCCGCTAAATGGCTATGAACCACTGAACAAATTCCTGTAATTACGTTTTTTATTACATAAGGTGACTCTGACAGATCTAGGTGACTCGAGCATCTCAAAGATCGAAAAATGAAAAATTCGACTTAAAAAATATTTCCTGTGACTTGTTCATTATTTACACCCATGCATATATACAGATATTTACATCCGTACATTTTTCAAAAATTGTCGCGCGAAAAAATGAAATTTGAAAAGCCAAAAATAGTAATAATTAAAATAATTATTGAATCTTTCAAGCGCTCAATTTTCTAGTTAATTTATTGCGGATGGGCCATTCCACACGTTATTCACTATGGAATAAACTATTGGTAACTTTTGGCTCAATACACTCTACAATATTATAATACTAGTAAAAAAAAGGTGGATATAAGCAGATTACATCAAGCTTCATAGAACTTTGCTTGTTTTAAGATCAAAAAAAGGAAGTAACTTAAGGATAATCAGTATGTTAAAGGAACCTATAAGATGAAATTAAATAATTAATGTGTTAGTTGGATTAAAAATGAGAGCTGCAGCCGAGAATCTATTATATGGAATTAATGATATTGAAAAAAGTGGTAAATTCAAACTATTGTGGTTTAATATAGAGTACATTACGATAATAGGCGTCGAAATTGTTGTAAGGAATGTATTGTACACCTGACAGGACCGATTACTCTGAAAATATAAAGAAACATATCGATGTAAGAGAGTATTGATTTGCTCATAGATAAAGCATAGCAATTATTTGGAAGTATTTGAACCGATAAGCGGACACATATTTTTAGAGACTACACAATATCAGTAACACAAAAACCTTTTTTATTTTAATTTCATTGAACTTCGATATTGTTCATTTGAATTATATTTTTACTAACAAATCTATTTAAATCAATGCAACTGATTTTAAATTTACTTTATAGAAAATGGCTAAATCTAAGAACCATACCGCTCACAACCAAACCAAGAAGGCCCACAGAAATGGTATCAAGAAACCAAAGACCTACAAGTACCCATCTCTAAAGGGTGTTGATCCAAAGTTCAAGAGAAACCACAAGCATGCCCTACACGGTACTGCTAAGGCTCTTGCTGCTAAGCGTGCTGCTAAGAACTAAGCAATTACTATACTAAATAGTATAATATAACTTAGTTTTTTGTATAATGGTATTCTTTAAAATTTATGTAACTGTTTAATATTACGTTACTCATATTAATTCAAGGTCATTATTGATTCATTTTTAACAACTTTTTATATAAAAACTTAGTGAATATGTGATTAAGTAATGGCACTTTTTTAGGAAATTAAAGCCTATTATTTGCAATTCCATCAAATATGTAATTTATTCGATGTCTTCACGATTAATTCATGGGATGGCTATTTTGGACTGACCACGTTAAAATCCTAACACCCACAGTATATTTAAAACACCAGTACATCCTTATAAAATAAATTTCTAAGAAAAACGAAAATGTTATTTTGGTTTTTTTAGTATTTTTTTTATTCCGAAGACTGCTTCATAATAGTAATCTGAAAATTACCATGAATATTTTCCTGACATAGCGATGAGCGCACCGAAATATCTTCAAGCATCTCGTAATGCAACATTTTCACAGTGGATTGAGTGAACCAAAGAGGTGATAGAGACATATTCTGTAACATTACATTATGCAATAGGATACTCACTATCTAGAGAGGCCATCGTTTGTTAGGGTAAATGGTGCTGCGCACGATTTCGTAGGAGAATGCTAGTAATACTATGTAACTAATTGTAAGATATTTAGAAGTATATAACAATAATGTGTAATAATAAGACACTTTAATGTATTTTCTTTTAATCAGTTCAAAGAAAACAAGCAAAAATGGGTATGTTAATTTACGTATAAGAGAAAGTAACAAATTAGTTTCATAAGCAGATGTCAGATTTCAATAAAAGGCCAAAAAATGGGAAGTAATATGAGACCAATACAATTTAAAAATAAAACTTTGAAGGAGACATGGTTGATGCATTGCAGATTGATAATTATGTTATAGATCGGAATACAAATATATGTTGATGATAATATTGCTGGGAGATCTAGACATTGAAGATAATGGATTTGTTACAATATCAATGAATGAAATATTCAAGAAAAACAATTTTACTAACAAATTATTCTAATATCATTTATTTGATACAATAATATTTAAACAGGTAGAGTTATTAGAAACCAAAGAAAGGGTGCTGGTTCCATCTTCACCTCTCACACCAGATTGAGACAAGGTGCTGCCAAGTTAAGAACCTTGGATTACGCTGAACGTCACGGTTACATTCGTGGTGTTGTTAAGCAAATCGTCCACGACTCCGGTAGAGGTGCTCCTCTAGCCAAGGTTGTTTTCCGTGACCCATACAAGTACAAGTTACGTGAAGAAATCTTCATTGCTAACGAAGGTGTCCACACCGGTCAATTCATTTACGCCGGTAAGAAGGCTGCCCTAAGTGTTGGTAACGTTCTACCTCTAGGTTCCGTCCCAGAAGGTACCATTATTTCCAACGTCGAAGAAAGACCAGGTGACAGAGGTGCTATTGCTAGAGCTTCTGGTAACTACGTTATCGTCATTGGTCACAACCCAGACGAAAACAAGACCAGAGTTAGATTACCATCTGGTGCTAAGAAGGTTATCTCTTCTGATGCTAGAGGTGTCATCGGTGTTATTGCTGGTGGTGGTAGAGTTGACAAGCCATTGTTGAAGGCTGGTCGTGCTTTCCACAAGTACAGATTAAAGAGAAACTCTTGGCCAAAGACTCGTGGTGTTGCCATGAACCCTGTTGATCACCCTCACGGTGGTGGTAACCATCAACATATTGGTAAGGCCTCCACCATCTCTAGAGGTGCTGTTTCTGGTCAAAAGGCTGGTTTAATCGCCGCCAGAAGAACCGGTCTACTACGTGGTTCTCAAAAGACTCAAGATTAAACTCCTTAACATTGATATCTTTTTCGACACTTCTGTATTTTGTAAGGTTTTCTTTAATTATATAAAAATATAAATTTTCTAGAACTATAATAAGAATTTTTAAACATCAAATTTCCACAATTTTTTATTGAGAATATTTACATGTTTTGTTTACATTTTTAATAATTCCAAAAAAAATTATAAGAAATGAATATTAAAATTATATATTTTATTATTTATTAATATATTTTAATTAAAAATAATATTGTGATCTAATCGAGTTCATACGTACCATTGAGCAATTTAAACATAAGGTCATCTAAATTAGTAGCCTTTTGTCTTACATTAATATTTGTGTCCAAAACGGCTGTCTTAACCAAGTCACGGAAACCAAGTTCTTGCAAACGTTCACATCGAGCCACAGTTTTCATGGAAGTATTTGGGCGAATACCAGAATAATTTCTGGTAGACTCAACCCTTTCGAGAGTTTGTGAAGAAGCACTTGTAGACGTGCTACTGTTCTCACTATTTGAGCCATGTCTTTCCTGACTATTTGAGTACAGTACACTCTGTGAATCTTCCTGCATGTTAGAATCCCATAAAATATTATGGAGTATCCATAAGCAGGCTAGCTTCAATTCACTATTATTGCCATATTTTTCCGAATTACCTGGGGTTTCCGATAGGATCTGATATATGAGTCTTAGGATATCTGTCTGTTCTAAAACGAGTTCCTTCTTATTTTCATTCACAGCGGCAATATTCACAATAATATAAAGAATAGCCTCTAAAGTTCTTTTCTGAGATAAATCATGCACATCTAACAAACGCAACTTTCTAGCCAAAAATTCAAATAAATATGTCGATCCTACTGCTACTCTTGAACCGTCAACCGGATCAACCATGTACCTCACATTTTTAAATCTTTCTAGTAAAAAATTGATTACTTTTCTAGAGTTACATGTTAAATTCTTGAGAACCTGGAAACATTGTTGTTGAACTGTCCAGCATGGGTCATTAACAAAATCTAAAATCGTGTCAATACTTATCTTGTCTAATAATTCTAATTTCTCATGATTTTGACTGTTATACATTAGATGTCTTATAACCCACAATGTATTTGTTTTAACCTCTTCCACATATAAATCATCGAAGGCCATTTTCCTTGTCAAATTTCTCCAAGTCTTTTTTGGATTAAATAAGGGATCTGTTAGGATGTCGCTACAGAGATCAACAATACCTTGATCAGTAAGAAAATATTGAACGTTTGAAAACTCAACAATAAAGTTACATAAAATACCCAAGGATAACCCCATTATTTTTATTTCAGTTTGCAAAAAATTAGATCCCGTAAAATAACAATCTTTCATTATTGAGTACGTTAAATTTAGTAAAGTCATAATGTTTTTGGTTAAGTTATTCTTTTTCAAAGTAGTTCTTAATGCAGCTGTACTTCTAGAGAATGATTTCAACAATTCTAACCATACAACAACCTTCTCACTGTTATTTAAAACAGGTAAATTGCGGTTCATCCCTACAAATATTTGTTTATTAACTAAAAAATCTTGTAGTAGTGATATATGACCTTCTATATCCTTTTTCAATTGATGCATAAGGAACCCATTTTTTAGTAGTTCCAACCTATATATTTCATCAAATGCAGAACAACATGCAGAAAATTTAATGAACTGTGTTATTAGTTCCTGATTCGTTTGGGCGTCATTACATTTTGTCAATTCTACAAAGAATAGATCCATAAACCCATGAACGAGATTTGTTCTTTTCAGAAAACCCACCACAGGATTGCCACCAGGCATTTTTTGGTTGTATATCTCTATCAATGTGATTAACGTATGGAATGGATCAAACCACCTCGGGATACATTTAGAATCAAAGGTCTTTAATAAGAATGGCATCAGTTGATTTACCGTCCTTGTATCTCGCCATGCCATACTGGTTGAAAAATATGGATATAACAAGAAATGCAATGCAGAACATTTTAAACTAATATTGCTATGTTTTAAAAGACTTAGAATGAATATTCTGATATCGACATCATTCGATAAAGTCGTGAAGGGATCCTCTGGTTTCTCAGTGGACGTTACTAGTACCAGACAATATTGTAATATGTCTATTTCATAAATATTTTCTATGATACATGGATTAGGTACAGATAAATTCTCTTTTGTATTTCCTCCGGTGATGTTATAACTAACTGATGTGTCCTTATGTGCATTATCGGTTGGAATATTTGTAGTGACAATATATTTATAATTAATAGTATAGTTTAGTTTGTCTGATAAATTAATAATAATCTCTGAGATTGTTTTAATCAATGGATAATCTAAAAAGTTAGTTTTATTTCTATAAAACATGAAATATTGCAATAATTCTACCATTAAAGTCGCGTATTTACCATCGGTGGGCACTTTATTATCCATTTTTTCCATAAATTCAATAAAAAATTTATAAACATGTTGAAATTGTAAACTTCCATTAAGATCAATAACTTCTCCGCCCAGATCAATACTTTTATTTAACAATTTAAAGTATTTCAAATTGATATCGATGCTATTGTTTTGTAATGTTTCATATAATCTAACATCCGTAAATATTCTAGATATAAATGATAAAAATTGATGTTTGATCTGATACCTAATATTGCGATCCAACTTGGTCAATAGATAAAGATTATCTAATTTCATCTGCTGTGTGTTTACATCGTCCTGTATCGAAATGTTTAATAAAGAGTTTAATAAAGTAGTATTAGGATCCACTAAAAGGGTCATTCTGTCAAAATCATCATCAACCAATGAGATATCAGTCATATCGTCTTTTGATAATGCCACCATTGTTCTTTTTATTGTGTTTAAGTCCGCGTTCCTTAATTGATTATTAATAGTAAACAAACTGTCCCCTTCCTTGCAATTTACAAAATAGTCACACCGAACCGAACTTGGTTACAATAAATCAAGAACTGTTTCAAAAAAAAAATACCTCTACCAACAATTGCACAATCTTAAATCACTCTAAATTAGTTGTTTATTGGTTCAACTTCTTTATCTTTGTCACACTCTCTTGGTATAGCTATCATATTGAATTTAATAAATCTCCCCTTTAGTTTCAACTTGTTTTGTTACCCTCTTTAAAACCTAATTTTTTAAATTATTTTCAATATATATATATACATTAGAAGGTTCTGCGGGAGTTTCTTGGGGAAGTGATTTAAAACGTGGAGACTGTTTAGCCAAAAGAAAGAGACAGAGTAAGAAGCGAACGCCAAACAATGTTACATGACTTTTCATGTTAGGAACGGTTCTTTGTTTAATAATACAACGTGGAAACGCAGGTTCGTGGGGGAAGCGTGAGATTCTTCGTCAAAAGAACGTTTTCCAATTGTGGATTACATTTAATAATTAAATAAACTATTGTAGTTTTTCTTCTTAACGTCCTATTTAATAGTATAAGAAGTTCAATAGGAATCAACTAATTAAAGTGTTACAAAAAAAAATGGATACTGAGAAAATTACAAAATATATTGAGGACAATGTCTCCGGTGATGCCATGGGTGCCATCAGTTTGTTCATTGCTGTTGCAACTATGTTCTTGTGGAACTATGTTAGTAGAAAGAATGAAGCCAACTTCGGCAAGAAGAAAGCTCCAACAATGGACCCCAAACCAATCGCATTGAATCCAACCGAACAATTGGAAAACATCTTTCTAAGATACGAAAACGAATTTAAGGACCGTATTGCTAAGATCATGGAACTTTATAGCCCAGATGATGACAAAGATGTTTACGAACGTAACTACTGTAACGAGATGTTGTTGAAATTGTTGATTGAGTTAGATGGCGTTGATCTATTAGCATTGGAAGGTGAAGAAAGAAAACAGTTGAGACAAAGAAGAAAGGATATTATTAAGGTTATTCAAAATGAATTGGTTAAGCTTGATTCCTTGAAATAACTGAGTAAGGTTTTAATGTAATTCAGTTATTTTATACACATGTATGCATATATATATTTAACGTGCGATTTTACTATCTTCTATACTGTTTTTATCCAAAAGTTTTGTTTAATGTTATTATATCTATATATAGGCAAAATAGAGGTGACTTTTATGAAAGTAAGACATATTATTTAATAATCCTTATAGTGAACGGATTATCAAAGCCATAAAGACAAAAACAAAACATAGACCATTTAGGAATTTGTTTTGAATACTGGTATAACTCAACACTATTACCAAGAATGTACTATGTTTCTAATATTGTTTCAGGTATGAAAACCCGTTTTAAATATATCATGTTATTACCCGAAAAGGAAATTTACACGAATCTCAAAAATGAAAAAATAAAATATGGCAGATGAGGTTGTTATAGAATAGTAGGAGAAAAAGGGAAATAATACAAATGAATGTCAAATAGTGATAAACATATTTAGAAATAAAAATAACATAAAAGAAAAGATGTAATTTAGGCATTATTAAATGTATATAAATAAAAGGTAAATTGTAAGATAATGAAAATAAAATTTAAGTCTAAAAAAGTTGTAATCTTACTTGTAAGAACATTTTGTGAAGCATAAGTTAATATACAGCTTAATTGCTTTAATATTTAAAATGTTAACATTTAGATGTAAGAGGTTCGTTTTGTTAGCAATTGCATATGTGTATTTTACGGTAGATATAGTTTTTGCAAAACCACTAAAATTTCATCTGAGCAAGACGACTCCTCGTTTAAGTTTGTCTTCATTTCATAAAAGAGACAACGTAGTTTTATCTTTGAAAAATAATAATGACGAATATTTCTCTACCACAATTAATTTAGGAACACCGTCACAAGAATTGAGTGTTATTTTTGATACGGGGTCCGCAGATCTGTGGGTGATGAACAACAATAATCCTCATTGTCTGAATAATTCCGTTAGTAATATTACTGATAGTCCCACAATTGATTGTTCCCAAATAACCACCTTTGATTATACCAAATCTACTTCCTTTAAAAAATTGTCAGACGATAGGTTTTATATTAATTATGTTGATGAAACATATGCAGAAGGCGAATGGGCAACTGATACTCTAACCATTAATGATATTCCAATAAGTAACATGCAATTCGGCTTAGCATTAAATGCTACTACACCAGTTTCTGGTGTGTTGGGTATAGGATTTCAACGAAGGGAAGCAGTTAGAGGTTACCCAGGTGCATCGAATGAGTTTTATCCTAACTTTCCCGAAGTTCTTAAGCAGGAAGGAATTGTTGATGTTGTTGCCTATTCTTTAAACCTTGGGCAAACAAGTTCAATTATATTTGGAGGATTAGATACTAATGCCTATGACGGAGATATATACACATTTCCAATGGTTAATGTGTATCCTACTGTTGTTGATAAGCCAGCAACATTATCGTTAACCATTCAAGGTTTGGAGGCCTACGATTCTAATGGACAAAAGACGTCCCAGATCTTTAATTCAAAATATCCTGTCCTATTAGATAGTGGGACTACATTGGTAAGTTTCCCGATGGAGATTGCAGAGAAAATGGCTAATTTTGTCAATGCAACATATAGTGAATATGAATCGATTTATATTATGGATTGTCCATCTGATACGATAAATACTGGGTTTGTATTCGATTTCGGTGATCTCAAATTAAATATTTCTTTAGCATCTTTCATATTACCACCTGATGGTGAATCATATTGTGGTTTTGGGGTTCTTCCTTCTTCAGGTAGTATTACATTAGGTGATAGTTTTCTAAAGAATGCATATGTTGTATATGATTTAGAAAATTATCAGATATCTCTTGCTGCAGTTGCTGAAGATAATACTTTAGATCAGAATATTATTGACATTCCGAACGATGGTAAAATTCCAGGAGCAATTATGGCGTCTGCAGTAGCTTGGAATTCATACGATGAATCTGATACTACTACTAGCAGTATAGGAACCAGTAAGGCCAGCTTTCAGAGTAGCACACTACAAACAGTGACTAAAACTAATTCTGTTACCAAGTCGTCACAGTCGGAAAATATTATTTTCGAAACAGTAACAGAATACATCTGCTAATCTTCTCATGTAGAATTCTTAAATATTTTTATATCTCTGTTTTTTCTTTTGAAAAATATAGTATAAATATTAGTATTAGATTTCACGAAATTTATTTAGCTTTCTAGTATACAATTATGATATAATGCCAATATTTATGATAAATGACTTAAATGTTTTTTTTCTTTTACATGTGACTAATTTGGAACTTCAAATACCAGTGAAACACCTTCATCACCTGCAGTAATAACCCTTCTCAATTGTGAATTATCCTTTGGATGCACAATAATAAAGTCTAAAACACCCATATTGTGACCGACACATATGAATTTCTCATTACCTGTCTTTGCGTCATATTGGTACACCTTCCCATTTATACAAGATGCAAAAATGTCATCGTTATCAAAAATTAACTTGGTAATTGAATCTTCTAGAACAAATCTACGTCTTACTCTCCATGAGTTTGTATCATATAGAAGTATTTGACCACCAACAAGACCAACAGCCATTAGTGGGTACTTTGGAGACCAGCAAATCGATTCAATAGAAGCATCTAGTTCTTCTTGATCATCCTTTAATTCTACAACGGTTTCTAAATGTAAAACAACACCGTTGTTGTTGGCATTAATTATTGCTAGGACACCATTATTAGAGCCTGCAGCAACAATACCAAAATTACCATTTGTTAGACTAGATGGGGCGACGGCTAGGGAAACCCATGGCGCTTCTAAACCTTTAATTTCAGCTTGAGTTAATTTGAATAATTGTTGACCAGTGTAACAATTCCATCCTACTACTGAACTATCCGCGGAGCAAGTAACCAATTCTACAGCTTCTTCACCTTTATCTAGATTTATGAATTCACCCATTGTACAATCTTGAGTGTGAACGAACCCACTCATTAGTTGATCTAATGAACCATCTTGTTCGCTAATTTGGTAACACCAAACAGAACCATCAATAGCACCGAATGCAAAGATGGATGGGACCTTTGGATGAGCCTTTAGCCATACAACTTCTTCAACTTCTGCTAATTCGGCTACTAATTTCCATTGAGAACCACCTTTCAAACCTGCATGAACCAAGATTTTACCGTTCATATCTGCTGTAATCAAGAATTTACCATCTGCTGTAAAACTAGAACAAATGACAGATTCAGTATGAGTTGTGATGGTACCAGCCATTTTAGGAGGATGAGAATGTGAGGTCCATAGATTTGCAACGTTATCAGCACCACCAGAGACAACTAATGGTAAATTTGGATGATGGGCTAACGTGAATACAGAATCGGTGTGTTTATCGAAATATGTTACAGAGTTATTAGACATATCGATTTCTATCGTTGGATCTTCGTCCATAGGAATATCATCTTGCATGTCATCATCATTGTCATCAGGTTGTTCGTCATCATTTGTTGGAATAACCTCTTGCGCAACCTCATCGGTAGAAATGAATTCTTCAATAGGTTCGTTTTCCCCAAGTTGTTGAGTATTGTCTAATTCATTGGATGACATAGTATTATATTTTAATTTATTGGTTCTATGAAGTTTCCTTATCTTGAATGATAGGTTCCGTAAAATAAAATATCACTTAAATAAAATGTTTCAATATATATGTCTATATATATTTAAATGAGTGCCTCGAACGGAATAATTATATAATTGATTGAATGTTTTAACACTTCGTTATTGTTAACTATCTATCTATTCTTGCACAGTAAATGTGAAATGCATCTCATCGCTCGCAGTTCCGAACAGAAACCTTCCACCGGAAAATTTTCATGTATTATTATGTAATATAGTCGAAAAAATCAGAGCAGGGAGGGTAACCCAAATAGCCTCTTAAACTAATATTATTAGACATTAACACAGGCCCAGTGAATTCCTTAAATGAATGTCATTACTTATTTATTTATTTATTTATTGTTACAACGTCTATATGATATATTCATATAAACTAACAAGGAAACCCGTCATTAAATAAAAGAATGACACGTAGTAGTGCTAAAGTATGATCTTATTAACCAGAGATGTTACCATTCTAACGTCCTACAATTTGATTAACGTATCACTCAATCCACGCAAGAGTTGTTTGGAATTTATGGTATTTTCTTTTGATTTCTCTCTTTTCTTAAATTCATTAGTTAAAAGTTTGATTTTTTTTGTTGTTGTCTTGGAAAGAGTTTTTGAATGCGATTTGATTAAATGTGTATGCACTTGTAATTTATTCATCCTGCTGATTAGATCCTTTTCGAGGTCTTCTGTGGAGAGTAAATGATGTAAAGAACTGTCAATTTCCAATTCCTTTTGAATAGGTTCACGTTCAACTTGTATATCGATTGGATTTATCTTCTCTTGGATATCCTTTTCGAGATCGTTGTTATCTAAAACAGTAATCCAATCATGTAATTCATTTTTTAATTTTTCAATTTTTTCAGTTAAAATTAATAAATTTTGTTCATTTTTAATATTTTTGCTATTTGGTAATAGTGGTATATCTTTTTTCTTTAATTCATTATGGTATCGGGATTGTTCAGTTCGTTGCGTGTTTAGTTTATCACTGCGTTTATTTTTTGACTTTGGAATTCTCTTTATGTTAATACCAGTATAATAAAATGATTCACTTTTTGAATCACTGTTTTCTTCTGTATCGTCGTTAAACTCTCTATCATTATCATTTTCTTGCGTTTCTTCCCCTTCCTCATCATAATCATCATCCTTAAAGAGATTCTTTAAAATAGTATCTTCTGCGTCCTCGGGCTCATTATTATGTAGTATTAGTGGCTCTTCCTTATATCTTCCTATGTTAGATCTATCCTCAGCATTCCAATCAATATCAAGTTGACCTCTTCTTAGATCATCTACAAAATTCTTTATTATGGAAAGTGTAATATTTTTGTTCTCGATAAAATTGGATGGTAATCCTTCACTAAATTTCTCTTGACCTTTTAAATCATGACGCATTTTTTCAAAACTTCTGATTGCACACCAAGAATATAATTGTTTTAATTGTGATTGTGAATCTCCTTGAACGTTGCCTAAATATCTATAAAATTGACTCTCCGGGACATCTCGATGTGGAGAAATCATCATCTGTTCTCTATTAGACATTATCGATAATCTACGACCACGTTGTTCTGCTAACGATTTTCTGCTATTTCTTGTGGTTTGTGTATATTGTAAATTGATGGGGTTTAACTGAGGTGGAGGTAATAATTGCGAAGAGCCTGGTATTGATTGGGATGAATAAAACGGTTGCATTGAAGAATTTGGAATCATAGGGATAGGTTGATTCATATATTGTGCAGGTAATCCGCCTATTGGTATCTGTGAGGGATACATTGGAGATGTTGGTACAGGTATATAATACATTGGCTGTTGTTGTTGTTGCCATTGTGAAGCACCTAGGTATGGTACTTCATCCAAATTTAAATTGGGTTGTGAACTAGGTATTTCGTTGTTGTTCCTATTCTTTCTATAATCAGCACTTTTTAATCTCCCTTTACTACTTTGTTCTTGAGTATTTCGTATTGATGAATCAAAATTATCAATCCATTTAGCTCTTTTCATATCTTGAAGATTATCTAATCGTTCTCCTAATGATTGAGTTCCTTTTATCTTAGGTAATTTATGTCTTTTAAATCTAAAATCTTGATCATTTTCAAAATCATCCGCTGTTGGAACAGACGAATTTTGTCTATTAGGTGTATCTTTCTTTGTTGAAGTTATGGAATCTCTCCTCGGTACATTTTGAGTAGATGTAACAATATTAGCATTCCTGTTTATATCCTTTGCATCAGATAAATTGGGTAAAGTTTCCATTCGTAAAGGATACATTCGTTTCTTTGGAATATTAGTCTTTTCGACTCCACCATTGTCATTATTTAGAACGGAGTCTACACTCATTTTAGAGAGGATATATCTTTTATATTTTCATAGAAATGGCGAAACCAAAAATAAATAAAACACACGACTACTTGTCACAATTAAGTAAAAAAAATGTCTATACCTCTGCGTTTAATTTAAATAGAGGCAAACACTCTCAGAATAAATAAGAATTCTTTTACTCTGTTATGTAAGAATAAATATGTGAGTAAGTCTTATGCTTAATCAAATTCAGGACATCCTTTTGTTTTGATTTGTTTTGAATTCAATTTTTTTGTTTTTCGCGCTTTAAAATTTCTGTTACTATTTAGTGTAATTAGGGTACACTGTCGTAGAAAGTGATAAATATATGTAAATACTGAAACGGTGTATATGTAACTGGCACCTAGTTTACCCTTTACTGTGACATCTATCCCATCATAGTAGCTCTTAATGTTTTACAAGTTGAGTACCCTTATATCTCCTGTTATATGTCACAGATATGTTTTATGTATATGTATGTATTCAAGTGTCAAAATGGAGTATTTTAATGCATTTTTTTGACAGATTATCCGAGCATAATAAGAGAAAATGTTCAGCCGTGAGAGTGAGGATTGTCATTATTTAAAGTATTAATTGAAGAAAGAAGGACTTAAGTTGTATATATATTTAATTCATAAAGGACGCTCCAAGACAATCATGCGGCTTTTAATATTATATACCAGGTAGCTCATTATAGTAGTTCGGGGATGGGTTAATATACTTCTGTAACCGAACAATGTAGTAATTTAGTTATCAATTAATAGTTAATTGAAATAATATTTTTTGAATATCTTTTTAACGTTTATTTATTTTTATTTAATGTTACATTTCTCTATATAGAATTGGGAATACCAATTGATGTATTTTTTGGCCCTAAAAACGCAGTAATATTACCACAGATATTAATAGTAAAAGTGAGTAATTATTGTGTGCATTGGTAATTATCTATTTACCTGTGGAACCGAAACCACCAGCACCTCTATCACTATCTTCCAATGATTCGACAACGACGATTTCTGCATCATCGACAATTTTTTCTAGAATTAGTTGAGCAACTCTGTCGCCCTTAACAATCTTGAAATCGTTCTTAGAGTGGTTAAACAAAACAACCTTGACTTCACCAGTGTAATCTCTATCAACGACACCAGCACCTGTTTGAATACCATGCTTAACAGCTAGGCCGGATCTTGGTGCAATTCTACCGTAAGTACCAACTGGTACGGTGAAAGAGATATCAGTGGAGACCATACCTTGTCCTTCGGCTGGAATGATACATTCCTTGGAGGCATAGATATCGTAACCAGCGGCTGTCTTTGAACCCTTGGTTGGAACTGTAGCGTCTTCTGAACGTAATTGGATTTTTAAAGATTGTGACAATTTTTGTTGTTTAGCAACTGGTTCAGACATAATTTGTGTTATTTGGAAATTTTATTCTTGCAGGACTTCTTTCTCGAAAATAATTAAAAATAACGAACTAAGAAAGAAATTGTAAATAACGAAAATATAAAACCCTAGCGTTGAGTGGCTCTCTCATTTATATATTCGAAGTAACGGTGCATGGTGCTCTTGATGATGAAAAATTTCGCGATTTCTTTCTCATCGAGAAGAAGTAATAATTAAACAATTTTTGGCGTCGCTTCTCTCCTGCGGGTTTATTCTGTAAATTTGATTCATCAAAAATGTAGTTATAAAGTGAAACTAAAAACTATGCTTAAGGCTCGAATTGAAAAATTTTTGATGAGCAGTTTAAACAGCTGGATGATATTGGGTGATTGGATATGTATCCATATTCCATTTTTGAAAGTAGTCTCTTAATAATAATTTGCATATTTCAGGGTTGAAAAAATCATTCCACTGTCAACCATATCTTTGTAAAATAATAGGTTACTTTTTTATTGCCACCGTATAAAATTTCTCAGTAATTATCATCTTTTAACCAGCAGGTCAGAATATAACAATATATCCGTCAAAAATACAATTCCGAATTGTATTATCTGCTACGAGCTTTATCTACTTTCTAAAGGATTTGAAATGCTCTTTTATTGTATGCATCGATCTTTTTTTTTTTTATTTTGACAGATATATATCGTTATGTACATAGAAGGATTTTTATATAGTCGTGCTCCCTGATATATGTTTCTGAATGAAAGAATATTTGTACTAAAAATATAAATAAAATGCGTAAGTTAGATTCACATTGGAAGTAATTTTTTTGTTTAATTACCGGTAAAAATTGTTCCCATCAAAATTTACCATATTTTCCACCAATGTTTTTTCTTTTCATTGACAATCTCTTGCGTCCTTAATTCGCTCTTTTGCCTCAACATATCTAACTCAGCCATAACTCTTTGAAGGTCCTCTCTTTGTCTTGTTTCAGCTTCATTTCGTTGAATTTTATTAAAGACTTCTTCAGTATTTTGTTTTCCTTCCCATGGAGCATTAAAAGGACCAGTTTTCCAAATAGGATCATTACTCTGAGAAGTTTTCTTCACTAAATCCATCAACTGTCTTTGTTCTTCTCTACGTAATACTTTTTGTTTTTCATATTGTTCTCTTAATTCAGGAGATAATGCATTAATTAATTCTTCATCTGTAGGGGTAGTATACTTAAATAATAAGAGACCCGAGCCAATGATAGCACCACCAACGGCCCATACTCTCAACCAGCGTACCCATAATGGACGTTCCATTGTTGTCGTATTGTGATATATAAATATGTGAATGTTCTTATGTGAACTGCTTTGCTTTCCTGAATCTAGGCCTCTCTTTGTTAGACGTATGTTGCATGTTTTATTACATATCCTTTCTATGTGTATGTATTCTGTATTCTGTATGCAATTGGGGGAGAGTAGGGGGAAGAAATTCTGCCTGCGGGTGAACATGCGAAATAGAGAGAAAAGAGAGAGAGAGAAAAAAGAGTCCTCTTTCGTTAACTCCGTCTGCACACAAATACAAATAATTTTTCAATAAATATTAGAATAAGAAGAAATCTTTAAAAATCTGATAGATAGAAAACATTATTATAGGGTTGATCTTCATCAAAAGATACCTAGATGCGAACATTTCTCTAAAATGTTCATAATATATATATATATATATATATATAAGTATATGTATGTATAATAGAGTGGTAACGAAGTTTAAAAGTTAGTAACCTCTCTAGAGTTGACAGCAAAGTAAAGGAAGTAAAAGTGTCTTGCACAGCTTCCAGTCATAATAATTAAAATAGATGTGGTAGAAGTAGTAACGAAATCTAATAAATATGTATTTTTTTTAACCAATCAATTCACGGAAAAGGAATGGTGTGAAGACTCTGACAGCAGTGATTAAGATCATGATACCTTCGAGTAGCGCCATTGGAAGACCTAAGAAACCACGTTCTTCGATTTTCAAATAGACAGTGTAGAAAGCGACGGCAAAGAAGACACGAGTCAATTGTAAAGGACTTGGTTTTAAACCAGCTAAGAAACTGACTGGTACATTAACACAGTCGCCACCTCTTTGGAAGTATTTGAAACAACCTCTTTGTAACTCTTTCAAATTCTTAGTATCAGCTGCAAATAAGGAATACAAAGCAATAGATAATACGTTAATAACAGAGTCAAATGGTTTTCTTTCATAGTGGTAATCTAATAATTCATCTAGAACAGTTTCTCTATCTGAGAAGTCTAGATCACCAATCTTATTCATTAATAGGACAACATCTTGTAAACCGACAGTCATACCACCACCAGTTAATGGATGTCTCATGTTCAAAGCATCACCAATGACACATAGACCTGTAACATCATTAGCTCTAGCTGGTAAGTATTTGTTAGCCATTGGCTTGAATTTACCTTGAGCTAAAGCAGCATCGAAACTTGGTCTCAAAGATTTTGGAATATATGGTTGAACATCATTAGTCATCCAAGCCTTTAGGTCCTTTGGTAATTTACCAGAGTTATAAGCACAAAGGATTCTAGTTTCGGTTTCGGAGATTTGATAAACTAAAATAGGCATATGGTTGGAACCTAAAATAACATGACCATGATTCTTAGCTGGAACATCAGCATCGAAAAGAGACATACCAACAAAGGAAGAGCCAATAGATGGGACATGTTCAGGGCTCAATTCTGCTCTGAAATGAGAGAAAATACCGTCACATACAAAAGTTAAATGAGCATGGAAGTCAATTTTACCACGACCTTCAATATCAACTCTGGCACCAATAACTTCACTTTCTTTGTTTTTCAAAATTTGGATTACATCACCTTGTAAAGCAGTGACATTAGGTTCATGTCTAGCAATATTTCTTAAATTATTTAAAAATCTACCATGAACAAATGCAACACCACGTTCACGTTCATCATCTTCGTATTCAGCAGTGTGAATAGTTTCATCATCTAGTACTTTATCGTTACCATCTTTAACTAAATCTTTAACTTTTTCTACTCTATCACAATCAGCTTTGTAAGGGTAAGTGATATCAACTTCTTTACCATCATAAAAGACGGAGTAACCAGTAACAGGAATAGCACCAATTCCGTTAATAGATTGAACCATCCCTAGGGATCTTAAAGCTCTAACACCACCTGGTTGCATCAATTCCCCGACAATTCTATCAGGTTGAGCCCATTCACGTTCAACAATTAGGACTTTCTTACCTTTACGTGCTAGACCTGCAGCAACACAAGGACCAATGACACCGGCACCAACGATAATGGCATCGTAAGTAATCTTTTCATCTGCACTTGTAAGGGTAGTAGTAGGCATATCAGCTGTATGAGAATTCATCGTATTGATTTTATTTACTTTATATTATTATTATTATTTTTTTATTTTTTATAAAAGATCAAACAAATAAATACAAATAGATAAATACAATTACTATATATATAGATATGTAGAAGATATAGTGTAGCTCTTCCCCTTTTCCACTGTTCTCTCGTCTCTCTTATATAATTCAATTTTTGTAAAGAGCTAAATTGCAAGAAAAAAAAAGAAAAATTTCAGTCTCTCTCGATCGATAATTTAGCGATAGAAAATATTAACAAGTGCAAGACAACCAGGAACGGACAGTAACGACTACAGGCAAAGAGAAAGAGTACAAACCCAAACAATATATTGTATATAATCTTCTCATTTTATTTCTAACTTCTTTTAATTCATTATAATAGTGATGATGATGATGATTGTGAAATGTGGCAGTGTATATGTAATTTATTTTTGTGCTCGTTCCCTTATCAAATATAGTAGATTTACAATATATAAAAGTTTTCTGTTGCTTGCTTTGAGCATCGCCCGTAGAGTCCGGTCGTTTAAAGAGTAAATATTTCTCTTTCACAAGCAATTTGTGAGTAGAAGGACTCTCCTAAAGATGTTACATGAACAACTGATAGTAATAATACAAGAAGCAGAAAGGTGCATACGAAAGAGAGAAGAAGTAATTTTGTTTGTTTGTTCGTGGGACTTCTACCAATGACAAAATTAAACGAGACGAAAGAAATGCGAGGCGAGGCGTTTCTCGCTTACAACCGATAGATCAAAAATGAAACTTAAATGAATCAAGAAACGATGATGATCATAAAGATTTAAAATTGTGTTTTTTGAGCTTATTTATTTAGGTAGAAGAGTAATTGTTCTAAAAATTGATAAAATAGGTTGAACAATTATTTATATATATATAGAGAGAGAGAGAAAGAGATGTTTGTATCTTGACTAGTCACATTTGTTCATAATCTTAGCATGCAATTCCTTACCAAGAGCAGTAAAATCTGCTTGTGATGCAACTGCTCCTTCAACTGCACTCATACATAGATTCATGCCACCTGATGTTGTAGTAACAATATTGACACTATAACTAAAATTCAACACGCCAAGATTTTGCATGAATAGCATGTCTTCGATTTGTAAAGTATCCTCTTCTGAAGATGTTGTTGTATTGATCACACCGACATTACTCAAGATAATCCCACCACGTTTCTTATTTAAATATGAATCTGCAATCATTGCATCAATATTCTTGTTTTGGGTAATAAAACCTAGCATTATAGATCCTAATCCAACAAGGTAATCAGCAGATTTGAAAACACCGTTATAATAACGTGCTAAAGACCAAAATTGTGAATCCTTGAAACTTGAAATTAAATACGAATAATGTAATCCACCAACGTTTGAACCATATTTGTATTGTTCATCAACTAAGGAGTCAGGTAATCCTTTACGAGTGTTGTTTGGAACTGTAATATCAAAAGTAATTTCATTCATAGAACGATTGTTAAATATACCATGTTCTTTTAATGTGACACATAATGCAGTTTGCATAAGAGCTGTCATTGTACATTTTTGTTTATTGATTTTATTTTTAATCCTACTGACCTCATCTTGAGTAAAACGAACAAAGCTTTGATAGCATACTTGTGGTTCAGACTCAGTGATGCGTTGTGTATCCTCACAAGGACTTTTGTAATTGAATATACCATTGACTATAGTAGTGATAATCAACCAAATGAAGGTTAAAATTGATGGTACATAATTCACTCTTTCTGTTATTGGTAAAGGTAATTTACTGCATTTTAAATAATCTCTTTCATAATCCCAAATTTGTAATGATTCCTGAGATTCTCCTTCGATAATAGTCTTTGTATCTGGTTTATTTATTTCAGATACAATATCTTGGAACAAATTAATCCCCGTCATAGCATCCGCACTACAATGATTACTGATATACACTAAGGTGTCAAATGATTGAGAGTCATTATTATTGGGATCATCTGTTAGACATAGAATACGCCAGTTTGGCTTGTTTCTTTGGTATACGGGGATTCGGACCTGAGACAGAATATCACATAATTTCTCTGTGATTACACCATTATCTTTTTGAAATTGATTTTGTAATTTTGTTAACAAATCACCATATAAATTGGTTTGTTCATTGATTACCACATCCTTCAGGGACAATTGGTCTACAACTTCCATGAAGTCATGTTCTGGCCATGGCTTATCTAAGTACTCAGAAGATCTATAGTAGTTACTTAGTTCATCCCATGAAGAATCCTTGTTTGTAGCTGATACTAAAGTATGCATCATGATTGGATTTGCAAGGACGATAGAACGTAGCCCACGAGCAAGATCCACATATGTGATCCCATGATTCAATTTGCAACTAATACTAAAATTACCATACAATTCTTGTCTTTGCAAAAGTGCAAAATAGTTCTCTAAATGACCCAAATGCCTCTTATGACCTCGTAACACTTTAGTGTCTGTTTCAGATAATAATGGCTTAGTTTCATCCATCTTATTTTTGTCCTTCTTTAATTTGATTTACTTGATGGCTGGAACTTTTCCAAAAGTACGATGATTAAACTTAGTTTGAATTACCTTCTTTTCTCATTTACAAATGTGTTATGATTAATTTAGCTTCTATTGAAAGTACTATATATGCTGGAATACTCTGTATTTCAATTGCATGTGAAACAAAACAAGAGACATAGAGAGATTGTGATTGAAAACTCTCATTGGTTCGAGAGCGTCAATCATCTCTCGTTTAGGAAAATGACATCAAGTTTTGAACTTTGGCTCTCACTTCCTTTTTGTACCTTTCTTTGTTACTGCTATTTTCTATTTTTTTTCATTGCATTATGGAAGCAATGTTTATACGAGATCGTGATATATAAACATAGAAAGAAACACGGTCGCTGATTATTCGCGTAGGTAAAAACCGATTTTGCTTTCGGTCGTTCCTCGGTAAGTCTATATAATAATAACTTACAATGGATTACAATGAAATAAATATTTCAATGATGTATAATAGCAATATCTGGGTTTGTAAATGGTGACCAGAAAGACAGTTTCGAAGAAAAAAAGGGGATAGTAGTAATAATTTCTATATAATAAACTTACAATTTATTGATGAACTTCAAGTTATTTCTGTTCTATTGTAATTGTGACTTGGAAGTAAAAAGTGTACCAGAGACAGACCTTTCCATGTCTCTTACTAGGTAATTTAGCTTTAATAACGAGGCTTAATAACTGATTCAGAGTATTTGGGCTTGTTTCTCTATTTGTACCGGCCAATGTTAAGCAGGTAAACATATTAAGTTTTTGTATATATACTTATTTTTCTATTTCTTTTTCTATTTTTCAACAGTAATATATATATATATATATGTCTATGTATAACATCATATACGGTAAACACTCTTGAATGAATTAGAATCATCTAACAGTTCAAGCCTTGTGATAGTTATTCTTGTGGTTATAATGACCCTTGTGACGGTGATCTCCACCTCCACCGCTCATCATTCTGTTGTTCCCCATCATTCCAGGAAATGGAGTCATGCCGCCAACTGGATAGCCATATGGTGTACCAACATTCATATATCCACCTGGTGTCATATGTGCAGGCATATCCTGTGGTGATGGGCTAGAACCATTATCGTTGCCATTGTTGTCCTTACCACTCATTACAGGAACCATAGGACCCATTGATGGATAAAACATTGGTTGTGGTTGAAATGGCATATACATACCCATAGCGGATGCATTATATCCATTCATCATTGGGTTAGGAGAACCAGTACCGTTTGGACCATTCATCATAGGGAACCCCATCATATTCATACCATTTCCAGCCATGTTTGGTGAAACATTACCCATACCATTCATAGCGTTCATGTGACGCATTTGTAACTTGGTTTGGGATTCTTGCATAATCGTTTGTTCATCAGGGAAAAAACTCTTATGAGATTCCTCAATGGTGTTAGCCCATGTTGGGGCTGCAAAATATGGTTTTTCAATTAAGAAAGGTTCCATAGATTTCTCTTCATCATGAGCTTCCTTAGATTTTAAGAAGAAGTTAAAATTCTTACCAAAGATATCTTTCTTAGAACCATTGTTTTGAGGTTTCTTTGAACCAAAGAAAGATCCAGTTGGACGTTTTTTAGTATGAGTTGATGTTCTAGCGGAACCGTTGTTAGAGGATCCATGAGCTCCTGTTTGACCTGAAGAGGTACCAAACTTCTTGGAATCAGTCTTATTTTGAGGTGTAGTTCCATTAGCAGTATGGGATGTCTTTATTGAATTCTTAGTTGCAGCACCTGGTGTAGTAGAACTGGATTTTGGCTTAGGTGGTAAAGATGGATCTGCCTTCAATGAAACAGATGGTTTTCTCAAAACATCATTCATATCCTTAGGAACATCGTAAGGAACTTTGAACTTTTGAGCAAAATTCTTTAATTCTTCAATTTGGGCTTCTTTAGAAGTCTTACTGGCAGGTTGAACTCTAGTCTTAGAGCTATGGTCACTTCTACCACTTTGTCTCTTGATTTCTTTCAATTGTTTCTTGACTTCTTCATCAACATTTTTCAAATGAGCTCTTGGTCTTGCATTTTCTTTGGTTGGCTTTGTAGCATCCTTCGCGTCCTTTGCGTCGGTGCTTTTCTTTGCCAGTTCAGCAGTAACTACAGGGACAGATACATTCTCTGATCCTTTAGTTGAAACGGTAGCCTTCATAGCGCTAGATGAAATAATAGCAGGATCCATATGATGTGGTTGATTTCTCAAAGTAGGTGGAACATACTTGTTGCTTTTGACGGCTATAGAAGGTTTTGCGTTAGACTTCAAAGAGGCTAATAATTCGTCACCTCTTCTGTCAACCCCAGAGTACAAATCTTCTTCATCCATGCCGGAGTCGTCGACGATAATACCTCTATCTTCGGCGATATGGATATTACCAGAAGTACCTTGTCTTTCAATTTCGTCAGCAAGTCTTTGAGCTTCCTTTAATCTTTGTTGATAATTTGGATCATTCTTGTTGATTCTAGTAGTATAGAAATGTTCATCGTATGTAGATTTAATTCCGAACTTCTTTTCATTAACTGAAAATTGATCCCAACTTGTAGAAGCTTCTTCCAAGGTTTGAGATTTCTCAGAGGCCATGAAGTCACCTTCATCAGGAGTCCATCTTTGTAATTCTCTTTCTTTGGTACCCTTAACATTAGATATATCAACATCTGTTCTAAACTGATTTGTTCCTTTGGTCACTTTCTCGTTTTTAGAAGCAGCGGCATTGGTTGTTTTCAAAGGTCCAGCAGTGTTACCTTGTGTCTTTTGGGCAGAAACGGGGGTGTTTGTCCCAGTCTTATCATCAGTTGATAAATTAATATCTTTTAACTCCAATTCGGCAACATCATCACTCTTGACCAATAACGTTTCACCTAGATCCTTCTTGGTCTTGGCATCTGAGTCTAAAGAAGAAACTAAAATTGGGTTCTTTAAAACAATGTCTAGTCCATCAGTGGATTTTAAATTGCATGCAACAAGAATACCGTTGTATCTGCAACCAGAAGTGGTAGTTAAGATAGCCTTACTACCAATAGATTTGGTAAGCAAATAATCAAAACGATCATGGAACTGCTTTGCAACTTCGGATGATTCATCAAATAAAGTGTTTTGAGAACTGTTGCTACCTGTGGTGTTGGTCAAACCTTTCTTTTGACTAGAAGTAGCAGAAGGACTAGCGTCTTTTTTTTTGTTATTTCCAGCTTTCATTTTAATATAGTTTAACAATTGTATTTACAGCAAAACTTATTTGGATAAAGTGGGGGAGTATGTCAAAAAAAAAAAAAAAGAGTCGTAGAGTTTAGATAACAAAATAACTTACAGGTTTGGATAGTGATCACCAGTGCAGTTAATTAGGGGGATAGATGTGGAACCAGACGGATAACCCTAAAGGACTGATGTATCTCGATATTCTGCACGAAACAAGATATTCCAACTAGAAATACAAAATATAAGCTTTAAAAAAAGTTTTAATGATTACAATATAAACTAAAATGTTAGAATTTTATCAGAAACCTCGTTGCATGTCATGTAGTATTGTCTTCCAATACAGATTTGGTGTATCTAGTTTACTGAATTTACCCTTTGCTCGCTTTCGTCTCTCGTCTCGCTTTCTCTCTATTTGGTCCAGTAGCCTTTTCGTTTTCTTCTCCTTACTTCTTTCCCGCGTGCAGTGCGCAGTCCGTGTCATATTGGCAAGACAGTGAGTGAGTGACACACTGTAAGAAAGTAGACAAGCATTCAATTATCATCAATCATTAACATGTGTCTACAGAAAGTGAAAGAACAAAGACGTGGGATGACAATTATTTAACCGTTGAGTATGAATTACGTGCTCCTACATTTTTGAATATTATAAAATGGAAAGAACTTAAACGTTGCTCTTTCGGATGTTTATGACTTGATTTTATTATTTTTTTTTATATATGCATCATCTATATGTATATTAATAGTTCATTTATTGAAACGATTGAAGAATTCCAGTGTCTCTCTAAGGTTACCATACTTTAGAAATGAGTTAATATCTGTATAAAATTCATTCTTTGTAAGTTTGACGTCATTTAATACTGGCATAGCTTCTACAGCGTCCCATTCATCGGCATAATCTGCACGCTCCGTTTTTATCTGGATAGGTATTTCAAGATTCATATCTGCAATATCTTTCTTCCACGATGTAGGCTTATCACCACCTCGTACATTATCCCCGGTACTGGATTCAATCATACCGTATGCATTTTGAATGGCAGGAATCAGAATTGGGTGAAGGTCGTCCTTTAGAAGCTTTTCATTAAGATTTTTTTCTTTGTTCTGCTTTATTCCTTGTAAAATTCTTTTGCTTTCTGAAAGTTTTTCCTTTTCCTGTTGTAATGCAATTTCTATATTTTCGATGTTTTTCATCTCATCTTCATATAATTGTTGAATGTATTCTCTTTTGCTCACAATAGCCTCCACATCCAAATCGATATCTTTTAATTTTGACGGAAATTGTGAATCCCTTAGTTTATTATGCATTTTGTCCAAAATTTCATTGAACAGTTGTTGTTTTTTATTATATATTTTATCAATTTCTCCATAATTATTATTAGTAATATGTTGTAACTCGTTGTTGTACTGAACGAATACATCATCAAGAGCGCTATTTGCATTTCCTTCGACAAGTTGCATTATACAATCAGCCAATGGTCTATTAATAGTCTTCCACTGAATTTCCTCCGTAAGTGGTTCTTTGTTAAATTCTTTTTTAATAAATTTATTAAACTCCCAGGGACCTATCTTTTCATCATTGAGTTTCCGATGTTGTCCTCTTTTCCGCTTTGAAGCATTTTTATCTCGTTTTCTATTATGGTTATTCCTTTTTATTGTCCTATTATTACCTTTGAGCTTGGGTGCTACGAATATTCCAGAACTCTCATCCTCATAGAACCGCTTCGATGGTCTATTATTGGAAATAGTAGTAGGTATTATATTCTGGCCTTTTGTCGTTGATGCAATACTAGATTTCCGGCTATGAATACCAGATATTGGAGATGATGAATCATTAAAAAATAAGCTTCTTGTATCTCTGTTTCTTACTCCAGTTGTTGTTTTTGGATTGGACCAATTCTCTCGATTGAGTGAATCATTTGAAAAATTTTCCACCACGTTCATTCTTGAAATGAATGTGTAGTTGTTTGGGTTTTATGGTTTATAAAAGTATAATCAATTTTAAAGATCATTTATTGATAGTCAAATGTATATCTTTTTTAACCCTATAAAATGTTAATTTTTTTTTCTTTGTTTTGACTTGTTTTGTTTTGTTTTGCTTATAATATTATTATTTATTAGGTAACGCGCCGTTCATAAATATCATAAATTAAAAAGGAAAAATACAAGGTTTATATATATTATGTATGTATGTATATACAAAAAATGAATAATAGTTTTCATAAAAAAGGTAGAATCATTGATTTACTTACGTAAAAAACCTATATATATCTATGAGTATGTAAAGTTAGTCTAATAAAATGTAAGGAGAGTATTAATTCATCGTACTTTACTTTTTTCTTTCTAACATATTATATTTTCTTCTTTTTTTCATTTTGTTAAAAATCAATTAAAATTTTTAATATGGGATAATAAGAAGTGTGAATAGAACAAAAAAAAAAGTTAATAAATATGAACACTAATTTTGTTTTATTACTTTCTTAGAAACTGTCATTGAAGGAGAAAGCTTCATGAGCAGCGGCCTTTTGAGTATTTTCAGTAGCCTTGGTGAAGTCAGAAACTTGCTTTTCGAAGAAGTTACTCTTACCGACGGTAGTAGCACCTTCTAGATATTCGAATGGGTTAGCAACGTTGTAGACTTGGTCGTTACCGAAAGAACTCAATAGAGAATCAGCTAAATATTCAACGTATTGGTTGATTTGAGCAACATCAACACCGAATTCTTCAATCTTTAGAGCATCTACTAAGTACTTCTTTTCAATGTCAACAGCTTCAGTGATAATCTTTTCGATAATCTTAGCATCTGGCTTATTGTTCAAATGAGCAAATAATAAACAAGAGAAATCAGTGTAGTTACCCTTGTCTCTGAAGATGTTAGTGTTAGCCTTAGCTAGACCTGGTAGTAGACCACTCTTAGTTTGAGCGAAGATGGCGGCATGAGCACCAGCTAGGAAAATACCTTCCTTAGCAGCAAAAGCGACTAATCTTTCACCGTATAGAGAATCTGAGTTCTTGATCCATCTGTCAATGAAATCAAGCTTTAGCTTTAGTTCTGGGATGGTCTTAGCAACCTTGAAGTACTTAACTGGTTCATCAGAGCCATTGAAGTAAGCATCAATCATCGAAGCGTAAATTTCATCGTAAATGTTTTCCATCATGATTTGGAAACCGTAGAAACTCTTACCTTCTGGGTTTTGCAATTCAGCGGAGAACTTTTCGATCAAATGGTAGTTCAAGACTTCTTCAGATAGAGACATAGTAGATAAGTATCTAGCTAAGAAATCTCTTTGACCATCGTTCAACTTAGATTCGATATCTTCGACATCCTTGCTGTATTCGATTTCTTCAGAAGTCCAGAAATCAGCTTCAACCTTCTTGTAAGCAGCCCAGATTTCGTGGTACTTAATTGGGAACATAACGAATCTACGCTTGTTCTCCTTCAAAAGGATTTCATCCTTTTCGTTTTCCTTAGCGAAATGACGAGTTTCGGCAAACTTGGCCATGAATTGAGTGTGAGCTTTGTCGACAGAAACCATTGTGATATATATGTAAAATGTGTATTTGTGTTTGTTGTAGGGGGGTAGAACTTAATTTAAGAAAGAAATCAGAACAAAAAAAAGGGAGTTTGTCTTGTTGTAAGCTTTTTAATTTTCTTAGTTAAAGATATCCAAAAGATGAAGGAGTTAGTTGTACTTGTTTATATCTTAGGATTAAAATATAAAAAAAGAATAGATCGAGAATATTGAAAAACAAAAAAAGATAAAATAAGAAATAAGGGAATAGAATAAGATATAGAATGAAATTATACAATGAAGGAAATAAAGTAAAAGTTATTGATCTTTCCAAAGGGTTTTTATATAATTTATTAAAAAGAAGAAAGAAAAAAGGGAAAATAAAATGCTGAATAAGTGATATTATTGAAGGGGGCAAGTATTATCCTGAAAGTTACAAACTAAAGGGGAGAGAGAAAGAGGCAAAGAAAGAAGAAGAGTAGGAAAGAAGAAGAAGAAGAAGAAGAAAAAAAAAAAGGTATCCCATCCCGTTGCTACTGTAATAAACTTGGAATAACATTTTTTTTCACTTAACTACCTAAAAAGAATTTCCTTCGATTAAAAAATTGATGAGGTAAAGAAGAAGAACAAGAAGCGGGCAAAATTGTACATATTAACTATGCGATGATGAAATAGAAATAGCCTAATTATTACTACTATTTTTTCAAAAAAATTATATCAGTTTTATTAATGCAGATTACTAAACAGAAATGGGAAAAAATATTATATAATTGGAATTTCGAAAACAGAGAGAGAGAGAGAAAAAGAAAAAAAGCCTGAAGAACTGCAAAGAAAGAAGAAGAAAAGGTGTGTGGGTAGTTTAAACAGCTTTCTTGCAATATCCCGTTAAAAAGTATTATTGAAAGAGAGAAAATGGGCGCGCACAGCTTCAAAGTGAAAAAAAATTAAATTTTAAGAAGAAGAAAATAAGAGATCACCGCAGTGAAACAGAAAATTATTTTGAATCCCATATTCACATCTCAGAAGGATAATTATTATTAAAATAAGGGGAAGAACAGAGAAGAGGAAGACAAAATTATAAATAAAAAAAAAACTTTAGAAATTCTATGAGGGTGTTCCACAACTTCTTCGCACGATTCTTCGTAGAAACCGACAGAATGATCCTAGTAATAATTTAGTTTTTTTCTTTGTTACCGTGGTAATATTATAAATAAATTAAGTAACGTAATAGTAGTTGCCACAACAACGACAACGGCAACCTCTCCCACTTTATTTTTCTCTCTCAAGGATTTCATAATGAGGGGAACACCTATTTTTTTTTTCCCAATTTTGCCTTTCATGCTACTGTAATTGTTATTGGTCACCCCAAAAATCCTGTTTTATTTTTCAGTGGTGATGAGATCATATCTAACAAATTTTACATTTTCTGCATATGTTCCTCTCTCATCTTAAAAAATATATGTATATAACCACGGATTCCGAAGGCAAGAATTTGTAAGAAGGAATACAGAAAGAAAGAAAAAAGAAACAAGAGATTTTCTATGTTTTTTTTAAGTAAGTAATAGAAGATGTATAACCGGGGCTTAAATCGAAAAGCATCAACTCATTTTATTTTATTTTTGGCTTATTCTCAATTTCATAGAGTCTAACTATTAATTTCTCTAGATAGGAATACCTAAATATGTATAGTGATCATGTATATTATAATATTACTAGACTTATTTGTTTAGTTTCCCCAGAAGTAGGCAAGTGAACTTTACATACGAGTGGATTTTTAAAGGTTTTCCTCCTGTATGATCGACATTTCAAAATTATTTTCATTTGTCTACATTTCTCAACCCTAATGTTATTTTATCAAACAATTGTTGTATTTAGATAAATCTGACATTACTGGTATACACCTTGTAAAATCGTATCTTATCCATTCTAATCTTGATAACGGTTGTGCTCTTTCTCACTTCTTTATTGAAAAGAGAAAGAACAAAACCGTTCCTAATAATCTTGTCCTCATAGCAACAGAGAAAAAATAATAATAACTAAAAAGCTTTCACTCTCCATCGATTTCTCTGCAGTCACTTCCTCCGTCCGATAAACGATCTGCAAAAATTTGGATAGAATTATATAAAGGATACAGTGAAATCTCCGTACTACATACCCATTCTCCTCCACGGTTTACATATTTAATTTTTTTAACTAAAGTTTCTTCTTTTCTTTTTATCTTTCTACGGTACTTCTTCTGCAGGAAGGACAAGGCATTGCGCTCTCTCTCCCATCCCCTATTTTTTTGGGGTTGGCTTCCTCCCCCCATCCTCCAGTGGTTCACTCGTACTAACCTCTCTGTGTGTGTTGGGTTTCGCAGAGAGAGAAATCTCCAAGTTCTAAACAGCCAAAGAGGTCTCTTTTCTTTTTTCAGTCTGCTCAGTTTATACCTTAAGTAATTAATTAGAAAACTGGAAGCTTTTTTTCACTTAATTATGTGTTAATTATCTTGACTTAATTGAGTAACAGTAATAATAACCTCTATAAAATTTGAGTTCATTAGTTAGGTATTGTGTTCTTATCTCCATGGTAACCGTATTCATTTGAAGGTGGCTAAAATTAACTTGGTATTGGTAACTATGTAAACAGTTCATGTATGTTCTCGAAATATAATATACTAATATGGAATATTGATAGTGGTTCTCACCTTTTTTTTTAAGCTTTAATAAAATTGAATCGAATTAAATGGAATTTTAGATAGATTGAAAAAAGTTTTGCTACTGCTTGTATTGTACTAGAATATGTGCGTTTGAACTTGTTTTACAAGGTAATAGAGTGGCTCGTTTATTGGTGTGTTCTTTTCGTTGAGTCTCTTTATAAAGAAATGAGAAATAGGGTGTGTCCAAATTTGGTTACTATAGTGATGGAAAGTAGTTTAAAATAAACTTTTTTGACGTAAGTATTTTTCCTTTTTTCTTTTTCTTTCACGTTGTTAAGTTATTTCCAATTATCATTTAGGAATATGTTCTCACAATAAAATATAAACAGTTTTTTATTATTAATTATGACAGTTTCAAAAGAAAAGAAAAGAAAAGAAGACACATATTTGCCTTATTGAATAAATTTTTTTTTTGCCTCTTTTGAAAGGTGTCATTACTTTTTTGCCTTAGATTCATATTTTGTACATATGTTAACATTATTTAGTAAAAGTTAATTTTCGTTTCGTGTTTTCGTGTATCTGTCTTAACTTGTCGCTAATTAATAGAGCTTCTTGTAATTTTGTTGAATTTTGCCATAGCAACCGGTTTGTGGGACATATAATTAAAAAATATATATACAATTGAATAATATTTGCATTATTATATTGAACCTTTTACTCCAATTTAAAACTTAATTTTTATTTTCAAACAAGTTTTATTGTTATACCTTGTTTAGGGTTCGTTTTCCTTTTGACAAATTGAATATGTGTTCAGAGATATTCTTTAGTTAAGTAAATATACCGAAGTAATGTCGCATTGGGAGTTAGAGACGCAGGTTCGGGTTTGGACCGTGCACTCACTACAGTAAGTTTTTATATTTTTTTTTTTGGCCCGACATTCTAAGAAATTATCATTGAATTAGTTATTGAGAAACCTAGTAAAACACAAATGAATTAGAATTTGAGAACAAATGGAAGGTTATATCTATGTTCTTTTGTGTTAAATTCAAAAATACACAATAATATTTTAAATACATATAATAACAATGGGGTTAGGTTCTTTTTTTGGTGGCAATAAATCGACTGTTACAGATAACAATTCACAAACTACTATATCCAATGATCCAACTTCACAAAGGGTAAAAGCTCAAATTCAACAAGAATTAGCTGTTGCAAATGCCACTGAGTTAGTAAATAATGTAAGCAAGAATTGTTTTGAAAAATGTTTAATGGCCCCTTATTCACAACCTAATGATCCTTGTATTGATCAATGTTTAGCAAAATATATGAGAAGTTGGAATGTAATTTCGAAGACTTATGTTGCAAGAATTCAAAATGCATCAACAACTGGTGAAATATAATAAAATGGGGAAAAAATGATGTGGTTCACTTTGTTTCATTACTCATCTGTATATGTGTCTTCCTACTTTATAATTTTTTATACGTATACATATAATCTGTAAATATCATCCTTTAATTCATTTATTCGATACACATTTTTATACTACTTATTTCGATATAAAATCTAATGCATTGTGTCGTCTATGTTTTTTTTCTTGTTCAATTAGTTGCATATAAGAATAAATAATATTGGATATATAAATTACAGGTAGAGTTACCTATTTAGTTTGTGTATTCGGGGTTTTTGTTGGAAAAATAGTATGGTTCTCCTTTATGATGGTATTAATATACATGTGAAGTTGTGATTATATTTCATTATGGATCTCTATCTCCTCTGACACAAAAATTGACTGAAATAAACCTCCCTTAAATGAATATTTTTAATGTTTTTATGAAAGTTATCACAAGTTTAAATTTGATTCATTCATTTATTCGTCGTCATCTTCAGCGCCATTGTTAGCAGAACCAATAGTGGCTTTTACGTCCTTCCATAATTTACCTTTGTTACGATTTTCGTACCATTTAGTAATAGCAGAATCAAATTCAGTTTGGAAAAGGAAAGCACCAACAAATACAGTTCCTACAAAAATGGAATTTCTCTTAAACAATACTTTATAGATAGAAGCAAATGACTAGTTTCAAAAAAAATAAAGACAAATAAAATTAGGTAAGTTGTGATTAGTGGACTACTTCTTTCATTTTTGCACATGTCTCAAGGATGATTTTCATACTTACACAGCAAGTAAGTACCTAGATCTCACTTTCGACACAACTTAAATAAAGATGGAAAATTCACGAACAAACCTCAATTTTAATATATTGTTGGTTAGTAAAAGATGGTTCCAAAAAATGACTATAAAAATACTTGGTAATTGTGTAAATTGTGCACTCACAGAATCAAAAGAAACATACCATTATTAAAATTTTATGATTGGTTTTGGTGGATTAAAATAAATTATTGGAATAGTGATTAAATATCTTTGCTCTATTCTCTTTAAATCTCGAAATATTTCAAGTCTTCATATATAGGTAACGATACTTTTGCCAATGCGTAGTTGTTGCTTATATATATATAGTAGGTGAACCTAGGAGGGTCAAGGCTCGCGGCGTAATCTCCGTTAAGGACAGGGATGCTCCGCGCTCTGTGGGATCCGCCGTTTCATTGGTTCGTTGTAAGTGATATTACATTGCACTTGCTAATATTAAACTTAATATATATTAGGCTAAAACTATAACTCCGGTTCTAAAATTTAACTATATATGACATAACTTATAGTCATATATATGTAGTACGCTATCTTTATTGCAACTCATTATGTAATATTTATGCTAACATTGTTTATTACACGTTTCACGCCCAGTGATGATGGCGGTAAGATGTTTACCATGCCGTTTCTTCATCATCAGTATCATCATGGAATGGCTCATCCGGATCAATTCCATCGTTATCATTATTTGGATTCGCACCTCTAAATTGCTGACCAAATAATTGTAGGAACGGTGTTGTTAAATCGACATCTTCTCCAACGTTTTCACCATTATCCATCGCGTTTCTTACCGTTTGAAAGATTTGGAAGAAGTCTCTAACATCACCTGGTTGACCGTTCATGTTTCTGAAACGATCTTCTTCATCTATATCCTCATCAGTAAAGAAATCGTCACCATTTCCACCAAATTCTTCTTCCTCCGAATCATCTCCTTCATTTGTAGGAGGTACTCTTCTTCTTGTAGCAGGGTCACGGTTTAATGCAAATAAAAACCCGTTTGATAATATACTGACTCTAAACTCATCTCCCATTACTCTACTTATATAACCTGGAATATCATTATTAATCCATAACTTATTCAAGTGTTCATACCTTGTTAAATTTAATGTAGTTAGATCACCACGTTTCATTGCATTTCTTCCAGCCTCCCCATGAGAGTTCAAGTAAGGAGCCGAAATAAAAATAGAGGATGGGGGTTGACTTAATTGTAAACATATCTCAGAAGAATTTGGAATCAAAAATGCACCAAATGGTTTGAAACAGTTCTGTGAAAGATGCTTTGAGATTTCGTGCCTGTCAGTTCTGGAATGAATCTTAGCACCACAAGTTAAGCAAATCTTGAAATCTAGTCTATTAGATGAATTTCTACTACGTCTATTTTCTTCGGTTAAACGAATTGCATTTGTATCCGTAACATACGTATTCAAGTATTTTGACAGATTAATTAATTTGACAACACCACAGTATTCGTCACTTACTTGTTCGTAACCTACAGGTAGTTGATCTGCAGCAATTTCATTTATTATAAGTTCATCAATATTATCGCATTTCGCCAATATTGATGTCATTCTATCGATGGTTTCTTTTAGTGAAGAGCTAGCCTCGGGGATTAAACTTGTTTCTACATTAATACTGTCAATAATAAACTGACTATCCTCATATTCCGAAGTAACTAATTGGAAAGTCTTTAACAAAATAAAGCATCTTCTTAAAGTTGGAAGAATTTGTTTCAAAAAGCTTGCATATGCAAGTGCCTTAAAATGTTCAAGGTTGACTTCAGAATAACCTTCAAAGTTAATTTTATTTTTAACAATAAGTTTGTCCATATACACGGATACTTTTTCACTAACAGCAGGTGGAGCTTCGTATGTTTTAGTAACATAGTTCCATGTTTCATTGAATTCGCGGTTAGATAAGGCACAGCCAACATAATCTTCAAAAAATAGTTGGGAATATACCGTTAGAACCTCTTCAATACAAGAGCTTAATGATTGATCTTTGAACAGGCAACTTCTTACTATAATTTGGAATAGCTCATTTCTGCAGGCTGGGCCTTCGTTCTTGAATTCGTCACGATGTAACTTGCTCACCCAATCCAGCTCCACTTCAGGTGCACCTGCTGTCTTATAGATTTGAATAATGAAAATTAATAAATTTTTTAATGTTTTAAATCGTTGCTCTTTGCCAACTAAAAATGTGTTGTTTGTATCTTTGTCCAATCTTGAAGCTATTTCAAGCATTGAAATTGTATTAGCAAAATTCACCGCTAAAATTTCTGCAGCATTAGCAATGCTACGATATTTCGACTTATGGAATTGTTTATCAAAATACTGTGTATCAGTCAGCACTGCATCAAATGTAGTTAATAGATTAGTTTTTTCCTGCTCATTGAGTGTGGCTAAACTGTTACCTAAAGCAGAACATGCAGGGTTTCCTCCAATTGATATGTCCATCCCATTCTGATATTTAACTGTAGGATGAACGACAAGAACAGAGTTAGAAAACGTTTGACATAGAGGACAGATAAATGCAGTTGATGAAAATCTCTTCTTTTGGATATACCTCTTAAAACAATTATAATGAATGTGATGATTACATGAAACAAAGACTTTTCGAGTAGGCTTAGTACCATTTGAGACCGCATCTGAAATATCCTCTAGTTCCTTTACAAACCCGCTATCATCATTGTCAAATCCATTCCATTCTTTCAAATACTCGTCAACATCTCCAAACCGACTTTTTCTAAATATTGGGGTATGATCATGATATGCAGGTATAACGTACATATCTGTAGATGATTCATCTTGACACAGAGAGCAAGTGAAATCTTCTCCCTCTACAATTTTATCACTGTCCGTCATATTAATGTCTCCCTCTTCATCCACTACGTCTTCTTTGTCGCGTTCCTTAAATTCATCTTCGTTTTCTTTCATGAATTTATTTTGTTGGTTGTTAAACTTAGCCATTAATCTTTCTTGATGTTTCTTTGCCAGTCTTTTCTTTCTTTCTCTTTCACTCTCTTCAAGGTTTACACCTTCGCTTAATTTTCTATTTTTGTACTGTTGTACATAGTCATCACCAAATCCTGCAACTAAAGAATCGAATACCTCCTCTTGTCTTTTCGTAATCATCCTTTTCAATAGATAGTCAGCCTTTGTCCTAATATTTTCAGAAAATACATCAGTTTTTGAGTTAACAATACTCAATAATAGGTTGCAAATTGGTTTAGATAGGTAGGCATCGGGGAAAGAAGATTTCCCATTAACTTGTTCGTCATCTTTGAAGATACCGTGAACTAGATGAAGCAATTCGTTCAAGAAGATCCCATCTTCAGAGTCTAAACAGACTTGTAGTAATTTATATATAATTTTGGCGAAGACGGGATGTCTGGTAAAAGAACCTAACAGTTTGGCACCATCATCCATATTTTTAGGAGGCACTAATTGTGGTTGTAGAATAATTTTGGATTCTTCTCCACCTTTCTCTTTATCTAAATGTTTCTTAATTATTGATGCACTACTTTCAAACTCGTTACCCAAGTTTGAAACTCTCAATGGATCAATTTTGCTGTAATAAATTTCTTTTAGTTTAAATACACCATTGTCAGCTAGCCCCTTTGGTTCTCTAAAAATGGAAACTTCATTCAATGCAAGATCGAATAAGGTTGAATTTTCCGTCAGGTAATCAGGAACTAATCTTAGTAATTTTGAATACGACAATGGCTTTGTGTAAAGGTTATACATAATAGCATTCTTTATCTGAGACATTTTCTTACAGTTAGCGGATTCAAATGTTTGAAAGAATTGTCTTTCTGTTAATATCTGATAGATAAAGGCCACGAAATGTTGGATAATTAAGGAAATCTTATCCTTATACTCTGTATCCTTGAATTCAACTTTACCATCGAACCACTCTAATAACATCCATCTATCTAACAGGTTATATATTACTCTAGGGGTATCATCGACTTCCCATAAGAAGGCTAATTGATTTAAATGAATATCTCTAGAGTAAGTATTCAACTCTGGATTATTTTTATAATATGATGTTTGATGAAGTACAGACATCCCGTTACGTACCCAGAAACCAACATCAATTTGCGAACATAAAACAACTGATCTTAAAGAAAAATCAGAAATTTTTAAGAAATCAAAACTTTGTGAGAGTTTATCTTCATATTCTTCTTTGAATTGCAACATAGCATTAAATGTTAAAGAATCTGGCACGACAGGTAACTGTGGTGCTGAATTAGAATCCTGATAAATAATAGTTTCGTATGCTTCAACCAAAGGAACATTTTCAATTAGGAATGAGAATAAAGTATGAATTGGGTTCATGTATGCGACTCTGTCCACTGCTACTGAAAACTTGATAATTTCATGACTATTATGAACTAATTTGTATGTCAACGATTTATAACCTAAAAATGAATTGATCAATCTAATAGCATTTAATAATAATTGTCTGTCACAACCCTCATTGACAACTGCATTTACCATTGTTTGAATAATTGAATATATCGAAGTGGTATACTCTAGATAAGGGATGAAGTGTTGATCTTCGTGTAAAACATGTTCACCTTCCTTTCTTACAATTTTCCATGCACCATTAAACAATTTACAAAGAGTCACGACTGATATGAACTCAGCTGGTCTTAATAGGATATTTGCATCATCGACTTTACTAATTAAAGTTTCAATGGTGTATAGACCTTGTTTTAAGGAAATTCCATAACTTTTTGTAGGATTTGATTTTTGAACTCTTTGCCATACCAAAGTACCATTATCAATTTTAGTGAATTCCACGAAGATGTCAATAATTGACCATACAATATCAATAAAATAACCATTTTCTCCTCCAAAGATCATTTTAGCGTTTGTTGGACAAGTGAAAAGTTGAACAACACATTCTCTAAGAGCTGTTAATTGAGGTTCTCTATCCATATATGCGATAGAACGTGTTATATGATTAAATATTTGTACCACTTGTCCACAGAAAATTGGTTTATAAATGATAGAAGAAGCTAAAGTTGGAATAATAACATTTTGAATATCTTTTCTTAATTTTTTCCAAAATCTATTATCAAAATAAAGTAATAATTGTAACCTAGAATTTGCATATTCTTTTTCTTCTACAGGTATAGTTTGGTTCAATGTATTTGATATAGAATGTAAACTTGATTCTGGTAATGTTTGGTGATAACCTTGTGGAATTCTATTAAACTCATTAAGAATGGATAAATCTAAGTGAGGATGTGTAGTTGTCCCAGAGAGTTTATTTGGGAAATATTGATGAATGTTTTGAAGAGGACCATCCGAATGGGTTAATGCATCACCAGGGGTAGTTAGTACTTTCCCAAGAGCGTCTCTAAAGATAGATTGAAAATTTGAATTTGGAATAGTTAAACAATGACCCATCCATTGAATAATATATTTGCATGTTTCCTGATGTACAAATTCAGACCATGAAGTTAAAGTGGCACATAGGCCATTCGTTTGAACAGCAAAGAAACCTGCCATTAAAGTTTCGACATCATCAGAACATTTTAACATGGCTCTACCTTCACTATCGATTTTAGAGGTTAAGATATCCGTATGAACATTATCTGGTGAACCTTGTCTTAATGCGGTAGTTGCCTGAGAATAATTGTGATATTCATCATTGTATATCATGACAGTAAATTGATCCTGACTACCTTCATCGGCAAATATATTTTTATATTTAAAATCTTCTAAGAAACTTTTCACCTCTGTAATTTTTTTTTCTTGCGTTAATTGTCTTAAAGTCATTGTAATATCTTTAGTAAAAGTCGGTAATGATTCAATATTTTGATTAAATAAATCTAAGAAATAATTTAATGCTTCAGTTAATACCATTGTAATACTTTCTTCATTAAATTGATGTTCTTCAATGGATTCTTTTGAATCATTATCATTTGTAATTTCATCAGCTTTACAATGTAATTCAGAATTCCATGCTTCTTCATCACCACAATCACATATCCCTGTAGTAAAATCATTACACATATCAGTATATATATGATGATTTTCATGATCCTTTGGATTAAAACAGTGAATACATAAAACACAAGTATCATCAAATCCACATTCTTGACATCTATATAAAGGTTCTCCAACTTTAAATTTTCTACCACAATTTCTACCTGAATGTTTAAAAGAATGTTTATTATTCATTTGTGAACTTTTCATTCTATAAAAATCAGTTTCTTCAGATGATGATTTATCTAAAAGTTCGTCTAAAGAATTAAAATCTATATTTGAATCTGGGAATAAAAATTTAATATCTTTACCATTATCTAAAGCAATATAATATAGTAATTTAAATATATATCTTTTTAAAGCATGATCCATTTCAATTCTCTCTGTTGGACCCCGTACACCCATAAAACTTTTGACATTATGAACAGAACGTAAAGTATTGAATAATTTTAACGGTGGGTGAAGTTGTTCAGTACCTACATTATTAATAAAATTTAAATCCATTGCAAGTATGAATATGTTTAATGTTTTAATGAAATACACTTACTAAAATAATAAAATATCAAAAACCACAGGTTTTTGTCTTTTCTCTAATCACAAATCAAGGCTATCAAAAAATAAAAATAAATGTATTACAACTATATATAAATATATCTGATCAGCTTAACGTGATTAACTTTTGACGACTTTCTTACTGAGTCAAGTCAATAGTTCTTAAACATAACAGCGTTTCTTACTGCACATCAAATATCTACCATCTACTTATTAAGGTTCAAACTAAAAACACGGGAAAGAAAGAAAAAAATGATAGAAAAATTAACCACCCATGTTGCCTCTCATCGTCATCATCATCACCACCATCGCACTGCCATAAGCAAAACTCAAAGAATTATCCGAAAATTAAAAAAGACAAAAAATCGAGTTTTTGTATGCGACAACTCGGAATGGAAATTGGTGCCGAGATGCGTTTTTTTTGTAACCGATTTTTTCTCTTTGGGGCGAGAGAGAGAAACAATTCAAGCAAATAATTTTCAAATTTCGGTCTGCATTCGCTTGTTCTTGCCACAGCGAGAGGAGGATACACGAGAGAAGTTGTTAGCGAGCTCGTTGTTGTTTTTTAAGGGTTGATGGATGTTAGGGTTTGTCTGTTAGGGCTTTGTCACTTTGTACGGTAACCCTATGTTTGGATGTTAGGGTTTAGCGGTCAACTTTTCTTAGTCTTTGAATTTCAATGACAAAGGACATTGCGAGGAAGAAAAATTAGGTGAAAAAAAAAATGAAATAAAATGAGTAGGTAACAAACCCATTAAAGAAGGAGAAAAGGACTACTATCAAATCTAAATATACATAGAGAGAGAGAGAGAGAAAGAAAAAGTATTCTTTAAGTTGATTAAGTGAAACTACTAAGTACTTATTAAAGGAACAGGTGTTAACGGGGATATAGATAGAATTATCTGTTTGTTTTGGTTTTTGTTTTGATCATTATTGAGCTGATATTTAATAATGGCTCCCTCAAGACAAAGTTCAATTCCTAGCAGTGCTAGTTCAATAGCATCTGGTGGTGGTGGTGGTAGTAGTAGTGGTACCAGTACTAATGGCAATGGTAATGGTAATGGTAATCTGAGTCATGTTTCGCCATTTATTAAGAGAGATAGATATAAGAGAAATTTATTAAGGGCTAGACAAAATTTAAAGAAAGGTGGTGTTAAGAAAGAGGATCCAGTTAAATTAGAAGCAGATGAAAAAAAATTATTAGGTGTTGAAAAAGGTATGGCAAATATAAAGAAAGAACCTGATGTTACTGATAGTGACAATGATTTTAATGAATTTCCATTAAGAGCAATTTCTGAAGAAAATCTTGAAAGTATTAAGACACATTTATTAAAATTTCAAAGTAAAAAAAAAATTGATCCATCAAAATCTTTTCATCCACCAATTCGTTTACATAGAAAAGATACAAGAAATTTACAATTTCAATTAACAAGAGCAGAAATTGTACAGAGACAAAAAGAAATTGCGGAATATAAACAAAAACAAGATGATGACAAAGGGGGATTTCCAAATAATACTAATAATAAATTTAAAAATAATAACAATAACAATAACAATACGAAAAATACAATATCTAATACAAATACACCGACTCCCGTGATGTCAGCACCTTTATCTGCTGCCCCAACAAGGCTAGGTGAAAATACTAATAATCCTTCTTCAGGGTTATCAAATGCAATGCCTAATAATGTATCTACAAATTTGAATGGAATTGCTCCCGAGAATCAAGATACTAATAATCCAAATGATACAAAATTGGATAAATCTAATGCTATTATACCTATGGTCACACAATTAGAAGAAGCGGGCATATCTGAACATCCGGAGAAAGTCGGTATGGTTAAGTATGATGGTAAAGAAGAACAAGATATGGAACAAGGTGAAGGAACTACAGACCCAATGGCAGATGTTGCACCAGATGGTGGTGGTCGTTCAAGAAGAATTAATTCAAAGAGAAAGACCCGTCAATTAAAAGTTCTTGATGAAAATGCAAAGAAATTAAGATTTGAAGAATTTTATCCATGGGTTATGGAAGATTATGATGGTTATAATACTTGGGTAGGTTCTTATGAAGCTGGTAACTCTGATTCATATGTCTTATTAGCAGTTGAAAATGATGGTAGTTTTACTATGATTCCAGCAGATAAAGTTTATAAATTTACTGCAAGAAACAAATATGCAACTTTAACAATTGACGAAGCAGAAAAAAGAATGGATAAAAAGAGTGGAGAAGTACCAAGATGGTTAATGAAACATTTGGACAACATTGGTACAACTACAACGAGATATGATAGAACAAAGAGAAGGCTGAAAGCAGCTGCCATTCAAGGAGGCGGTATGGATGATGATGACGATGAAGAACACGATGACAACTCTGAAGTAGAATTGGATTATGACGAAGAGTTTGCTGATGATGAAGAGGCTCCTATTATTGATGGTAATGAACAAGAAAATAAAGAATCTGAACAAAGAATCAAGAAAGAAATGCTTCAAGCCAACGCTATGGGTCTTCGTGATGATCAACAACCTGATGAAAATGAGGATGACGACCAATTAAACGATAAGAAGATTGATGTTGAGGGTGAAAGGATTAAAAAGGCTCTTCAAAAAACAGAATTGGCCGCATTATATTCCTCTGATGAAGATGAAATAAATCCATATCTATCAGAATCTGATCTTGAAGCACAAGAAACTCCAGAAGTGAAAAAGGAAGAATCAGAAAATAACACACCTTCACCAAAAAAGAAAAGTCCAATTTCTGTTAAAAAGGAACAATCTGAAGATACAGAAGCTATTCCACCAAGGATCAGAGTTAAGAGTATTAAGGATTGTATAGTTGTTTTGCAAAGTAATAAGGATATTTTGGGTAACTTTCATCCTGGGGAATGGAACCCAACTACAGCAATCAAGAGACCTAGATTGGCAGATGTATCTCCATCTACAACAACCACTGAGGGCGAAATAAAAGAAGAGGAACCATCCACCAAGAAAGTCAAACTAGAACCAAGTTCATCAATCCCACTAATAACGGAACAAGATATCATTATTGCAATGGGAGACGGTAAAGTTAATGTTAAGGACTTTGGTAAGATGATAAGGAAGAAGTACCCTGGTGCAGAAAATAAAAAGTTAATGTTTTCTATTGTCAAAAAACTTTGTAGGAAGGTTGATAATGAACATATGGAACTAAAAAACTAGATACGTAATGTATATACTAAATAGCCTCATGTCACATCAGTTTTTGTTTGGATTATACTTTTTTTTTATTTCATTTTGCTAAAAGATGTGAATACTAGCATAATAGTTTCTTAAAGAGTGCAGGTATAAATTTATATCTCACAATTATATATTATATCGTTTTATCGCTATTTTACAGTATTATAAATAATAATATATTTTAAGTTTATAAATATTACATTTTTTTAATCTATGCTACTTCTACCATTTCTTCGTCATCATCATCATCAGATTCCTCTTCATCTTCCTCTTCTTTGCTAGCTGTATTTTCATTTTCATCATATAGTTTCCCATCGGCACTTTTAGCTGGCATTTCTTCAATTGCTGCAGATTCTGGTTCACCCCTCATCAACATATTGACAATTCTGTAACACAGTTCACCAACATCCTCATCTTCCACATTTTTATGCAATTCTCTAACTAGTGGATAAACAGATTTGCTTCTCAAATATTCTCTACCAGAGTTTGTTGTACATAACAATAAAATACTTTCTAAATGGTTACAGATGATAGAGTTCACGGGATCACGTTGTTTATCTTCTGGTAGTAATTGCAATTCATCTGGAAGATTGAACATATCTTCTTCATCAATCTCGGAATCTTTAGCGTTAGTTATTGGTAAAAGAATGTAAGGTAATAAGTTAATACTTTCATTATTCAGAATACGTTCATGAGTTTCAGAATCAAATAGAGAATTTTTAATAGTTGATGCTACACCTTCTCTTCTAATCTTAGCATCATATTTTTCAGTAAAAACAAGTAATTTAGAGATCGGAACGACACCATCATAAGCTTGTTCGTGAATAAAATAGTCTCTACCTCCTTTGAATCTAGACAAGTCGGCAAAAAAATATGACAAATAATCATAATTGGCGTACTCATTCAATTTTCTATCGTAACCCTTTACAAAACAGTCCATAAGACAATCCATAGCATTTGGACTCTTGAAGACTTCTTTGGCCTTTTTCTTGAGGTTGTTTAAATCAATCTTTACATCAAATAAACTTGTAATAGTATCTTCTTTAGCTAAATTGCACAGCAAAATACACATGATATCAGCACATGTGTTCTCCAAATCAATGATCTTACGAGCTAAGTATGCAATAAATTCAGGATCTTTACCAATGAGTCTACGCATCACAGGGTCATCACAAAGATTCACCAGAATTGTAACAGACTGTTGAACCAGAAGTTTGGATTTTTCCTGTGCTAATTCTTTTAGATCTGTAATAGCTCTATAGTTGTCATATTTAAAGATAACAGCGTTTGGACCAGAACTAAAACCGACTAAATTATCTAAGGCAATTTGCTTAACAGCAGGTTGGGGAGAGTGCAAAAACGAAACTAATTCTTCCAGTTGAGATGGCATGGTAAAAATCCTTGGATGCTTCTTCCTTATTTCAATAAATTCGGTACCGTGGTTGTAATAGATGGAACTTATATAAAACGAATTCTGTTTTTAACCATTCCTTAGTAAGATAACTGAAAAATCGATGAGCTTGAAGTATTACGTTATTACGGTATATATTGTTTTTCCACTGTGTTCCGCAGCGCACCAAATATTTTTTTTTCATAAATTTTTTTTCCATTCGTAGAAGATTACACTGGCAAGCCTTAATGATAGGACATACAGACATTTATAGAGTTTCATCAAATAGAGGGAGGAGCCTATAAGATGTTAGAAACCATAGAAATAGAAGGTGGCCTTGACTAGTTTAAATGAGATAACAGAGAAACATTATTAATAAGTGGTTATTATTTTCGTATTGAATTTCAAAATTTGACACATTATTATTATACAGTCCTTAATTTATTGAATCAAAATGGATACCAATGATCAATTTAGCAAACAGGTTAAATCCGGAACAAATATCCAAGAAAATAAGAAAAGATATGAAACTTTAATGGATAAAGTTTGTTTAATGGCAGGTGTGGTAACGGGTATACTGCAACTCGAGTCAACATACGGGTTCTTGGCGTTCCTTATCACATATTTGTTCACAATACTGTTGTATGTAATTGGAATATGTGGAGGACATCCAGGGTTATTCTATGAGAACACAATTAGCGATTTGCTCTTTGACAATTTTACAAGGGAATTGATGGGTTTTATCATGGCTTGGACATTTAGTTTTGCACTAATAGGGTAGTGTGAATCGTAGATTATCATGGAATCTACATTTATTCACTACTGGTTAGACGAAGATAGGACTGTCATGGCGATAACATGCCATTCAGGAAATTGTGCACGTATGTAATTATATATTGATATAAAATTTACAGTGACTGCTTTTAATGAGATATAGAAACATATAATATTGATTTCATGTTTATTTATTTTTCACTCTATGACAGAGTGAATGTAAATATTACTAACTAAAATTATTGACATAAAAAATAAACTTCTGGAATGGATTACTTAAATATAATTGGGTCTCTTGAGAAAATATAATCAAGAACCAAACATAAAAAGAAAAAGATTAGATCTCCACTGATTCGACAAGTGTAGCTAATTTTTCAACACTAGCTAGATGTCTATTTCCTAAAGAATTAGATTTGTTCAATTTATCCAGATATGCTCTAATAGCGATAACGATCAATTTCTTACCTTCACCATCTGTGACGGTTACTAACTTTTGAACAACGTAATTAGCAAATTGATCACGCATCATTAAAATCATTGGAGCATTCTCTTCTAAATTCATGGCATGTTCTTTATCCTTTGGTAAAATTTTTGAGATAATCAGATTCTTTTGGTCCTTAGTACCGTATAATACTGCTTTTTCGACAACATTAGAGGCAAACTTATGTTTTGAAAATTCTACAACGTTTTCGGAAATAATATTAATTACATCTTGTTTTGTTTGTATTAGACATTCAGTAGAATCCTTATCTGAACCATGTTGCAAAATGTATTGAATAACATAATTACCGTATTGATCTTGTATCAAGTAAGGAATAAAATCCTTCAATTCGCTCAATATAGCCTTTTGATCATCTTCAGAACCAAATTCTAGTAATCTTTGAATAACTCTACAACCATAAGAATGTGTAGATAAATGATAAATATGGCCAATTAGTGATTTCAAGACAAAGGGTAATAGATCTATAGGTATTGTCTCGATAGCTTTTTGAATAACATGATTACCATTTTGATCCTTAATCATCTTTAAAACACAATCTCTCAATTCATCTACTAATTCAATTCTTTGTGTTGGGTTAATGAATTCTAATGCTTTTTGGATAACTCTACAAGCATACATTTGCATGGATAGTTCTTTCATTCTTCCCCTAAATTGGTCAACTAAGATATCTTTTTGAGTGGTAGATCCAAACTCAAAAAATTTCTGAATAACATAGTTACCAAAAACATCATTGGCTAACATTACGGAATCTTCCCTAATTTCATTGAATAGAACTTCCCTTTCAGAGGGTGAGGCTGTTGCAAGTTCTTTTTGAATAAATCTAGAACCATATTGATCCTTGCAGAATTCTAAAGTATGACCTAGAATATCCTTTAATGAATAAGCCTTACCGCCATCAGCTGCGCTATTGTTATTTGTGGCATAGTTTCTGATGTCTTCTAGTAACGGTGATCTATGATAGATGGCTTGATTAGCACCTGTAGCATTGATGTTATTATTTTTCTTTTTGCCACTTTCATGAGCTACTTCGTTCTCATCTGGATTAGAACATACAGAAGTATTTGAATTGGAAGAATTTTTGGAAGAAAAAGGTGATGTATTATTATTTGCTTGTTTTACAAACTTACCTTGAGAACCATAACTTTGTGATTGATCTAAATAAGGATTAGCGTGATTATTGTTATTATTCTTACGATGTTTATGTGAATTGCCATCTAAGTTAATGTTTTGATTATTACCGCTATTCTTAAATTGATTTTTCGGTTTATTGTTGTTGTTATTATTATTATTATTATTTACATGACTATTGTCAGTATTATCAGAATTAATAATTTTTTGGTTATTGACAGTGAACGATGCAGGATTCACGCCTGGGGGTGAACCCAGACTAGAATTTTGAATATAGATATATGGATTCTTTTTGCTATTGTTCTGTGATTGTTGTTGTGGTGGTGGTGGCATAAACATCATTTGAGGGTCATGATTTTGAATATTGGATACATTATTTACAGGTAATGCGGTTGAAGAAATTGGTGAAAAGTTCCCATTTTTAATATTCTCTGTTGATCCAGGAACTTCTTCCATATTTACAGAATTCATATCTGTGCCATCGCCATTATTCGGAAACATCATCTGTGGGGCAAAATTACCTAAATTATTATTATTATTATCATTCATTGAAAACTGTTGATAATTATTCATTGCTGCAGCAGGTGGATAAAAGGAACCATTATTAAACATATGATGTTGTTGATAATTCATAAAATAATTCCCACCTCCTGGTGCCATTCCTTGTTGTGCAGAATTATCATTATTATTTGGCTTAAATGATGGTGCATTAACAGCATTAAAGAACATATTGTTGTTATTATTATCATTTGCAGCAGTACCACTACTATTATAATCTGTATATTCATCTAAATCGGATGATTTAACAGAATGATCCAAAGTTACTTGGCTACCTCCAAAAGTACTTTCACGATTATTTAAATTATTTGGAGATCCATCAAATTCTAATTCTTTAGTACCTTCAATTAAAGATTGACCTAATTGTTGAAAAAATCCACCTCTATTAGAAGTTACAGATGCTTGTGAATGAGCAATACTTTGAGTACCATTATTATTATTGTTATTATTGTTATTGTAATAATAATAAGAATCATTTTGAAGGATAGGACCTGCAATACTTGCAGAATATTTACCCATCATTTTATTCTTTTTGTTGAAAGTACTTGAATTTCCATTATTCATTTGACTAGAAGTTGTATTATTATTCAAAGCAAAACTAACAGATTTTGAATCAGATTGTGGAATTTGTTGTTGCACGTGTTGTTGTTGCTGTTGATATAAATATTGTTGTTGTTGCTGTTGTTGATTATTACTATTATTATTTTGAAACAATTTATAATTAATGTTAAACATGTTTGATGTATAAGGTGGAGCTGTACCAATAGATTGAGTAGATCTTTGCATTAAAGGTGAACCCATATCTAAATTATTAGTTGAACCACCTGCACCAACACTCATAGCTGCAGATAAACCATTTGAATTTAATAGAATATCCGAATCAATATCGCTTGAAGTAAAACTATTTCTTCTAAACCCACCAAGTTGATGATCTATTGAAGATGAAGTTCCACCATTCATCATTTGATTCGATTGATTTGGAAGATTACTTGGATTTGATAAAGCACTTAATGAAGAAACTATTGAGGCTAACTCTGCATCCATATTGTTGTTGTTGTTATTATTATTATTTGATAGACTTAACCAGGGATCACTAGTTGGAGAACTAATACTATTAGTTTGACTTGTGTTATTATTATTATTGTTGTCAGTATTACCTAGACCATCTATTGGATATGCCATGGCAAACACAAACGAACAAAGAATAAAAAAATTTAACTTTAAACTAGAAACTAAGAAATAGTAGTTTGTTATTTACAAATTATTTTATTTTAGTTTCTCTTTTGTAAAAAAATTCTAAGAAGTTTAAAAAATAAAATGTTAAAATAACTGACGATGAGGATGAATAACTATTGGTAGTAATAACTTATTATAGATGCTGGATATACAGGATATAAAAAAGAAAGGGAAAAAGGGGGGGCTATAGTATTAGCAGAAACTTCTTGCTGTTGTTGTTGTTGGGGATGATTCCTTGCAAAATAATTAAATATTTTTTTATCTTTGTATTATCTTTGTAACTTAACAATTAAATAGTTTAATGAGGTGTAAAAAATTAATTCTAAAAAAAATTCCTTCAGTATACTGGACTAGAATAAATTGTCTGTTTCAACCAAAAAAAATAGAAGAGAGAAGAGGCAGAGAGAACCCTACCAGAAAAAAATTTAAAAAAAAAAATAACGAGACTTTCTTTCTCTGTCGGATTCTGTTCGGATAATAGTGGCAAATAGACTGAGAGAGACAGAGAGGGGATATATGCTACTACCATAATACAACAAGATATCAAAGAAGAGATAAAATTATTTAGTTGAACTGTGGAGATAGGCTAATATTATAAGGATTTCTATTACTTTGTGAATCTTTCTCTGATTAATTATTAATGAAATGATAAGAAGTATATGAATCTCAACAATAAATAATGTAATTATTAGGTGTATTTTCTAGTTAATTAAAGCTGTGATCTATCTTTCTGTATGCATCTTTTATTCTTAAAGTAAATTTGTTATCTCCGTTAATATCTCTCTCCCTCTATGTATATGTGTATATCCCTATTAAATAATTTAAATAAAGAAGAAAAACGGCTGACAAAATTAAAAAAGGGGGGCAAGAAAAGGTCAATACAAGCTAGAATATTAAAAGGAAAATATTATTGATAATATTAAATGGTGACATACCAGAGCATGTATTTAAAGGTATAGTTGGTGTCGTTGGTGTTAGCTAATTATACTACAAGGTATATATATATGTATATATTTATATTATTTGTATTATTTGTATTATTATAAATAGTGTTGTTTTGTTCTTATTAACATGGAAACACATATATAAAATAAATTCAATTTGATCATATATATATTTATGTACCCCAATGTTTTAATCTGTTTTGACTCTATATATCCCCTTATTGTCTTTTATAAATTGTGTCTATTGATCATCTTTTTCCTTTTTAATAGATTTCAATTTTTATTTTTCTAACCGCCAATTAAATCACCCCATCGCAGCTTGTACTTGATTTTCTGAGTAACATAATATATTTCGAAGGGCAAGAGAAAAAAAATGGAAATTGAAATAAATTTTTTTTTATTCGGAGAAAAGTGACTTTAAGATATAAAAAAAATAAAAAAGGTCATAACATATTTTAGATCAAAGCAAACGTGTATTGATAGGTTGTAGGAGCTACAAGTATATAATTACATTTGTACAGTAATGGTCTTGGTATTGATACGTAAATGGTAATTAGAATAAATTATTAAAGAAAATTATGGTTTAGGAAATGGAATAGGAGAAGTGTAAGAATAGTTTTCTTTTATAATGGATCTGTCAAATGTAAACTATTCTCATTTGTAATAAGTTATAAATACGTATCTTCTTAGTAAGAAATGATAACCATCAGTTTTTAATATTATTGAGAAGGTTCGATGAATCTTTCTATACAGTTTTTTTTTTGATTTTCTCAAATTTATGAAATTTATTTTAGTAATCTACCTCCAGTAGTACTCATTGATGTACTAACTAAAATCTTGTTTATAAAATAATTGTCATTTATATATAATGTGTGTGTGTGTGTGTGTGTGTTTTTGTTCATAATTTTTCAACTTTTTTCATTATCACTTTTATCGTTTTGTTTACTCAAGCGACCTTTCAAAAGCGATTTCCAATACGCGGCAAACTTAAAAAAAAATTGAATAACATGAATAAGAAAATCGAAATAAAGAGTATAGACTATTAATTTCTTACACAGTAGAATATATACCAATTTTTTTTAATTGTACTATCTTCTTCTTGGTATTTAATGACTACGTCTCTTTGTCCTACTATATTTCCACCATTATTTGCGCTGACTCCTAATCCTCTAGAGCAATTGCGTAAGCTTATTAAGAGCAAAGAAGTAATAAACGATACGACGAAAAGTAAGCCGTTAAAGATAATAAAATAGGTTTATCCGACTTACTCTGAGAAGAAGTGATTATAGTGTGAACAAAGAAATAAAAGAATAACAAACATATATAAAGAGCATGGATTATCGAAGTAAAAATATCTATGTTCTAAATCTTATGCATATTAAATTTCGGGTTTGAAAAAGAACCACGAAGAATAAATTGTATAATATTACTAAATGACTTTTAATAAAAATAAAATAGACAAAATAGATTATGCCCTACAAGATAATACTGCTAGTAATGCAAATGCTTATCAATATGGGTTGTTTGACAGTTTATGTAACCCATCGACCAAAGGGCATCTTATTATATAAAGTTAACAGTATATATTAGTTTCAAACAAGAATGATCTGTTTCAAATATTGATTATCCAATCTTTTTAACAATATATTTGAAATCATTTTGCTTATTTTTTCTCTTAAATGACGATATGTTCATATATTTTCCTAAAGCGGTAACGGAAATAAGGGAAGAAAAATGCAAAAAAACGAAAGGTATATCGGATAAGATGACTTAAATCATATTTTTAAGTTCGTTAATTTTTATAATTAATATTGATAAGTTGTCAAAAAGAAACAGTAATTAATCATTTCACTTTGCTTAGAAGGCAAAACAAACAAACTCCGACATTGAAATCTCTGTTTTCTAGCATAAAACAAATATCATAGAAACCCATGTTTGTTTTAGTTGAAAATACATAACAATTATATAATTTACAACCAAAATTTGTATGTACATTTTTTTTCTCCTCCAATTTTGACAACATATAAACTTCAATATTTTGACATTCTCCTATCCAAGTCAGGAACCAAAAAACTAATCGTGGCTTAGATATTTTCTATTCTCAATAACAACAGTATAAATGACTGAGAATTTAAAGAATTCGACCCCACATCAATTAATTCAGGAGACAAAGAAAGATACAGAGAGATCGCAACATGTAGTCATTATTCTATGTCTTCTATAGGTTCTCGAAACAAAAAAATAACACAATTAACTGTGTTTGTTAAAGGTAATTTTCCTTGCAAGGTTACCAATTACTGACATGGTAACACACCGGCAAGTTAGTCTTAATGGTTTCCTGTCGTTTATTTAAATTTTTTTTAACAGTATTTCCTAAGGAAACTTTCTACAGATACATTCTTAGCCAATCCATATACAAAGAAACACCTTTAAATGGCCTATTAAGTTGGTGCAGAATATTTAGCCCTCTTTAAACTTTTTTTAATAAACGAGATCAAAATTTCTTTGAAAATCTGTACGGTATATTCACTGGTAAACAAATAAATTATTTATTTCCCACTATCAATTTTTTAATAAACGACGAGCATGAAAAATTAAACGAACCGCTTTGTTGTTGTATCTGCGTAAGTCATTTTTTCCACATACAAAAAAAAATTTTCAATAAATATTGATAAAGTAATCACTAAAAATGGACACAGAAAACCAATTGTTCATACATGTTAATGAACATGGCGAAGTTTAACGCAGGGTTTATTTTGATAATTTGCATTACTTTAAATTTTTCACGCGGTTTTTACTTTATGTAATAACAATAACAACAGTATTATTATTGTGAATTTACAGTTTGCAGTGTTTAAAGGCACAACAACTTACCAAATATAGTTATACAGAGGATTGTTATTCTCTTACATGTTCCTAAAGTAAAACAATTTGTACTCAGTAAGGGATGTTTTTGTTGTAAGAAAGATTCATTCATATATAATATATATACATGTCATTAAACAATGGGACTTACCTCTACATCTTTTATTATTTTCTCTCATCTTGTTATATTGTTCTAAAGAGTGATACTGTTATATAAAAACATTTAAAACTTCTTTATTGTCATCTTTCTATACTTTTTGTGTTAATTCATATCTATAAACAGATTTATAGAAACTTAAGTTTTTTTGTTTTTGTTTTTGTTTTTTTAGTGACTTTTCTTTTTATGTACACTTACTGAATAGTTTTAAAAGAGAAACCTAAATTACTTCATTTTGATAAACTGATTTCAATTACTTAAACAGATTGATCGAGATCAGAGAAACTAGTTAATTAGAACGGTAAAAGGCGTGTAATATACGTAGAACAATCATTATTTTCATCTCGAGGAATTTTACTTTCATTATATTTGTGTCAACAAAAACAACTTTGAAAATATTGATATACTCGAGCCACTCAAAAAAAATAAATAAATAAAAAAAAATAAAATGTATTTGGATGCAACCTTAGAACTGATACGTCGTATAATTGCAGGTATCTTACTTGACTCCTTTATGGGTGTTGTACTGTTATTATCATTGATTCATCATTATACTACAACTTTTTTCGAAACAGAACCTGATTATAGAGATACAAGATCATCAAGAACAGAAATAGTTGAATCCTCTCGTTATATTATTCACGATGATAAAAAGGGTAATCCTAATCAAAATCATAAAAAATGTTATGAAGATATTAAAATGACAAATAAGAAAAATACTATCGATCATTTAGAATGTAGATTAGTTCCTTCATTAAATTATTATTTTGGTTTACATGATATTGAAATTGAAGAATTTAAGATTAAAACTGAAGATAATTATACTTTGGATATATGGCATTTTAAAAATCCTGTCAACGAAAACATAAAACGTAAACCATTACTAATGATTCATGGTCTTTTACAAAGTTCTGGTGCTTTTGCATCTGGTTCTAAAAATTCTTTAGCTTATTATTTTTATTCATTAGGTTATGATATTTGGTTAGGGAATAATAGAGTAGGTTTTACTACAGAAGCTAATGATGATGAATACTGGGATTGGGATATTAATGAAATGGCAGAATATGATTTAGTTACAATGGTTGAGTTTGTTAAAAGTAAGACTCAATTTAAAAAAATTTCTTTAGTTGGTCATTCTCAAGGTACCACTCAAATTTTTTTAGCTTTAATTAATAACTATAATGATATTGTTAATGATATTGAAAATTTTATTGCATTAGCACCTGCAACATATCCCGGTCCTTTATTATTTGATAGTATTGTAATAAATTTTTTAGCAAAGGGAGTACAAAGTAAATATATTTTTGGTAATAAATGTTTCTTAAGAATTATGATGATTGTTAGAAATATTTGTGTTGGTAAAGCATTCTTTTCATTTATTTGTTATGCAATTTTTAATTATTTATTTGATTGGAATGACACTCTTTGGGGTGGTTCAAATTTGAGAAATAGACATTTCTTATTCTCACCAGTATATGTTTCAGTTAAATTAATGAAATGGTGGTTAGGTTCGGATCCTTCTAAACCAAGTTTTAAAAATAAACCAGATGAATTGTTCCCCGAAACTTCTGCATGGTTTGATAAATTTAATCCAGGAGAAAAAAACTCAAATCCAAATATATTATTATTTGTTCCAAAACAAGATAGATTAGTTGACGGTGAAAGGTTAATTAATCATTTTGTTAAACATGAAAATAATGTTAATTATAAGATTTGGTATATTAATGAATATTCACATTTAGATGTTTTATGGGCTACCGATGCAATTGAAAGAATTGGTAAACCAATAGCAGAAAATATGAAATTTAGTGATCCTGAATTGTTACCAATTCAAGAAGAGACAGTATCTGTTTAATCAGAACTAAAAACTAGAATGGTGATCCATTCATTTACTTTGCATCTATTCGTTTTCCTTTTCCTCTTTTAATTTATTATTAAACTTTTTGCATTTTATTCAATAGAAGAAACATTATATATACATATATATTTATTTAAGCATAGAAAATGTACATATACACAAATAATATATATTTTTTATTAAGGGCTATATTCATGGAATATTTTAATTTTATTTTTCAGAATTTTAATAATATTATCGTATTAGTTCTATATATTTACATAAAAATATATTTTCTATTTTATTTACGGACCATTCATTGAAATAATATATCTATCTAATATATTATTTCATATCATCGAGAGAGGAATATGAATTGATATTTACATGTTATGATAAAAAGAATCATTTTTTTAACTATGCTCGACATTTGTAAATACTTTATTTGTTTGTTCATATTTCAAACCCGTAACCCTTCATACATTGTTTGTACTTTTCAATAAATTCTTTACATTTTTCAGAACCTTTACCTTCAGTGCCATTAAAAAGTAAACATTGGTCCCTGACTTCTTTCTCCGGTTTACAAACACAACAGGGTTTAGGTTTATCTTCAACAGGTTTTGTATCCTTTGTAGCAACTTCAGCCATCCTTTTCTTGATATATTATTTTATATTATTTGGTTAGTTATTATTAGTATTCTTAACAATAAATAATATTTTGTTAAAAATAAATAAGGTCAAACAATAGTGAAAGGTAGTGAAATACTATATTACAAAATCGACCCTAAAATTATATTTGATGATGGAGTTCTTCCTTTATATATAGTTGAGCATATTAAATCTGTTTGTCTTCGTATTACAATCCCCTTCTCACCACGCTAGTAAAAAGCCGGACAATATATCTTCTTTATATTATAATTCATTCATTACTAAGAATATTTTAAAAAGGACTAAAATTTACAAATCCTCGGAGACAAAGGAGTTATAGACTCCTCGTTGAAAGTGATAGTATTGTAATTATGATTAGTTTCTTTAAGATTCAATGAAATAATGGTCTTGTAACCAATTCAAGTAATTCCATAGAAGTATTATTTTATTAACAAGAACGAATTATCATAACACTCAGGTAACTTGTTGTGGTACTCGATGTAATAGTTATTTTTTTGAACAAATGTTCCAACTCTAATTGATTATCACTTTTTACGCTGCAAATTTTTTTTTTCCAATGTGAAAATTCTGATGAGATGAGATGCGATGAGATGGGATGAGCTGAAAGTTTTCAACATAATAAGTAGAAAGGCTGTCATAATTAACATACATATATTTTTCTTGTACATATTTTTAATTTATACTTGTGGAGCATAATTACTCTTTTTGAACAAATTATAATTTTAAGAATCAACAAGCTTACTATTACAAACATGGTTCCTAAGTTAAAGAAGTTTAGTGCGTTGGATTTTGTACCAACAATTAGCGATAGTGAATCTGATGTTCCTGATTTAGATGTTTCTGATGAAGAACTTCCAAAGACAGAAGAACCAAAAAAGAAAAATAATAAGAAGAAGTCCAAACAAAATAATGCCCCTAAGGGTGGTGAGGATGAAGAAGGTCATGACGATATTAACAACGATTTTAAATTCGATGTTGATAATGGTGAAGTGACAGCTGGATTTAAAGGTTGGGATTTCTTAAATGATGCGGATTCGAATGGGAATAGCGGTGATCTGGCTAAGAAGGATGTTGATTTGGATCAAATTATCAGAAGAAAGGGTGGTTTAATTAAAATGGCCCATGTTGATGATAGTGAAGAAGAAGAAGAAGAAGAAGGAAAAGAGGAAGAACATAATGAACACGAATCAGACGATGATGAATTAGCTATGGATGGTTTTGGTATGGGTTCAACAAAAAAGCAAGATGAAGATGAAAACGAGGAATCTGCAGAAGAAAATAACGACGATGAAGAAGAAGAAGCAGACGATGAAGAAGAAGAAAAGGAAGAAGATGAAGATGCCGATTCTGCGGAGGCCGTGAACCAATTTTATGCTCCAGAAAGTGAATCATTAGAGGCTAAGGAACAAACACACTCTAATTTCAACTCTTTGGCTCTTTCTCGTCCTGTTCTAAAAGGTCTGAGTAACTTAGGTTACACCAAACCATCTCCAATTCAAAGTGCAACAATTCCTATTGCATTACTCGGTAAAGATATTATTGCAGGTGCTGTTACAGGTTCTGGTAAAACTGCAGCCTTTATGATTCCTATTATCGAACGTTTATTATACAAACCTGCCAAGGTTGCTTCCACAAGAGTCATCGTATTGACACCAACTCGTGAACTGGCTATCCAAATTTCAGATGTGGGTAAAAAGATAGCCCAATTTGTTCCAGATATTACTTTTGGTTTGGCTGTCGGTGGTTTGAATCTAAGACAACAAGAACAACAATTGAGATCTCGTCCAGATATTGTCATTGCTACACCAGGTAGATTTATTGATCATGTTAGAAACTCTTCTAGTTTTAATGTGGATTCCGTTGAAATTATGGTAATGGATGAAGCTGATAGGATGTTAGAAGAAGGTTTCCAAGATGAATTGAGTGAAATTATGCAACTCCTACCAACCAAAAGACAAAACCTGTTATTCTCTGCTACTATGAATTCTAAAATCAAGCAACTAATATCACTTTCTTTAAAGAAACCTGTAAGAATCATGATTAATCCTCCAAAACAAGCTGCATCAAGGTTGATTCAAGAATTTGTCAGAATTCGTAAGAGAGATCAATTGAAACCAGCTTTACTATTTAACCTAATTAGAAAACTAGACAGCATGGGTCAAAAGAGAATTGTGGTTTTTGTAGCCAGAAAAGAACTAGCTCATAGACTGAGAATTATCCTAGGGTTATTAGGTATGAAGGCTGCAGAATTACATGGTTCCTTGTCACAAGAACAACGTTTGGATTCTGTCACCAAATTTAAAAGTTTGGAAGTTCCTGTCCTAATCTGTACAGATTTAGCCTCCAGAGGTTTAGATATTCCAAAGATTGAAGTTGTCATAAATTATGATATGCCTAAGAGTTACGAAATCTACCTTCACAGAGTTGGTCGTACAGCCAGAGCTGGTAGAGAAGGTCGTTCTATTACGTTTGTCGGTGAATCCACTCAAGAAAGAAGTATCGTCAGAGATGCAATCAATAGTGTCGAAAATGTTAATAAGACTGCTGCAAAGGGTCAAAGAGGTAAGGCACTAGGTAGAAATGTCGACTGGAGTAAAGTTGAAGAAACCAACTTATTAATAGAAAAGAATACAGACACCATTGATGAGATTCTAGAGGAAGAAAAACAAGAAAAAGAAATTTTGAGAGCTGAAATGCAGATCAAGAAGGGCCAAAACATGTTAAAGCACAAGGACGAGATCCAAGCAAGACCAAAAAGGACATGGTTCCAATCTGAGAAGGATAAAAAGAATAACAAACTGTTAGGGGCCCTTTCGAAAACAAAAAAAGAAAGTAACAGCAAAAAGAGAAAGAGAGATGAAGCGTTAGAAGATGGTGGCCGTTCTTACAAGAAAACACAAAATGATCGTAAAACCGACCAAGAACGTACTTTTAAGAAACAAAGAGTCGGTAATGGTAAAAATAAGAAGAAAGGTGGCAGAAGGTAACTATTAGGGTTCTAATATAACGCTATTCAGATAATATAAACGGCATATGTATAAATATATACACAATTACAAACAATTGTATTTAATTAAAAATGAAATAGAATAAAATGAAATTCTGTTTTTACATGGTAGAGTTACCTGCAGCAGAGTATACGATTTGATAGACGCATGCAGCATAAGGGTCACTTTATCACTACTACCTAACCATTTGGAACGACTTAAGTTTTAAAACACTTCTTTCCGACACCAAAAAAAACGCATACTCTTTGCAATACTTCAAACAACAACAACAATATAAAACATATGCTATAATGAAATTAGAATCATTTAAATCATGATTTATTGCCTAGAGAGAGTTACTTTCGTAAATATTCCAAAAAAAATGGTCCCTAGCGGGATCGAACCGCTGATCTTGGCGTTATTAGCACCACGCCTTAACCAACTGGGCCAAGGGACCGTAATTTGTGAAATTTGTGTAACAAGGTTAACCCTTTAGCTTGATCAAAAATGAAAACTAAGGTGTAAACTAACCTTCGTTAGCATCTTATGCATTACTGATAACATCTTGCAATAGAACTATCACGCGAATAAGATCAGTAAACCACATTAGGCATTACTAACACTTTATTCCATGACAGTGGCTTCTTTAGCTATAAAGACAGCCCAATGAGCATCACACTCAGAAAGAGTCGTAGAACGAAGTTCTCTCGACACATCGTATAGATCCAACTAATCAGAGCTCTCGTCTGACACTGGTTGATGAGTTG